GGTCCATGTCGATACAAAAAAACTTTTTTCTGAACTACTCTAATGAGCAGAGCATTATTTTTTTATTTATTTTGTCGATTTTCAAAAAGTCCGGAAACTGTTAGAACCCACCTGTTCACCATACCATGTATATGTGTGTGCATTGAGGTTATTTGGTGTGCCGAATAAAAACTCTGAATTGATTTGAATGCAAAGTGGTGTTGTGAATTTTAGACGCTTCAATGATAATGATGATGTCAAAATAAACAATACATTATCATTGTCGTCATACATATATTGTATAGTATATTGACATTTAGCGATGCCATAATTTCAAACATTGTGTGTTTAACAAATTCTTCTGCAATTTCAACTTTTATTGCCCAAAATAGTTTAAATTAATTTGTGGCAAAAGCTATTTGAATAATAAATATAATTAAACTGTATTTGTGTATGTTTTTAACACACATATTCGAACGAACGGATGTCAAAAGATATGCAGAAAATACCTAAAGTGAAGACTCATTTTTAGTTACCTTTTGAAATGCATCAGTGCATAATTTCACATACATACAAAATAACAAATATATCTACACACGAGCGCACGCATACTCATTTTGTATATACATACAAAGCAATTTTGTTGTCAACGAAATCATCGAAACAAATCATTTTGGTGTTTATAGAAACATTGAGGTTTGATGCTTGTTAATCTATAATTCAATTCGGATTACAAAGTGAGATCAAACTCAGCAAATTCTCTATGCTTTCAATGACATACACAAACACACTTCTGAATGTAATTCTGGTTTTGGAGCTGTGATACAGTTGTCACTGCATCCAAATGGAAATGTTTAGGATATACATACGTGTGTATAGTCCTAATTAGAGAGTAAACGAAATTCGTTACGTTTACCGATTTGGAAAATAAGCTTAACACTAGAATAGACCAAAAGGAAAAGTGTAATGAGTATTATATTTAGAATATGAATGGACGTTGAATAAGATTACGTACGAATTACGCAACAACCCGAATTAATGATAACCTCATTCCATATTGAAAATTGATGCGATGACAATGCTTAAGAGGACCCACCATCAAATAAGAGTGGCAAAGAAGAAAAAAACCAACCACATACGCCACAGTAACCATATGAATATGTGCGTTGTTCATTAGAACATAATAAAAATACACATATTTATTTATACAATGAAGGTGTATAAATAAACATCGAGCACGGCATTTATGCAAAGCCATTACGTACCAAACGAATAAATTTTATAAAAGGGTGTGAACCCATTGTATGGAGTTATGAGCACGTGAACATTTCCACTTGAAATATTTTAAATAATTTTTTCTCTATTTCGCTCTCTTTTCTCCCCCTGCTTTACTGTCGGCTCTTTGTTGCTGATGATATTCGTCCATGGCTACATTCTCTTGATGAACAATTAAATTCAAATATTTATAAAAAAAACCGTAAACAAATATAGCATTTTGTTATTTATTGAATCACAAATTTGGGTCATGATTAAAATGTATGTTTAGTTTACTTTGAGTGCTCAGTTGAGTTTGCTTCAGTCCTTTGGTCTTTTTGTTTTAGTCTTTTTCTCTCGTTCTCTCAGCCCCCTTCTGTCTCTTTCGCCCTCAATTTGATCAATTTTTAAATTGAAACACACTATATTGTATGTATGTAATAAACGTATGCTGGTTCGAAACAGGCACTCATTTTCTCTACTTCACATATTTGTCAACGGAGTCAACTGTGAGGTGAAACTCATTTTACTGTTTTATTTGATTTGGCATGGTAAATTCAATTGATTACGGAAATTGATATCCGGTTAATGTAGTGAAACAATTTAATTGCCGTGGGCTGCATTCAATCGATGTAACATTTAAACTGATTTACATGTGTAGAGAATAGGTTCGAGTGTTTGACAATCTGATCAAATGAAATTCAAGCAATACTTTGATGCAACATTACAAATTGTGCACTCTTTTTCACGATCAACCCGAAATGAGCACGAGATAGATCCATTGAGTGCAACCGAAACCATTTAGTAATAATAATTTTATTCCGAAATGTTTTTATTTTATTTGCGAATGATATTTGACGGTTTTATACGACAGTGAAAAAAACGCCAGCAATTTATTTACATAACATGGTTTCGTACAGAAGTAAAAACGAAAACTTTATGAAAATAAGAAGCATTGGAATCAAAATCTATTTGACTTTCGGTGAAAAGATCAAAAGATAGAAAAGTTTTTTCTGTCCTCCTCTCAAAGCGTAGTGAAATGATTCGTCTTTCCAGTGGCTCTGGCTACTGGTACCAAGAATTGCACTTATTTAAGTAAGTGAGGGTTCTTTTTTTCCTTCTCTTGCCGCTTTAACTTTCTTATTCTGGTGCCACAGGTATGTTATGATGACAGAAAATATCTGTGCACCAGCAACGCGTTCTGTAGCGGTTGAAACGTTTCTCGCCAATCATATCTTCCAGCATTCTCTTACTCTTAATAATTTGATTTAAAATAAATTTCAACTTCGAAACCTGATTACGTTTCAGCCTTCAAATATACCTTTTGTAACATAGTAACCGTCCGCCATCCATGTATATCCCCGCTGTATCTTCGTCAGCACCGTGTCGAGTGGCACCGTTTAATTTTAAATACAAAATATTTGTGTCGAAAGATTTTTTTTTATTTCGTTGCAAGTATTTTTTTGCAAAGCATCGTCTTCTCTTTTCATTTGTATTCAATAATTTTCCACTTTGCGTCATCTTATTCTAGTTTGTGCTCGCTTTCGTTTCGTTTTAAATGACTTTTATAAACTTTAAATTGCACTTTTTTTTTTTCAAATGCCTTTCGCACATTTACAATATGCAACGAACAGTTTCTTTAATGCTGGTTTTCTTTTACCATTCCAACTATTTTGGTTTCCATTTTTCGTTTATTCAACGCTATCCCTATTCGCATTTGCTCCATATTTTTATACACTATATTTTTATCGATTCAGATGAATCGGATATTTGATTTCATTTTTCATCGATAAGGAGCAAATACTTGAGAAATTCAAATGGAAATCGATAATGGAAATAATTCTCATCCAATTATGCGATTATTTAGAAAAGACTGGTAGACAACCGGATAATGAATAAACGTGCACCATTTAAAATGAAATGAAAAAAAGTCAATTCATGCAATAAACATTGAACAATTATTTAAATAGCATTTTGAATTATTAATTTGATTCACAACCAATTAAATGTTTAAGCATTAAAGCGTGCTTTAATGAAGAATTACTGAAGTGACCGGCACGATGTAATCTTAAAATGGCATTCGCATTTTCAATCTGTTGAAAGCAAACTGAAAAAAATAGACGAAATAAAACCAAACGAAATTAAAACTGGTTTTTTCTACATACAGAGCATTACTCTTACATAGCATAAAGTGCTAGTTTTTATTTCAATTGCATAGTAATTGATTAAACACAACGAAAAAAACCTGAATCAAAGGTATACATGAACAGGTACGTAGGTTGCTCCATAATTTTTTTTAAAATGGTACTTATAGTGTTGCCCGATGTAAACCATTGTCATATTCGTAAAGTTTGATGTTTTGGTATGTATTCGTGCCCTGAACCTTTTGTCGTACGAACGCTATTTGTATTGTTTACAGTGACTGGTAAACTGCGACTCAACAAAAAAATGAATTTTACACGTGAAGATTTTCGTAAAATGATTTACTACGATTTTCGAAGTAAATTATCTCAACAACAGTGTTTCGATCGACTTCATTTGGCCTTTGGCAATGAAGCACCAACCCTTCAGACAATTTATAACTGGTACCGAGAATTCCGTTGCGGTCGTAGTTCGCTCAAAGACGAGTTTCATACAGGTCGTCCAAAATCGGCTGTTGTGCCACAAAACATCGATGCTGTCAGAAAACTGATTATGGAAGATCGTCATGTGACCTACCGTGAGATTGAGGCATCTTTGGGCATTTCATCCCACAGCATACATACAATTTTGCATGAACATTTAGCCGTAAAAAAGATTTGCTCTCGTTGGATCCCACATAAATTGACCGATGAACAAAAAATGGCTCGTGTGAGTTGGTGTAAAGAAATGCTCAAGAAATTCAATCGTGGTGCTTCAAAAGACGTTAATAAAATCGTCACTGGTGACGAATCGTGGATATATGCCTATGAGCCCGAAACGAAACAGCAGTCGACTGTATGGGTCTTCCAAAATGAAGATAACCCAACGAAAGTTGTTCGAGCAAGAAGCACTCGAAGCGAATGGTCGCCTGTTTTTTCGGGAGAAGTGGTCATGTGGCAACCGTTCCACTAGAGGATCGTAAGACCGTCAATTCTGATTGGTATACCACCATTTGTTTGCCCGAAGTGTTTGGTGAAATAAGAAAAAACAACCACCGTCGCAAAATAATTCTTCATCACGATAATGCGAGCTCTCACACATCTTTTCAAACTACTCGATTTTTGACCGGTCAAAACATCGAACTGATGGGTCATCCACCGTACAGTCCTGACCTGGCACCCAATGACTTTTTTTTGTTCCCAAGCGTGAAGAAAAAACTACGTGGTCAACGATTTTCGACACCAGAAGAAGCAGTTGAAGCGTTCAAAACACACGTTTTGGAGATATCAGTTTCGGAGTGGCACGAATGCTATGACAAATGGTTTCATCGAATGCAAAAGTGTATCGATCATCTCGGGGAATATTTTGAAAAACAATAAAACCATTTTCGACAAAAAACAACTGTGTTATATATGTTTTTAAAAAAAATTATGGAGCAACCCTCGTAATGAAGAAAAAAAATGTATGCTATTCGAGAAAAAAAGTCTGTCTGTAATGCAATGTTACGGCAAATCATAACAAGAGAACGAAAATTCAAAGGAAATATCTATGTATATGAATCGTTCATATTTATATGTGCTTAAATTTAATGCAATAACGCTAAAAAGGTACTTAAATTCTAATTTTCATATTAAAAACAATCATCATTTTATTAACAAGAAAATTCATTGAAATTTGTTAAAAGTCGTTCATTTCAAATGTGGAACTCCAGATTGAGCAGTGTGTCGCACTTTGTATACTGATTTCCATATTTCGAATAGGCAAATTGTTGAATGAAACCGATAAAAAATGGCAAGCGGAACAGAAACATGCGTTATAATCGTCCAAGACCATTGACCGAAAAATTCTAAATGCGTTTCACGAAAATGGGCCCGATTCTTAACTAATGCATTTATGCTCCACAGTGACATGTTTGCGACCAGCAAAAAGGTGACAATCTCTCTGCCCGGCTTTTTCCTATTCTCCCGTGCACTTCGACACCGTCTTCCCCATGCATTCAATATGAATAATGTTTGCACCGACGTTTGAATCAGTGAAAATACTTCGGAAATTAAACCGAATATACCACCATCTGCTAATGTAAAATAACAGCCAATGATTGCAAATAGACAGTAAAGGAATACACCACTTTGCGCTACAACCAACAACAACAAGTCCAACGGCATTCCACCGAATGTCTGACAAAATTTCAAATCACGCATTCTTATGAATGCACCGAATACGGCCAACGAAGTTAACACGTATAAAATCGTTTCGGTGATGGTAACTTCCAATGTGGCAAGCGTGTGATACAACGGAATATTGAGCACGTAAAACATGATGAGTGAAATTATCGTTAAAACTATAACTAAAATCCCAGCGAACATGCCATGGTGAGCACGAGAACAGTCAACGGAAAAATGATGTGCATTTTGTGCGGTGGTCGAAACTTTTCGATCACGTGATCGCTTCGGTTGACCCGTGTTAATGCTTTGTTTCCACATTTCAAATAAAATCACAGCACAAATGAGCGAATACTCGATGGTACATGGGAAGAGAAAGCTACTTGAATTATTTAGCAATTTTCCCATAATGTTAACTCGTCGACAGTCGATAATTTCTGATGTGGTTGCATGCCGCACCCTATCGATAGTTGCATTCAACAATGCATTCTCGGGATGCATGAAATGTTCCGAATTTACACCTAAAAGCCGTCAACCAAAAATCCAACAAAAATTAATAGTTTTCGGTCACTGTGCTCAATATGTATGGACATTTTCAACAAATTTTATTTACCTGTTACATTTTCAATGTTGTTACTAATCTCATGTCGGGTTTCCTCGATTAATACGTAAAGCCACTCGCATAAATTCGTAGCGAGCATGTGCATTAATCCAAATTTTACGATGACTTTGTGACGCTTCATTTCAAAGTCTTTTGTATTAAGAAAAATAAATTGCATTTGTACGATAGACAGGACCATTCGTGTGGCGGGCGTGAAAGCGATGAGGACATTTCTGCAACCCTTTTCGCCTTTCAATTCAAAATACTGTCCAATCTCAAGACCCGAATACACCATACTGCCAATGCCAAAAGCAACAGCACCAACTCTTAAATAAAAACTCCCCAGTCTTGATTTTGCCTGAATAATTTCTAATGAACTTCGTTTATCTTTATCTACATGAAAAAGAAAACTCTTCAATAATAAAATAAAATTAAGATAGTTTTAATGTTTACCTTTAGTGTTATTTGCAGCGTATCTTTGTGAGCGCCGTGAACGAATGCGGTCGATATACATGAATGCAACAAAAGCAATGCTACCAATGTATAAATAAAGATAAAATCCCTGATAAAATTTGTTGGGTGCTTTTTCCGTTAAAACATCAGTGACTGGGAACGAAAAGCCCAATACGACTAGAAGCTTAGCATAGAATGCGCTTAAAGTACTAGTCAATGCATCACTACCCTGTTTACGGTTCTTTCTACGAAATTCAGTCTCGCGATCCATTTCTAAGTGCACAAAACCATCTTCATCAGCAATATCGACCGTACTTCCTTTCGATTTTCCGGTTCCCAACAATTTTCCATGAATTAGGCTAAATTGACGACAACGACAAGGGAAAAAAATCAATAGAAACATTTTTTGGTTTCGGTTACAAACTTTAAAGAAATGAAATTTTTTACTCCAAAAATATATTTCCTGAACTGGATGCACGATGATCTTGCTGTAAAGCTGATACAATTGCCGATGGGCGACGTGATCCTGTTAAATCGGGATTAGCACAAAAACTTTTACGCGACCGAATTGGCTGAGCTACGGGTTTCAGTAATCCGTTTGAATCATTTTGCATGGGCATTATTACAGCATGTTGTGGTACACTCGGAACTAACAATCGTACTTCATCCGGTTTTTCTTCATGATTTTTATCGTTCACAACATCTGAAGCAGTATCCATCAAAATACTTTTGAAATGAAAATAATTCCCGTTCAAGCTTACTAATTCGTCTTTTATTGTTTTATTTCCTTTTGTTTATCTTTAGTAAAAAGAAAAACGAATTGAAAAAAGATGAAAGATTCTATTTGGTACTACTTAATAAATTTTGTTTTTTCATCGAAAATGAAACTAACGTCTAGTTCAACTTATTTCGCACTATTATGTTACTTTTTCATCGAACAAAAAATGTTTGATTCAAACTGCGGCACTTGGTGGCTGTATCCTTCGGTATCTGTGCACAGACTAAAGAAATCGAGCATACAATTTTCGTATATGTGATTAATAATACGGGCACGGTGAGCTTTGATTAGGCGTCATAATTGCCAAGCACTTGTCATTCGCGTGAATAATGAAATATTATCGTCATAAAAAATAATAATAAGAAAACCCATTATAAATTCGATATTGTGCCGAAGTGAGTGTTTCGACGTATTTGACAATAGAGCACGCGTTACATTTTTATTTTTTCGCATCGTATAAAAATACATCACATTTAAATATTCCATTAGTATTGTTTGATATTGACTTTATTTATACTGATTTATACGTACACATCACACCCCAGAAGTGATCTTTCTTCATCTCGCATCAATTTTCGGCTAATTGTAATAATTTCAAGTGCACACAGAATAGCCAATTCAAAGCAAATTTGCAATGTCTGTAGAATTGATTAAACAGTGCCGAAGAAATAATCAAAAGTGTGAACATACGGGAAGAATTAAAGTAAATTATATTCACATAAATGTTTAGAAAATTCATTGTCGATATTCTTCTAATATCGAAACACAACGATTCTAATTGTGTAGATGAGAATGAAAATTACTTCAAATGTGCTCTCACTTATCGACATTTCTGTGGCGGAGAGTAGGAGGTGAGAGTTCTCAAATCATTCTCATTCGCACCTACACACAGTAATTCTTCTTCGCCACATCTTTTGCTAAAGATTTTGTCGAAATAGATTAAATTCAAAAAAAAAAATCTCGACAATGCAACTGATTGGCACCTTTATTTATATCAAACGCGCAAAAAATTTCATAATGGCTTTAATATGTAATTCTTATATGATACATGTGATTTTCGTGAAATTCTTGAATTATTACCATGTGACTGTGCATTAGCAATCAGTGTTTTTATTCTGTGTCGTGATTTGAAGTTTTGAAAAATTGCAATTGAAATGAATGGTGTGACTGAGAATGCCGAAAAAAAAAACAAATATAATGCGAAAACGAATTCAAATTGCGCGTCGAATAGAACGAAAAGTCGATTTAATTAAAAGTGATTTCATTTGGTTTGGAGCAGGCTTAAGGCTTTCAAGGTGACACATTTATCAAATGATTTGCATTTGATTTTACAACACCGACTTCTCATGTTTCGAATAGATTTCACTCATTTCTGTTGCTATTTTCATTGGGCCTGACAATATTAATTTATAATACTCTCGAACCAACCATATCTGCTACTTCAATTTTATACTATTTACAAGATGCTTTGGTAATCATTTGAATAGGCACAAGTATCCAAATGAATGGAGTCATGTGAAAAGTGTCATTAAGTGCAGAGACAACGACTGATAAGATATGATAAAGACCAAATAACAATCGAGCGAAAATTCCTTGTTTGATTTGCTGGTGTCAAGTTTATGTATGATTATTATATTTTTTTTGTCTCTTTGTTCGGCTCACGTGAGACTCAAAAGTCGTGTAAATTGTGTCATATGTCAATTATTATGTTATTCGATTGAGTATGAGCTTAAAATAGCGAAACCGAGATAAAACAAAATGTGGATGGCTGCAAAAAAAAAGACATCAACACATCAACAAACTTGAAATATTTTTCATCTTTTGAGTGCAAATGCGACAATTGTACTTGAAATTCCAAGCGCTTGTTACGCACGCACGCCAAACAAATCGAAACATCTGAGAATGTAACACATTTCATGACAATTACATTTCGAGTCGGACAAATTTATTCAACGCATAATTAGTTGCACACACAAAGATTTAAACAGCCCATTAAATCAATCATCGCAGATCATTTCCCATGAGATGATGTTCGTTTTCAGTCCAAGGAATTTCCTTTCTAAGCAATCATATACGCATACAATATGAACAGAACGGGCAAGAGGCAGAGAGACCGAGAAAATGAGAGAGAAAGAGAAAGAGTGAGAAGGAGAGTGAGGTAGAAATAAAACACTAACGTTCCAACTTAAAATGTCTGCTTTTACGATACAATGATTATTCATTAACTTTGCCGAAACCCATTTCCATAATTTCGGAGTCTAATCAACGCCCTGATCTGCTATTATGTAATTTGTGTTTACAATGTAAAAATGTACACACAATAATATACACAACGAATGTGCGTTGATTGGAGACAATTTGAATCGATTCTTTTTTTTTGCATCTCAAAGTTTGAGACTCTAAAAAAATCTCAAACGAAAAAAATAAATGATAAACAAAAACAAAATTGATACAATATCATTGACAACGGAGCGCAGCGAACATTTAAAAAATGCATATACACATGATGAATTGCGTAGTCGAAAGCAAAAAACACACTATAGTGCTAAATCGGATGTTCATTCGTTAGCTATGTAGCTTGACTCTGTACACAGAGGTTAACTCTGCGTCTCTTTTTAATCGATCAATTTGTATCGTTCCATTCGATAAACTACATTTTATTAGTGCTTTATATATTTTGCGCACATACTAAAGTATAAGTGCATTTAAAAGTGCGTTTAATGCAAAAACTAGTAAAAAAACACGGTGCAACGCACAGTTTGAACCTGTTTAAAAGAGAGACGAAACAAAAAAAAGCAAACATCGTACACAGATTGAAATTGAGATTCAAGTGTGTGGCTCATTCAAATGAAGTAATACGTGTGTTTGCCAGTAATATCGCACGCGTTCGCTAAATAGCTCGTATCGTTCGCGAAGCGCATTCAAAACATTGATTCTCAAGTGCTTATTTTACAATCTTCAATATATTCATGGATTCTCGAACGTTATTGTATTTGATTTTCCCGACGAGCATCTTTGCCAGGATTTTAACAACCTGATAATCTGAATGTGAAAAACAAGAAACGCTACTTTCTACAGAATACAAAAAAAATCCCAGTTCCCTCAACGAAATTGAAAATCAGTTCAGAAAAAAGATGAAATATGAGTGCTTTCGATTGGTGTTTTAAATGGAAAAAAGTTAAAGTTTCATTGTAATCAAACACAAACAAAACTCCCGCATTTTTTTTTTATATGAACATCTCTCTGGACAGCAACAGCTGCACAAAATACACCATGAGAAACCAAAACAGTCATGATCGTAAATTTAAACATATCAGGTAATTCAGTTTGAATGACAAATTGAATTTAAAATTCAATTTTACAAGAGCAAAGTTAGTTGCCATAAATTATAAGCAGTCTATTGGAAATGAATCGTTGTTTTTTTTTTCGTTAAAAAAGTGGAATTACTTTTAATAATGTTGCATCTATTAGTACAGAACAATTGATATTGAAATTATGTTTGACATCAAGACCATCGAAAATTCAGCTTTAATTTATGTTCATAATGACTTTTGATGAAATCGAGAAAAAAATAAACAAACAATCGGATAATGCATATAATACGTCAAACAAAGGAGCAAAAAATATTGGATTTGATGCTATCCGAAAATATTGTTAAACAACACCTATAATGTGTTTGTAAACACCAGTATAAATACATGCACCAATGCAGATCTCAATACATTGATAAAATGTATGGTGGACATGTTCGCGAATCCAATCCAATTTTCATTTTCAGCCATTAGTGGTGTTTTTCATCTTGATTTGCCCACGTAATGCATAATTAAATATACATTCAATAGCGCTACCGTTTTAAAGTTAATGAAAAATCAAGTGATCAAAAACTGAAAACAACAGATAAAAGACGTTTATGAAAAACGACTTCAGAAAATCCATGGGCAAAAGTCGAATGTGAAAAAAAAACTGGCATTTAAATTGCGTATGTAACGTGATCAATTAAAAAAATCTATTCATTTTGATACAAGCTTGACTATGTAGAACAATTTCGGTGCCGTATTTGCGATACTATTGTTTGTATAAAGTGATTGCGACTGTTCCATGAAATGGCACAAGATAATCTTCTATAAATCGTTGACATTATAAAAGTTGACGCGGCAAATACATTTTATTGCTTCACCTCAAAAGCCTTTCTCTCGTCGAGCCATAAAATGTGAATTCGATTGTTCCTAATAACACATAATAAAAACAACACATACACTTCGCTGACAATTTTTTTTTCTTCGGTCTAAACCACTGTCATTAAACACTCCATTTGTGTTATTTACAATAATTTATACAAGGGTATGTGTATGTGTGTGTGTGTTTGAGTTTGAACGTGTGCGTTGGATAATAAATAATCTTTTGATAATTGGAAGTTTTTGACTTGACGCCAACAATTACGCGTATTTAATATTGTTATTTATTATTTCATCACTATTACCGACGTTGCCACCGTGGTCGCCGTACATGCTTTCAATTCACCGATCGGGCTCTTATGAGACTCAAACTAATTGAATTTGACAATGGCATTGTATTGGTATTTTGTAGGCTAGTTTTTGCAGTTTTACAACATTTTTGCCGATATTGCACCGTTTATTTGTTGTTGTTCCAAAGTTTAAGTTGTTCAACAACTTGTTCTTCTGTTGTTCTTAAGACATATATCACCTTTATGAATATACATTTTTAAACAATATTCCATTTATTAATATTTAAATAACAAAGATAAATGCCGATATCTAACTCAAACAACTTTTTTTTTTCTTGGCTTTTGCGTGTAAATAAATTTAAATATATTTCATGTTTGAAGAAAATTCGTTAGCTCTTCATGGGAATATTAACAATTTCAATTTTAAACTATATGATCACAAAGTATATTGTTCTGGGTGTTTTTGGTAAATAGATTTTACCCAAAAGCAATACGAAAATGAAATTAAGAACAACTTTCATTATCTATCATAGATAACTTATGAAAAGATACAAAACCGATTTGATGGAATTTTTGCGAAACATCATTACCATTTCTTCGAAAAATGTATCGAATGTATTTTTTCCACTCTTGACAATTAAATGTGGGTTGTGATAAAAATAAATGCACCCTCGTGCAATTAAATTTAAAATTAACACAATGATATCTATATTACTCAATCATAATCATGTTTAATAAGAGTCAAGATGATTTGAAAGTAGACTCAACTCTAATTATAAATGCAAAGTGAAATTCATGTATTCGTTATTGAGCGAAATAATTTGTTGTACAAAGATTATCGTGTCTGTTTTTTCTTCACTTGAAATATGTCTTATTTAAAGAGATTAAAATTCGTAACTGACATTTTGTTTGTCAAATAAATATGCTCAGGTGAGCATTACTCACCATTGAATATCAACAGAATAAACAGAAAGTCATTGTAAATGCGATCAAAATTGAGACGATTGAGTGGTTAAAGTCAATAAAATGAACGCTAATAGATCATATAATATAATAATAAACCCATTCAATAGCATACTTGAATAAAGCTAATTTCTCACGTGACTTAGCAAATGTCTTAAAATCGATTGCAAAGTGATCGCCACACACCAACGTAAGCAGTTCGTATACATTTTTACCGTTAATCTTTGGTACGCACAAAAAATGTGGAGTCAATCGCGACCTACAGTAAACAAAAACCGTAATAGCTACATTACAAGTGGTGTGGTGGTATTTTAAAAGGCGGCGTAGTAGGTGCTCGACATTACAAACGAGCGAAAAAAAAATTCAGTTATGTTTTGGATATTGAAATGTTCGGTCGAACGTTCAGTCATCAGTGGCAATTGATTTTTGTGGGTTATTGTTGAATTTTTTTTCATTCGATCACAGGGAAATGCCTTCGCAACGCCTTGCACGAGTGTCAGAAATAAATGAAGAAGGCAGCGAAAATGAAGCGGATGACAGTGCTTTGGATCCAAAGAATAAAAATCGTGCCAATCGAAATTCAAATCAATTGCACGTAACCATTAATACAAAACCCGAAGAAATTGATTGTGATGGGAATAGTTCACAGCACAGCAATGGAACAACTGGATCAAATCGACGGCCATCAGTTTTAATACAAGAAATTCTATCAACAAGAAGGCCATCGGCTATTATGGCTGCAATTCGATCACCAAAACAATTTGTTAATCGTTACCGAAGAGAGTATGTGCTTTTTTACTTAACACATTTCATTATAGAAATTCGAACAGTGAGACATTTTGTGGGATCATCTTAAAATTCAAGACTTTAATTGGTTTGTTAAATTTACCAAGTGTTTCTCAAAGCATCTCAGTCTGTTCGAATTTTATTACGTTGCATGAAAACATCTCATTTCTTCTTACTATTTAAATCTAGATCAACATCATTTGATAATATGCCTGATACGCAGATAAACGAAAATGCATTACTGTCGATGAAAAAAAATCGACGATTTGGAGAGTAGGTATATAATGGTGCATTTTTTATTTTAGTTTGAAAAAAATCAAAAAAAAATTAAACATTTTTTTTGTGCATTCATAATATTTCAGTGATGCATTGAGCTCAGCCTTATCCGCTCTTTATGCAAAAATTATAGTCATAGTTGGAATAGCGTTGCCAGTCACAGAAGTGTTAACATCGCGAATTCCCTCCTTCGTGTATCAGTCATTTTACGTATATCTGTATATAGTTAGCATACTGTTTGTGATCTTTGTTTATTCAGCACATATGCGCACGCGAGCTGTTCTCTCTCTCATTAAAACTTATCGTAAGTTTTTCTATTCACATTTTCCACCACAACAATTGCAACAGGATAAAACTTCAGTTTTGTCGTTTGTATCGACAGTGAATTGATGTAGTTTTGACTTTTTTTTTCACTTTTTTAGATGAAAAAACGAATAATGATTATTCGGTGAAAAAACGAACAACACATTTTGGTAGTTTCTACTTGAGAGTTGGGGCTATATCCTTTGGAATTGGAACGATGGTTTATACTGGCCTCGAAATTGGACAATATTTCGAATTGAATCGTATGTATATTTTGAATGTTTTTTTTTTTAAACGAACGTAGTTTTTGGAAAATGATTTTTTCCCCACGAATTTTTTCCATGCAAAAATCCAGAATTTTTGAAGAAAAATATGTTCACAAAATCTTTGTGATTTTGAATCGTTTTTGTGTGATTTTGTGGTTGGCATTCAATATAAAAGTGACCATTTGTATTAATAGGTGATGCCAATTGTACAACATTTATGATGGCTGTCACCCCAATTGCTCGCATGCTTTTATCAATTATTCAAATGCAATTTATATTTCTGAATACAACTGATTTAGATATGGTGAGTGGAAAGGCAAACCGGTCATTTGAAATGGTAAAAATGTTCTTTCTTTTAAATTCCAGGGGCGACACAAAGTGGTTTCAAGATTCGGTTTGATGCATATGGTTTGTATATTTTAATTAATCAATATGAGTGCATGATTTAAGAGCCTTTTGCGTATTCACTGTTCGAACCTTAGGTGGCTACCAACTTATGCGAATGGCTTTACGTATTGGTAGAAGAGACAAAGCATGAAATTCATCACTTCCAACACATTATCGGAAAGACAAGTAGGTATTATTGTCCAATTAGCAAAATAAATTAATACCATTGATTTGATATTTCTAGTGAATGTGACGCCGTTGCCATCGTTTGGATCTTATCCACAATTGAATGTTGGAAACGAGGGTTTGAAAACAGTAACGCACATTCCTGGTGAATCAGAACGCATGTTAACAAAACGACACAGCGATATCGATACTGATTGTAGCGAATCAACGATAATGACAACACTTATACACGATGCATCTCCCTTTTTGTTTCCCTGCACGATCGAGTATTCGCTCATATGGTAAGAATGTGATGCTAATTTTAAAATTAAATGCCATTTAAATTTTGCTTGGAAATTTGTAGCGCCGTCATTCTGTATGAAATGTGGAAAAATGTAAAAAGTATACCGAACATTGAACGTCATCGTCGCAATTCGGTCAAACCAAACGTGATGCCACAACAAGTGAGCGCCCATCAATTTTCCGTCGATTGCTCGAGAGCGCACCGCGGAATGTTTGGAGGTATAATTTTCAAGTTATTCGTGTCATGTATGATAATAACATGCTTATTTCCTTGTGTTATGTATTTTCACGCTGGTTTTCTTCTCTCTTCAAAGGGATCATGGTGATAGTATTGACAATTATCTGTTTGATTATGTATTTTGTGCTTCGTGACGTTCCCGATTATGAAAAAACCGCCATCGGCGAAGTTGTTTACTGCGAAATGATTTTATATGTATTGACAACGTTGGCCGTTCTATCGGCCGTATTTACAATGCGCGATTTGAAATTTTTACGAAAAACAAACGATCACCATGGCAGCACGGTTGCATTGGATTGTACATTATTGGTGTTGGCTCAAACCGGTGTTTATTTGTACGGTTCATTTAGCATAATTGGCTGTTATTTTGCAATGCTTGATGATGTGAGTGGAAGCGCCGAAGGATTGTTAGCAGAAATGTTATGCTTAATGCAAACATCGTTGCAAACGTTATTCATTCTGAATGCCAGTTGGCGAAGATGCAAAGGATCACAACAGAATCGAAATAAGCCGGGCAGAGAAATGGTCACATTCTTACTGGTGGCAAATATGTCACTTTGGTTCATATTTACATTGATCAAAAGTCGTGCCGGCTTCCGACCAACACATTTGGACTTTTACGGCGTGTGGGCATGGACGGTTATTACCCACGCAACAATGCCACTCGCCATTTTTTATCGCTTTCATTCCAGCATTTGTTTATTCGAAATTTGGAAATCAGTATACAAAACGAAAGAACATTAAAGACAACCCCAATACAATTAAGCAAATCGAGTTTTATTTTTCACACACATTCAAAACAACAAAAAAGCACATTGTTCAATTGCATTTTTCGAAATAATAAATACTAAAAAAAATAATCAAATTGAGTTTTATATGCAACAAAAAATCTTATTTAAGAAACAGAAGTTGGCGGTATAAAAATTAAAAAGTGCGGTTATAACAGTGGTGTCGCTAGTTGTAAGTTACCCGTATAATTACAGCATACACATGTATGTGTATCATTAGGCGACTACAATAAACTGTCATTACCAATACAAACTGAAGACATTGGAGCTGTACGGTCTACATAGAGTAAGTCGTGTTTCTCACTTTGTGTTCAACATTCAATGGTTTCGGTTTGATACAAAAAAATTGATTTTTTTTTGTTATTCAACAATTTTAGTTTTAAATTTCAAAGTTTTCCAAGTTAAAAATATCTACGGCAAAAATGGAAGTTGATGAAGATGATATTGAACAGCCAAGCAGCAGCGACAACAAGGCAACCAAAAAGCGTTTCGAAGTAAAAAAGGTAAGATGAAATTCAACTATTTTGTTCTTCCATTTTCAGCAAAAAATGCATAAAAATTGATAATTTTGTGCTTCATATTTACAAAAAAATAACTCTGTCTAATTAAAAATTGTGTTGTTTTTGTCTTTACAGTGGAGTGCCGTTGCATTGTGGGCCTGGGGTATGTATCAATAACTTTTTTTTATCCACAAATGTATAAACAGTGGCTTTGTTTTAATTTCTGTGCGTCATTACTAATGACTTTCGTAAATCACATAACCTCAATGTTGAACATTGTAGCCATATACATAAATAACTCGTTATTGTTGTATTTTGTTGCAATCATCTTGCTTGTATGTGCTTTTGACTAATAAAATCCGTTTTTTCGCTTATTTTTCTAGACATTGTCGTTGATAATTGTGCCATTTGCCGAAATCACATCATGGACTTATGTATCGAATGTCAAGCAAATCAGGCGTCGGTTACAAGTGAAGAATGCACAGTTGCTTGGGGTGTTTGTAATGTAAGTTTACATCGACTTTTTTTACACTTTAAACATTTTTTTTTTTTCAAATATTCAATGGAATTTATAAAACAATTTTTTTTTTCATTTGTTTAGCATGCATTCCATTTCCACTGCATTTCACGTTGGTTGAAGACACGTCAAGTGTGCCCATTAGACAATCGAGAGTGGGAATTCCAAAAATACGGTCACTAGAGCAACAACGACGACACGGCTACCATTTTTTTTTCATGTGTTTTATCAACAACAAAAACACTCTCAATGCAACACCTCAAATTGAGAAAATTATGAAAAAATTAAGATAAAATTATAAGGAAAAAAAAAACAATAAATCAGCGTTTTATGCAAAAAAATTAAAATAAATACACAAAAATTCTTTTTAGTGAATAATTCGAAGGTGTTTTTTATTTTAGCTTGGCTTACAAAATCAATAATAAATTTTCGGATAGTAATTTATAAGCCAACTGAATGGATAACGTTCGCCAGTGAAACCATCAATAACGCCAAAAATATAAGCCGTCACAAAGAACAAGGGGACAATAATACCAATGAAACCATTTCGAATCAATGATCTCAGCTTTGAATTGCGATTTTTTGGTGCAAATGACCTGGAAAAAAGACAACAAACAAGCTACTGATTAACGGCACTTCTGCTGCTAATTATCTTAAACGAAATAAATACAGTATAATGAAACTAACATGTATCGATCGAGCGACCTATCCTCTCGCCGCTTCAATACCGAACGCTCTCGGGTTTTTATTGGTCGATCTTCTTTTCCATGGCCTTTCGTTTCTTTTGAAAGATTTTCAATCATTTCCACATTTTCTTTGTTCAAAAAGTTTTTCAATTGTTTGGCGAGACTTCGACAATTATTTCGACTCATTTTTTTAACTTGATGATTTCTAACGACAAATCAAATATCAATGGTGACTTGTTTTCATATTTTTGACAACGACAAATTTTTCTGGATATTTTCAACGAAAATTCGTTGTTTGCCATGCATTTGAATTGTATTTATTTTGAGGCGCCCCCATTTTAAAAGTCTTTATGGTTTCGAATGAGATGTATCAATACCAGAACAATGAATTGATTTATTAAATTGAAATTCTCTTTGAAAAACAGCAAAATATGCTATTTTTGTTTGAATAAAAAAACATGTCTTCATTTTAATCGATTTATTTTTTATAAAACACTAGATTTTTGTTTATTTATACTTTTGAAATATGGCTCAATTTTGGCTACTCTGACGATGCCATGGTCTCTTGACTCAAGTAGTTATAACAGCACGCAAAAACATTTTCGCTTCGATTTTGGTTTAACTACGCTTTTTCTACAAAAAAAATATAGAAGTAAATCATGAGACGAAAATTTCGATTCAGAAAATAAAAATACAGTAAAAAAACACTAACATGGATTCATTAGCCACTGAATGGTTTTCTGGTTCGGCGTTATGTATCTCTTTTTCAAGTTCTTCAACCATTGCATGTTTTTCTTTTTCCAAAAAAATCCTTAGTTCTTTTATGCGAGTGTGAAACATTTTATTCAACTATTTATTCAATTTTGCGTTTTGGATCAAATGACAACTAAAATATCAATGTTGATTCCTTAAATTTGTGTCTTTTTATGCATTTTGTATTCAGCATTCATTTAAAAATCATAGAAGGCCAGTATTTTCATTTTATGTATATGAACTTGAATCGGGCGTCTCCACATATGTGAGTGATTAGAAGACTTTGTACTCTTTTTTTGCATCAAATCCATATACATTTGAGTGCTTTAATATTATTACCTGAATAATTTTGCATTGACTTAGACAAAAAAGAACGAAATAAAAATATGAATCTATATTTTTTCCGTGGAACATAAATCGGTTCGTTTGAATTCCACGAATAGCATCTTTCGTTGAAATTGTTATAAAGGCCTTAAACTGACAGTTGGCAAGTAGCAGGATGTTTTGTGGCTATAAAATCGAAGACATTTGCTTATAACAGAACCACGCACACTTGCACAATTTGACTAAAGTAACGAAGAGAACCAATCGAACAAGCGGGACAGAGATAACTTGTCAGTTTATACAAAGCAGTAGCTCACTCGTACACATCGTTGTTGTATCGATTTTATTTTATATGTGCATTCGATTCACTTTTCTGTAGAAACAAATCGTAAAATTCTCTATTTTTTTAAAAAATAAAATTTAAAAATATAGTAATTTACCGTAAATACGATAAAAAGGGAGCAGATTTTTTTCAATGAAATTTACTAGTGAATAAAATATTTTAAAAATTCAACATAAAGTTCATATTCGAGGAATACAGTGACAAAGAAAAGTTAAAGCAGTGATATATATATTTATTATATGTATATATGAAAAAAAAAGATCCAAAGGAGAATAGGAGAGAATTTCGAAGAGATACGCACCGCATACAACACACGTAAACGATACCTAAGCCACATACACACTCACACACGCTCGCTTTCTCGCTCACGCTCTCTGCATACATATTACAATGGTCACAAGCACGGAACATTTATGGCAGTACCAATCGGAGAAATGAAAAATTATCGAAAGCGGCCATTAAAGCGTCGTTCGTCAGATAAAAGAAAAAAATCGTCTCGATACATTTGTAAAATTGAATTATTGTGATGCTGTTCTAACGATTTAAGGTAAAAATTGAAACTGCTGCCTACATTACAATTTAGGCGAATGATTTTGATCATGAACTTTACATATTCAGTGTGGCATTTAATTTAGACGAGAGAGAGAAAAAAAAATACTCAAAAATGATATCCATCTATCACATAATCAAGGACAAACTCGTTTCTATTATCAAACTTATGTTGTTCAATTGAAACAAGATATGAACACATTTATCATTGCCTATCTTTTTTTTTTTTGAAAATTTCCACGAATTGTGTGATATACCACATATTCAGTTTTACTGATATGCTTAATCGAACCTGTCTCACACAGCAATGTCGTAAGAAATAAATGTCACATTTGCCACATATCATCGTCACAAGCCAATGTCTGAATCAAATCAACTGTGAATATGCTTTTTGAAAAGAAAAAAAAAAATAAATTTAAACATTTTTTTATATTTTTCGCAAAAAAAATTCTCTCTCTCGCTCTTTTTCGCATATAAATGTGCGACATTGTTCATTTATAATGCTATATTTATAACACAAAAACGATGATTGTGTTTGCGCAATAGATCGCATTTGGTTCGGAAGAGAAAAGAAAATTGAAACGAATGTGCAAAAGTGGAAGAAGTATGTTTTTTTTTTAAATAAATCGATCGAAAATTAAAATACGATGAGTGTTAGCAATTATGAGATAAGTTTCATAAATAAATTCTTGAAAGTGGCATTGATAAAGCATATAGTGGACCTATGATTTCATTGTGACGGTGTGATTAGCAAACGAGTGAGATAGCTACAATATAGTTTAAGTTCATTTTTATTGCTATGCTTAGTTCATTAAATGTCTACACAATTGTACAAAAGAGACAACTGTATGCATACAACTGTTTTCGTACGATTTATGAAGGAAAAAACGGTGTATATCGCATAGCACATAGACTTCGTTAACATACCAACAACAATGCTCCAACAGCAGCAATGCCACACACGCCAAAGACAATGGGCAAAGATATGACTGTAAATGCACATATATATATATATGTATATAAGTTTGGCAAAAATATATTGGAATTCGATTCGGTGGAAGAGCACTGCAACTGTGCATTGCTGTTGAAGTGGCACATTCATTGAAATAAACCAACACACTACTAACGCTTCCATTCAATTCTATGTGTTATTCTCTGCGAGAGAATTTCTCTCTGTCTCTTTCGTGTCCGCTCTCTCTCTCGATGTTCAGCTCGTGGATTTCAATTAGTTTCTCATTTGAACAAATGTCAAAGCAGGCAATGAATTTGGAATCATTCTTAAAATATCGTCGAAATGTGTGAGGCTATTAATTGGTGATTCAGTACGTGAATTTAGATGTATTTTCATTTGTGATTCAATTGCGATATTTAGGTGTTGCTCAGTGATGATCAAAAAATTTTTTTTTCAATGTTTCGTTCATAAATTAGATATTGAATACATTTCACACGAAACAACGATTCAAGTACACGGTGTGATTTTAATGCATTTTGATATACAGTGATGATTTCATTAGAATTGTTTTTACATTTATACACTGATGCATAGCTCGATGAATGAGATGATACAATTAAATGAATATTGTGTGCGTTTGCCATATGATCGAACACGCTGATATGTAGATTCACACATGCGGCACTCTATTGATCGAAAGCTTCATTCACCCATACACTTGCAAAAAAAAAAACGTGAACCAAAAAAAAAAAATTGTTGAAAATCATATGCCAAAAGAATGAATGATATTTGTAAAGTGGAGTTGCCCACTTTATTTTCATTCAATCACAACTTTGTGTTAAAGTTTATTGACAAATTGATTTTTTTTTTCTCTTTTTTCCAGAAACTAAAATAACTATGGTGGTTGACTCTGGTGCACGACACCGTCATCCACCATCGGCTTCAATGAGTACACATCAACATCAAAATAACCACAGCAAAATGCAAGCAACTGGTATGACACCAAAAGAACTGTCGGAAAATGATGACCATGCCACATCACTTGTACTCGATCCATATTTGGGCTTTACAACACACAAAATGAACATTAAATATCGACCGCTGAAAGCGAACACAACCGAATTAAAAAACATTGTTGCCGAATTCATTCAAACACAAGACTATGAAAAAGCGTATCAGAAAATTATGAAAGGCGAATGGATGCCCCGTCACATTAAAATGAATAAAAATAAATTGGCGCAACAACGTTTGCAACAACATGTAAATATTACATAAAATTTCCTGGTAATTGTTCAATCGAATTAAATATCGATTTGGTTTCATTTCAGATATATCGGTATTTGCGTGTTTTTAGTCGTGAGTCGGGATTTATGATTGAAGGTTGTTATCGATATTCACTGGAAGATCAAAAGGGAGCCAAAATATCAGCAACACGTCGTTGGGAGAAAAATGATAAAATCGAATGTTTGGTTGGATGCATTGCCGAATTAACCGAGGAAGAGGAACGTGCATTATTGCATCCGGGCAAAAATGATTTTTCCGTAATGTACAGTTGCCGAAAGAATTGTGCTCAACTTTGGCTCGGACCGGCTGCTTATATAAATCATGATTGTCGAGCGAATTGTAAATTCGTTGCAACCGGACGGGATACGGCTTGTGTTAAGGTATTACGTGACATTGAAGTTGGTGAAGAGATAACATGCTTTTATGGTGAGGATTTTTTCGGCGATAACAATAGCTATTGTGAATGCGAAACGTGTGAACGACGCGGTACTGGTGCCTTTGCATCGAGAAATATAAGCATGAGCACGATGAGCGATGATAGTAATGCTAGTTCAAGTTTAAAAACGATCGCCGGCAACAGTCAAAGTACAGTTGGTACAACCGGAAATTATCGATTACGTGAAACGGACAATCGAATCAATCGTATAAAAAATAAAAACAAGAATGCAATACAAAGCGGAAATATGAGCGTCGGGACAAGTAATCGTGCAGATAATGATAAACTTATGACACCACTTACACTTAAGGAACTTCGGCAAAAAGGACTAACGAAGTACGATGCCGAAATGATAATTGCACAACAGAACCCAAATGTGTTCAATAAATATTCACAGATGACATCTGTGGATGCATCCAAAAATCTCGATGCAAATAGTAAAATAAAAAATGGTGAGTTTGGCATTATATTCGTTGCACTTCATTAAACTAATACAAAAAATATTTGTTTATTTATAATAGATGGTAGCCAAACGAAAAGCACTGATGAAACAGCGAAGAATCGTACGCCTTTATCGAGACGAAGAAGTAAACGAATTGTATCGTCGGAAAGTGGTGTTGGTACGGTTGAATCAACATCACCGGCCGGCCAATCGACAAAGGCAAGCAGTTCAAGCAATTCACCGGCTGTGAAAATTAAAAAATCACCAGCTATGTCTTTGCGTGAAAGACGTTTCAAACGGCGTGAGGCTACAAAAAACTTAAACGATGGCGGTGTTGCTGCAACAAAGGCAATCAGTTCAAATCCAGACACGGAGGCTAATGATAGCATTGCATACAATCAGAACCATGATGGCGCTTCATCGTCACAGAACTTATGCTCAGACCATGAACTGAGCAACGGAGTAGCGGTTGCGTTGCAGACCGAAACCACTCCGACCAAAAATCGATCTAATACCATAAATCACTGCCGACAAAATTTATCTGCGAAAATCTGTGATTTAACCAAAAGAGATGATGTTTTCATTCATGATACAAGCAAAACATGTTCAACCATCACACCAAAATCGAATGGTATCGTTAAGTCATCGTCGATGCCATCATCATCGTTGACCAATGGATTAATACCGAGACGATCACGTAAAGGGATTCCACATAAATTGGACATCACAAACGGGTTCGATGATTCGGACGTTGAGCTTCCTAGCGGTGTAATCGAAACCGATTTAAAACTACCTCCACCAAATACAGCTCAACAAACGTCAATCAATGGCATTGTAAATGGAACAATTGCCAGAAAACGAAAAATATCGAAAAGCGTAAGTGAATCGGAGAGTACGTCGTCTTGGGAGAATAAAGCACCACCCGATGCACAGTGTTTGAGCACGAAAAATACAAACAGTGCCATTGTTTTGCAACCAGAGCATGCATTGATGAAAACACCCGAAAGACGGTTAAAACTAACTTTACGCATGAAACGAAGTCCAATGTTAGATGATCTTATTGAATCTGGAACGAATTTGAGTGATGGCAGCGGTAATAGTGCATATAATACACATTATGCACCCGAATATGAAGTGTTTCGTGTTGAAGGGCTACTTGATAATTCGGATGATGATTCATTTGACGCAACGTCACCATCAAAACAACAACAAAAACGTAAGAAACGACACAAAACAAAGGCGAAAAGTCATCGGCATCGCCACCGAAAACAACAGTCACAACAACATCGCCAATACGATAACATGGAACAAACTAGTTCAGAAGATCAATCAGAGCGCAGTAATCATTTGCATTTTAATCATTCATCACATGGAAAACATAGTCATGAACCGAACGAATACCACAATCATGAGAAAATGCATTTAGATAAAATGCAATACAACAATAGTGATAACAGTGAAATTCACAATGGCATTCGACATTTGAATAGTAACTGTAATAATTGTAGTGATCATTGTAACTCGCATATTCTACAAAAAACTTCACCTCATACACAGCCAATGAAACGTCTACGGTTAATTTTCGGTAATGAATCACATACTATTGACATTCCACCAATAACGACACAGTCGTCAAATACAACAACATCAACTAGACTCATTCCAACCTAAAACCAACATCAAAATCCATCATCATCAACAACATCATCATCATCGTCATCACCATCATCATAACACCACTTGTGATCGGTTTGCTTTCAATCGGACACCGTTTGAAACAAACTCCCAATGAGGCATCCACACACAGAGCAAGAGTAAATGCACGTTAGCTATTGCAAACTCAATTCAATATTTAAATTGAAATAAAAATAGTTGTCAATCTGTGGTGGTGTCTTGATTGTAAGTCTTGAAAATGATGTATTCACGATACGAACCAAAAAATGATCGACCCACCAGCTAAAAATGTCATGAGTGAACTCAACGAAATCAAAATCGCAAAACTAGATATGAGGACATATATATATATATATTAGCAAATTTAAACACTTTATTTCCTTACACAAAAAATTCAAATTGCATGAATTCGTTCTAATATCTTAATTGTTTGAATCGAAACGTTTAAGAAATAATGCGAATAAAATATAATAAATTTTTAGTTGAACTGAACAACATAAAATTGCAACCGATGTACTACAGCAGTCCATTATTTAACCATTTTGTTCAATTTAAGTTATTCACTTCTCTTTTATTTTGCCTTAGCTATTCATATCATTCAAATTCAATAGTATAAATTTAATTTACCGATCATATATATACTTATGTATAATTCGTAATTGATGATGTATATAAATAATTCTATGATTCAAATTGCAAGCAAAAAAAAGCAAAACAAGAAAATGTGTTCGACTGTTATGAATAATAATAATAATAATGTATAACATGAATTAATCGAAAAGTAAAGGTAAATAAAAAAAATGATGAAGAAAAATTGTTAATGTAAAAAAATAATAAAGAAAAAATTGTAAAATTAGATTCTGAATATGATTATTTTATTTACTTTCTTGGATTTTATAAAAAAAAAATTAAGAAAAATTAGTTTGATCATTTTATATCTAAATATTAGATTCTACTGCTATTTTTTATTCATCTGATGATTTGATGCTTCATTTTTTATGAATATTTCCGCGGAAGTAAATCGGATGACCCAGGATGAAGATTTCAAGCATCATTAACGTCATCGACACATTTCATTGGAGATAGAGAGAGTGAGAGAAAGGTAGAAAATTGTAATCCTTGTTTGCACGCTCGCTTAGATCCAGCTATTGGGGAGCTATCCTATCCCAAAAAGAATGTATGGTGCAAATCATTCAACAAAGTATACAAGCAATCTCATACAAAGTACAAAAAGAACAGCAGCTATCACTAAACATAAGCAAAACAAAAAATTATATTGCAAAAGAAAAGAAAAGAAAGAAAACAATAGAACACACCATTGTGAATTCGAATTCGAACCGAACATAAACGGTATATTTTCAATTTTAAACAATTGAACATAAACCTGAACGAACATGAACAGAAAATTCTTCTATTTCAAACCATTTGAACTGATCATAAATGAACATAAACAAACGACGTGATTTTTAAACGGTTCAATTATTACAAATTTTGTTAAATTGCTTTAGTTTCATAGTAAATTTACAAAAACGTCATATATTCATAATTTGTAGAATTACTATAAAATGTATAAAATAATAATTTGTAAATTTACTATGAATCTCCGTAGTAATTTAAAAAAAAAACGTTGAGTGCAAATATATTTGTGTAAACGGTTTGAACGTTTCAAATGAACGTAAACCGAACGCGAACCGAACATGAACAAATGAAAGAAATTGAACTTGAACATAAACGAACAAGAACGCAATATTTTCAATTGTGAACATGTTGAACCGAATCTGAATGAACACGAACATGAAAATATATTTTTTTCCGAACATGAACTGCTCAGTTTGTGGAAAATAATAAAAAATATGTAAAATCAGATTCTGAATATGATTCTTTTATTTGCTTGATTGGGTTTCATAAAAAATTATTTAAGATAACTTAGATGGATCATTTATATCTAAAGCACGATGGTAATAAGCAACGTTGAGAGCACCAGACAACCATAAAGAAGTTGCTGCGTTGCTCCTTTGTCATTATCGTCATGCTTTGTTTATATCTAATCATTCGATTCTAACGCTGGTTTTATTCATCCGATTTGATGCCACATTCATGCAGCATCTGAACTACCTTTTCAACAACGTCACTGTTTAAATTAGTGTCGGTAAAATTATTGTCGAACATATCGCACATGCTCATGTCAATTTCCGATTCTTCAATCAATCCGCTGCTATCATACATTTCCAATTCTTTTTGCAGATAATTCATCATGATTGCTTGTTGTTTGTACACCAGATCAAGTTCGGCTATTTCCAATTTGCACTTATTTTCGTACTCATCCATTTCGGGTGTATTTTGAAGAAAATTTTCACCAACCGGTACGCTTGGGGGAATTGTGAATACTTTATCAATGTATGAATTTGCTCGCAGTAAAAGTTTCACCGTCTCCGGTTTGATCAATTTCATAGCGTCTTTTTCTGCAAACGATTTGATATTGTTTGCCGTTTCCACCGTAAATTCCTTTTGCGCGGAGCTAATAACATCGTTGGAAAATTTTTCAATCATTTTTTTACAATGCAAACGAAACATCGTCTCATCTGAAGGGAAGAAACATTGAATATATAGAAACCATTGACAATGACATGTATACAAAAAAAAATGTGGTTACTTACATTGATTTTTCAGCTCTTCCAAAGTGAATTCATAAAATTCAAATTCGGTATCAATTTTTTCCATATCCATTTTGTGACCAATTATGATTCTAAACGAGAAAATAAATAAATTTGCACTTTTATTTCGATGAAAAATATTCGGAATGCGATGTGTGTTGTGTAGAGCGTCTGTTTGGGTATATTGTGTTGTGTTTAAATTTGAAATGTCAACGGACGATTCACACAAACGTCAAACCATGCGTACAACTCACGCTATAATTCACCACGCACGCATTGTGTCACTTTGACATTTCCACATTGTTTGGATTTATTTCTACTGCACGTGTTGTGTATTCATTGCAAAAACGTTCAACATAATGTTAATTTTTTAACTAGAACTCAAATCATTGTTACCAAAAATTGATCATTTTGTGTGGAATTACCAAAAGAAATATGTCACGTTTAATTGTAAAGAATTTACCGAATGGCGTAAGTAAAATTCATTTTGATTTTTTTTCTACGTAAAATTGCCTTCTTGACTTGAGCATATGCTCATTTTTTATTATTTTTTTAGCTCACTGAGAATCGTTTGAGGGAAATTTTCGGCAAGAAGGGCCACATCACTGATGTACAATTGAAATTTACAAAAGATGGAAAATTCCGAAAATTCGGTTTTGTTGGATACCAATCGGAACAAGTTGCCAGCGAAGCAAGAGACTTTTTCAACAACACTTGCATTGACACGAGCCGAATAAATGTGGAAATTTGCGCTGCATTGGGAGCTGAAACAAAGCCGCAGGCATGGAGTAAATACGCAAAAGATAGTTCAACATATAAAAAATTGCACGGCATTGAGGAGGACGACGAGATAAAGACCAAGGAGACGCTCGCCGAAAAGGAGAAGAAGAAAAACAAGAACGACAGATTGGATGAGATTTTTGGCGAGCATAAGAAAGATCCGAAATTCATAGAATTTATGAAAGTGCACGGGAAAGGAAACGATATTTGGAATAACGATCTTGGATTAGTTGAGCAAACCGAAGACGACATCATAGGTAAAAGTAAACAATCCACTACTGCTGAAAATGAGGATGATAGTGGTGATGATGGTGAAAGTGAGGCGGCCGACGAAGGAGAGGATGAAGAGGAATCAGTAAAGTTGGCAGATCAGTCTATCAGTGACTTGGAATATTTGAAATCGTTGAAAAGTAAAACAACAACTAAAACCGACACAAAAGCCAGTGCAAAAGAGATGAAAGTAACTGATCTCTTCACCATTAAAATTCGTGAAATTCCATTTAAGATTAAACGTAAAGATATCGTTAAATTTTTCAAACCCGTTAAAGCGTTCTCAATCCGCTTGCCGACGCGTGATCATGGTTTTTGCTATGTTGGATTCAAAACCGAAAAAGAATTTAACAAAGCAATGCTCAAAAACCGTAGTTTCTTGAATGGCAAACAAGTGACGCTAATCGATTTCACGGAGAAAAATAAGGAGTCAGCATTACGAAAAGAGAATCCGGATAACGTAAACGGGGAAAAAGGTTCAAAAAATCCAAAATGGGCAAAACAAGAGGAAGCTCTAAAGAATGAAGAAGACATCAGTGAATCGGGTCGCATATTTTTCCGAAACTTGAGTTATACGGTTAACGAAGAGCAATTGCAAGAGCTATTTGAAAAATATGGCCCAGTAACTGAGGTGAATTTACCCATTGATCCTGTTACACGAAAAATTAAAGGATTTGGCACCGTTACGTTTGTGATGCCAGAGCATGCCATTCAGGCCTTCTCCGAACTCGATGGGTCCACGTTTCATGGGCGATTATTGCACTTGATTCCGGCCAAAGCCAAAGATGACGATGAAAACGTGAATACAGAAGGTTTGTCGTTCAAGCAAAAGAAAGAGTTGGAAATGAAAAAAGCTGCAGGTTCAGCACATAATTGGAATACATTGTTTTTGGGAGCAAATGCTGTGGCAAATACATTGGCAAAGAGTTATCAAACGACTAAAGAGCAAATTCTTGATACAGCGACCGGTGGTAGTAGTGCAGCCGTTCGATTGGCACTCGGTGAAACCGAATTAATCATTGAAATGCGCAAATTCCTCGAAGCAAATGATGTCGTTTTAGATGCATTCAATCAAGCGCCGAAAAAACGATCGAAAACTGTTATTTTGGTTAAAAATTTACCAGCAGACACACAGATCACGGATATTCAGCCATTATTTGCTAAATTCGGGTTATTAGGCCGTATCGTTTTGCCACCCAGTGGAATTACAGCAATCGTCGAATTTCTAGACTCAAGCGAAGCGAAAAAGGCTTTTTCAAAACTTGCCTATACCAAATTCAAGAACTTGCCACTTTATTTGGAATGGGCGCCAGACAATACATTCAAAAGTGCTGCCACGAAAGCAATGGAAGTTGATATCATTAAAAATGACGTCGAGAAAATGGAAAATGTTACAGCGAAAAACTCGAAACCGAATCCATTCTCAAAGGGAGATAAAAACGGGCGGAATGTCAAAGCACATAAAGTGGAAGATGAAGTATTTGAAAATTATGTGGTCAATGATATAGCAGAGAAATCAACATCACAAGAGCAAGCAGCTGATGAGGAAAGTGACATTGAAGATATTCAACCAGAGCCAAATACTACGTTGTTCTTGAGAAATTTGAAATTTTCCACACAAGTCGAAACTCTGCGAGAGCATTTCAGACACATTGGTAAAATTTATCACGTTCAAGTTGCGATGAAAAAAGATCCGGAAAATCCACAGAACAAAATTCCACTGGGCTATGGATTTATTCAATTCAGACAAAAAGCATCGGCGGAAAAAGCGTTGAAAACAATGCAAACGACTTTGATCGATGGAAATTCGGTTGAGTTGAAGAGAAGCGATCGAACACTACAGTGAGTATACTTTTTTTTATATTGAATTTTGGCTTTTGTCTTTTAATGATTTTAATAATTAATGATGTAAAATTGTTTTGTTTTCAGAATTGAAACCCAAACGAATCGCAGGTCAGCAAAGGCATTAAAACAAACTGGATCAAAGATTTTGGTTCGCAATATTCCGTTCCAAGCTAAATCCAATGAAGTACGAGAATTGTTCAAGGCATTTGGTGAATTGAAATCGTTACGAATCCCGAAGAAAATGACACCCGGCGAAGATGCTCACAGAGGATTTGGATTCGTTGACTTTAATTCAAAGTCCGATGCAAAGGTATGCTAGCATTTAACATGGAACTCTGATCTTGTTTACTTACTCGTTTATTTATTCGGTGATTTCAGAGAGCATTCGATGCATTGAGCCACAGTACTCACTTGTACGGTCGACGGTTGGTATTGGAGTGGGCTGCACCAGACGATGGAATCGATGAGCTACGAAAAAGAACAGCCGAACATTTTCATGCATCACAATCAGATGGGAAACGCAGCAGGAAAGGCGTATTTGATGCTAGTAATGTTACAAAATTCGCTGAAAATAGCGGTGACGAAGAATAGATTGTTTATATGTGTATATTTGGAATATATACATTTTTAAAAATTTAAAGAAATACATTTTTATTTAAAGCAAAATCACATGTTCTTTTCATTCAGGAATGGTTACACAACCGTTGTGTAAGTTGGCTCGGGAGAAGTCAAGTTGATAAATATCTATCTGATGATCTAGTTTCAGTATGTGATCAGACGGTGAATAAAAAAATGAATTTGCATAAATGCCTACAAGCATCATTTTACGATGTGAAGTTGGTCATTCCAATGTGCAACAATATTCATAAAAGTAAGGCACATAGTACATAGGCACTCATGATGTTTGGAGAATATGAGTAGTCAATTATCCTTTATTAAAAATCTTTTCAATTATCCTTACCGAACTGCAAATATTTTCTACAAAACTGAAATATGAACTTTCAAATTAAAAACAATTTATTTTGACGCTTCGAATTGTATGATATTGTTTATTGAATTTAACATTAGGTATGTCCATGTTTTTGGTAAGAGTATTAGTTTTAGAATAAATTTGTTGGAAGGTTATTGTTTTCATATTTTTGTCTCCTCTTAAATGACAAAAGAAGTAGATCAAGTCCGGCTTAAACTGAAAATAGGTCATTGAAAACTTGAAATCACACGCATACAATACAACACTGTAAATAGAATATATTCGAACATGTAAATCGTACTTTGAACAGATATTAATATTGTTAGATGTTGAAACGGAGCGACAACAATAAAAGTAATTGCTGCCTGAGCTGGCCAAATATAATGTCGGATTTTAACACGTATTTCGAAGCAAGTTTTTAAAGACAGTTGACAATTATACAAATGCAACTTAAATGGTATGATTTTTGGTGAATCAAATCAAGTATGAAAAAAATCTAAAAAAAATTCGTCACTGATGAAACTTATTTCAATTAAAGTTAGAATATAAATCAATTAGACGAGTTGCAAAAAAGTGTGAAATTAAATCAATTAATTTTTCGTTGTATTTTCATTTTGGGATCAGTGGACAAAGAATTGAAATTTACGTGCCAACCAAGTTTTGTGCATTCCCATTGAAACATTTTCCGTATTGCATTCGAAAATGCGTATCGTTGAATCTTCAACGAAAGTACCATGGTGCTGCATTGTTTAATAAGGCGAAGGAGTCCATGTGCAGTCAAGCGACTTCCATCAAGGGTAATTTTGACGAGATTCGGTAAAAGATTGACGATCCCAATGACATCAGCTTCCGATGGATACCAATCGTGTGCTCCAGATGAAACGAATGAAATCGCTCGGATTGTCTTATGACGTGCCAAAAATGCGGTACATTCGCTATCAAATTCACCAGTTATGCAAAATTTTGAAAGATTCTCAAATGAAAGTGCAGCTAGATTGGCTGCCAATTTTCCTGAGATGTGACAATGATTTGCCAGCGTCAATTTGCGAACACTATTAAAATGGATGTCACCGTGACTGAAAAATTCAGTGTATCGCAAATGCCATAATTGCAAATTTTTAAGGTCGTTTAATTTCTGTGCGACATAGTGCAATAACTTTGCGTCATAAGCACTTTCATTCCAGTAGCACAATTTCAAGCTTTCAATGTGTGGGTTTCGATCGATCATGGCCATTATATTTTGAATGTTGAATGAGATGTTTGCGTAGCTATTCAAACTCAATGGCACGTTCAAATTGAAACATTTCAGTTTTGGAAATTCCATTTCGATGCTGTGGCGCACGTCCATTACATTACAGTCGATCAAATCAAAACGATACATTATCGGAAATAAAAACGTAAAGTCAGACGCTTTCCTTCCCAGTGCGCAATTTTCAAACGATACCCTTGTGACATTTTCAAACGGTTCGGCTCCGTTCATCATTTGTTGGCCGCAATTTTTGAATTTTATTTCATTTAGCGTCTTGCCGCAACATTTCGTAATCATTTGCTCAATCTTAGTGTCGTTTTCAAATCGGGTCAAATTAGCTGCAATCGGGAACATATTAAGGATTATGATTTTTTCAATCTTCTCACCGACCACATTTAGAAATGCGTTCAGATCATGACCGATGCCAAAACGATAGTTATCGTGTACCGCATTGCTGGTGACCGCATAGCGGGGGAATTGCTCGGAATCAATCAATACGGCATGTTTATGGAACTTTGTCTGGAAAAAGTCACACACAATTGATTGTAGATGTTTACACGAGCTGCCGACTTTTACGAGATCGTCCAAATGAAATCCGTCCAAAATGCGTTCGAAACAATCGTAATTCACACGTTCAATTGCGGTTGATGATTTCATTTCAATTTTCGCCGTATTTGGATTGATCGAATCAAGGGGGTGCCGTTTTCGTTTTGATGACGTCATTGATTTTGAATCGGATTGAATACATTCGCCGAATATATTTTCTTTGTTTTCACTTGGACATAACCTATGCATTTTGGCGACGACAATTTAAAACCACTGAAAAAAAAATGACAAAAATGTCAATATTAGCCACATGCTATCGAATTTATTGGCAAAAAATTGTCGTGAGTTGATGCTCATGGTGAAACATCAGTGTAGAGCACATGTATTGCACACGTTCACATTGAAACACATTGTAAATATTTTGAAATTTATATCGTTCTACCGACGGAAGTCTGTCGTCTCGTATCGACAAGTGTGGTTCACTAAAAAATTGGCAATAAGTGCAAAAATTACCTGAATAAAGTCCAATATTCTCTAGTGAGGGTCCGATTTGAGTTGTAATTTTTTCACAGCTTCAGCTTTCACACGATGCCTGCATTGATTTGTAATTTGAGAACAAGTGTCAAGCACTAATGCTAATGCAAACGGTTTGAATATCGGCCACAAGAGTGCATACATAATGCACATTCTCATCAATTTTAAATTCCAGTTTCAGTTACAGTAATTCAATCGCTATGGGAATTCCCTGACGATTTAACCATGATAATCCCTCTTTTTCCGATTAAACATTAACACGATTTTTTGTTCATTTTTTTGCTCTTTTATTTGTAAACATAAGTATTGGAAAATTCCGTTTTTTTCAACAACAAAACTGTCAATTTGAGTCAATTTATTTGTGAGTGTGAGTATTTCACATGTGCAATATAATATCGGTCCAATTTGCTATGTTGAATATGTAAATGTATTGAGAACCAAATGTAAAAAGAAATCATGGAGAGTGATGATATGAGCGCTATACATGTGTATGAAATAAAAACAAATATTTCATGTACTTTTGGCTTTTATTTTTCCTTTACCTGATCGAATCATTTTCAGCAAGGATAATAATAATAATAATTTTCTTTCTTTTATATGCTTTTTTTTTAAACTAACAACAACAGCTATATATTTGTTTTAACCACATTCAATTTAAATTTACTCGATTTAATGTAATTATATTTGAGTTTTTGTCTTAATTTTCAATATATAATGTTATTCTGCCTGTGGAGCAGACATAAGTGATCAATTAACCTGAACAAAACAGCCAATTTAGACATTCTATGTATCATATATTCAATTCTTTCTTTCTTTCATTATCAGATGATCGTTTTTCATTTCTTTTCTTTAATTTATGAAAATATTTTCATTGCTAAACACGTATTAACATTTCTTTGGGTTTCAAAAATTGTGTAACTAATTTTCATCAACACATGCCTCAAATTGATAGATCGAATTAAAGCCATTTGTTCGTCGTCTCACATTTGTTTCAGAACTTCAATGGATAAATTGTGTTTGAATTTTGACAATTTTTAATATTTTTTTTTTATTTGTCACACGCATTTAGAAAGCTTTTTTTGTCGATAGATTTTACAATAAATTTGTTTTTAGTAACACACAAAACACATGAAAAAGAACAGTCTTCTGAGCCAGGTACCTTTAGGAAGAAAAGAAAGAAAAATGGTATTTTTTTTTTTATAAAATCAAAAGAAATTGGATTGACTCCCTCAAACATTCCAAATTGCTCACCATGTGACAAAGTGTCGGGAAAATGATAAATTGTTGTTCAATCCTATTTAATTGTAGTGAATGGAGAATGTTGTAAAATGCAGGGAAGCGATCGTTGATAGAGAACGGTAAAACGTAGAGGTTATTTGCATTGAATGCAATTTGCTGCCAAGTATGAACTCTCACAGCCACACAAAAAAATTAAATTGCGATTTGTGATGAACTGCGAAGCTACATCAATCTAAACATGAAATGCGTTGATTTTTTCTTTTGATTTTGTTAGTCTCCTTGCTTGATTGCGATGGGCCAATTAAGTACATCGATTCACAACATCGATTTTATTCTGTCATATATTTTAACTTAAAAATGTTTTGCGTTTCATGTGACCGCTACGTGCTGGTGACGACATCGACATTCCACTCTCGTTGCTAAAGCGATAACGAAATAATATAACAAAAAGAACAATCATTAGTATTTTGTTGATGTCAAAACAACATCATCTATATAAGATATGTTTTTTTTACATTTTCTTATTGTGCAAATCTTTTGCGCTGATATTGTCGGTGTGTATCTATTTTACAACATCTTGATCATGCAACCTATTCGAATATTTTACAGTTCATTTTTATTTGGACAATAGAAGACCACGTTGTTGCGTTATAACAATGATACGTGTTTGTGTATTTTTTTGGGGGTAGAAAAAAAGAAAAAAACAGACAAAAATATGGAACATTATCAATAGGTTCAACAACAAGTATTTTGATAATTTTCGGACAATACAACATTAAATGCAAATTTACATTCAGTTTACGCCATTTAATCTATTCGGTACGAATAACAAAGCAAATATAACGGAGAACGAAATTGAATTGATCAAACAAAAGATACATATAGCCACAAATAAAAGAAAAACCGAATAAAAAAAATGAAAAATAAAAGACATAAATGAATTGTTTACCTTCGTCTCCGCAGTGATGTTTGGCCAGGTAAATTAAAGCTAAAGAACATTAATTAACAATATTATTATTTCAATTTCAATTAAATGAATATTTTAATAAAAAATGAGATTCATACCAGCCTTTCGGAATGAACATCCGTTGATTTCCTTGAGCCGCTCTTGAACCACCATGTTGCATTAACTTTGAAGTTTTATTTAAAATGATTTTTTTTAAATTAAAATTATGAATTCTGTTTCAATTTTTTAAAAATAATTTTTGAATACAATATTTACCACATTCAAATGCGCAGCATATCCTTCACTGAGCCATGTAGCGCTCGCTTGATACTTTTTACTGATCTATGTTTTGAAAACGAAAAAATAATATTCGTTTGTGTTTTTTTAATGAATCGAAAATTAATTACACTACCTTTCCAACAATATAGATTTGTTTTGGCTTCAATCCAATGTGTGAGTAAATGACAATGTCTTTACTCGATCCATACGCTGCATGAATGATGACGCCCTGATTTTGAATTAAATTATTATTATTATTTTTGGAGAATTCAATTTATATCAATCTTATTCATTGCCCAGCATTATTACAAATTAATTTTATGTAGAAATTTAATTTGATTTGATTAGATATTGCACATATATTTTAATTGTTCTTTTTTTACGTGACGTCCAATGTTCAAAGTGATATTTTCTATCTTCAATTGAATTAGGATAATCGGACCTTTGGTTTCATAAAAACGTAATATCTCTATACAACGGTTGAGATATTTTGAATGAAATCAAAACGAAACATTAGGAAACGAATAGTTAAGAGTGTCGGTAAAAATTTAATGACTGCCGTAGGTAGAATAATTGTAAATTACAATTTGTAATCATAATAATATTATGCCGAATTACAAAATAGAAATTTATTGATCCGTTTTACTGTTCATGCATTTTACGAGATGAACATATTGTGCACTCTGAATTGTATACTAGGTTTGTATGGGAGTCTCCTATTTTTATCAAATATAATCGTAATTATCGCATTTGACATAAATTTCAAGTATTATTCATTCAGCAAGCAATCTCAATTGAAAATATTGTATACATACATACATACACGAAAAACAAGGAAAAGAAGTGTTAACTTGATCATCAAATCTCTTACACTCTCTAAGCATACACACCGTACATATCTATGCGTCTGCATCTGATCTGTTTGTTTACCTGATTTTGAATTAAATTATTCAAATAAGCGGTTTTATGACCGAGCGGATCAGATAATGATAAACCATCGGCAAATGACACCAAACCGTGCGGGAAATTATGTTGACTCAACCATGAGAGTACACGCTGTTGCTGCATATCCGGGCGACCCGTTACATAAATCAATAAATATCCTAACTCCTGCCAAAATCGGCATACGTCTACGGCTGTTGAAAGTCAAAAGTGTTAAAAATTTTAGATGAACAATGCATTTTGTAGACTCACCTCCGGCTCGAACTTTTGGATCGCGTCCAGTTACTGACATCGATGCCGTGAAAGAGCCATCAATACTGCCAATGAAAAGGTCAATTTATGCATTAAAAACAATTTTCAACAACAATAGAGTCAATTTTAGAGATTCGAAGTTAATTACCTAAACACAACACATTCAGTGCATGGTGGAATCACAGCCAAATAAAAATCAACCGATGTGTGATCACCTCTGACGACCATTTTCACTGGATAAATGCCGATGTCAAGTGATTTGTCACTGGGCAGCGTATACACTATTCGGCCCGTTTTATCTGCAATAATTCAAGGTGTGAAATTGAACTAAATTATTTAGGATAAGATTGAAATTTTACCTGTAACTTCTGTTGCAAGTATACTCCATTCTGATGGTTCTTTCATCAAATAAATATCAACACGTTCACCTATAAATGGAATTTTTTTTTTGAAAATGCTGCTTCATCTTTCGTTTGACCGAAGAACACATACCAGCAAGCGTAATCATGTCCAGAGGTCCATACATGAATCGAGCTTGTAATTTTTGGTTTGATTGACCTTCACGTATAATAACATCGTTGGCTCGATGATTAGCAGTAACCTATGTAACGAAAACGAAACGATGCTTAATACATTTTACTTTTGGTTAGTGAGTATTTCTCACATTTTTCAATTTAACACTTGTTCGCTTCTTTTGCCATTTCTCGCGCGGTTGACTCGGACGGAATGTTGATTGATGATCTTTTTCATCGTGGCCAATTAGCATTGAGGCATCAAATCGGCCCAATTGTCGTAAGATGAATGCAATCACATCGGAACTCTCCCAATACGATGCATGAAATAGATGTGGCAACGCATGAGCTGGAAAATTGCTTAATCCTTCTGGACAATATAAAGCGTAATCAAGCCGTTTACTACCCCACCATCGTTGCTGGAGTGTAGTTATTGTAGTTAACGGAATGTTATCAATTGATCCTGATACAGTACTCTGAAGGGACGCATCTGACATACGCCTTTGGTGACCATCATTCGTTGAAAACATTTGAGGATGCGACTGAATCAATTCCACTGTTTCAAATGGAAGTATAATGTTAAAGAAGATTTTAAACATTTTTTTTAGAATTTTAACTTACACAAATGATATGGTTGACCATTTCCGAGTGGATATTTAGCGTATCTAGGTATATTGACTGGTGGAAGTAAAGAAAATCTTGCGGAAATAAGTGGTTCCAATCTTGATGCTATGGGATCGGTTGGATGAAATAAATTATAGACTTGTTGACAGTGCGGTTTTTGATTGGCAGCCCGACTATCAGTCAAACGCCGTCCAGCCAATACAATCGCCAACGGCGAGCCAAACATAAAGAAATCGCCAACTTCAAATTCAAATCGTGGCAATCGCGAATCACTGGTGGACGATGAACGTCTTCGTGGCGATGGTGCAGTCAATAATTTTCTTGCATCCAGTTCCGGATCACTTAACAGACCATGGTAGACATCTTCATCCAAATTTGATACTTCGCTACCGTGTCGCGTTGTACGACATAGTGCATCGTGTGCAAGAATTGCACCCATGGAATCACCGATTATTGCTACCTGACCATTAAATCCTTTTCCTTCTTCCGATTTAAGAAATTCATTATAAACAATGTTTGCACTGGTAACCGCTTTATTTATGGCATCTTGAAAATCCGGTGAACATGTGGTTAGAATTGGTATAGCGCCGATTGGTACGTCAGTCAAATTTGGAAGCTCAGACATGGCCGTAGGCGATACGTCAAAGGAAAATGGACTTAAACTGTAAAAAATGGCCGAAGATTTCCAATTAAATAAAATGATGCGGGATTATCAAAGTGTTTAATTACCTTGATAAAATGCCTAATGCATCACTGCATACTGATGGGCAACCCACCAACTTAATAATCAAATGCCCCACTAAAGATGGATAGTGTTGACGCATTACCGACTCGAAAGCTCCGCGAAATGTGGTCACATCTGATTTCTTTGCCGCACGATCGGTATTCGCATCTAAACAACTGCCAGCGTGGAATATCAGTGCTAGAACACTTGTGGGACAGGAGGTTCCGGGAGATCCGGGTGGAGAACGATCTATACTTGACGAATTTCCTAATGTTGGACGACGGCTATTTCGAAAGGTAATCATTCGTTAATAATTAGTAATTAAGAGTTTATCTATCAATTACCGTTCGGATGCAACCCTTTGCAGGTACGTGTGACTGAAAATGCTGTCAACAGCTGATTTTTTTTGTGCTGCTGCTGGCGGTGGACTGTCATCTTCCTCTGGCAATAATTCCAATGAACTCCATTTGGCCAACGATATCGATTCACTCATATCTGAAATGAAGGTGAATTCAGTGTTTTTTTCCACTGTGCTGATGCGTTCAAATATTATGAAACATATTTGTTTGGATAAAAAGCTTTGGGTATGGCACAAGCAATACGATGGTAAACGTATATTGTTATTGTTACATAATCATACCATGATTGGACAGTGCGACTTTTTTGCCTTTTAATTAATTGTTCATTTTTTTGTTTGTTTATTTACAAATCAAATTCAGAAATATCGATATCATTCAGTTTGTTTAAATACATAAATACCGTTGAACTTACCGATACAGTCATAAAATTCTTCATCCGAACCAGACTTGGAGTCGATCTCCAATTTTTCCATTCGCCAATTCGCCACCTGTATGACGTGAAAAGTGAAAATTATCGGTATTAAAATCGAGTTGTCTCAACGAATCACACTGGGATGGACAAACATATATATTAGGAACTGTCTACACTCTACGTTAAAATTATCTACACAAACAAACCGACCGGAATACAAATAAAGACATTCAATACCATAAAAGAGTAAAATTCGGGGCCAATTTAATGTTTGAATGTATACATTCATGAACGAAATAAAAACTTACATTTTTTACATTTGTTTGATTTGCAGGCTGGTTTGATGATAAATAGAGAGAAAAGAAAGACAAAAACGCAAATAGACCAAAAATCATCACAAACCATAGGATAAACTAAATCTATAAACTATAGTTAATACGTATACGTATTGAACAAAGACTTTTTTAAAACAAGCAGAAATCAGAATTAGTGACTTTCAAAATGTCATTTTTGTTATGGATTTTTTTTTTTTTCATTTGAAAGACAAAACAATTAGAAAAGCCATCGCAGAGTTTAGTAGCATAAAAATGATTCAAGGCGCATCAACAATTTAATGAAAATCATTACCTGTAAATCGAAACTTTGAGTCGATCCAGCTGGTGAATGCAGACCATGTTTTGATCCGTACTTTGAATGCTGAGATAGTTGGCCACTTGACGATCGTTCGTTGCGTGTTTTTGAACGAGTTGGAGCGACGTCATCTTCACCTTCCGAACTATCTATGCTTGGCGGATGCTCCTTGAGTTGTGGCGGTTCTGGCAATTTCTTGGGAAACATTGGAGTATCTTCCGTTTTTTCAATCGATTGGAACTGCGATGAATGTTTACTAGTGCTCAAATCAGTTGCATTTCCTTTGAAAATAAAAAATCATTCTCGATTATTACTTCTACAAATTGAAAAAAAGGTTCCATTTACCATCTTCATCTTCGTCTTCGCCGTTTAATACCATTTTTCTTTGCAAGATTAATTGCGTCTCTCGTTCAAATTCTCGAATATCTTCCATATTCAAGCCATGCCATTCATCTTGCCAAGCCCAGGCTTGAATATGAGCACTGACCATCATTTTTCGCATTAAATTATCGTGAATGAACTTCTCTAGTTTTGTTTGCATTCCCCAGTAACGAAACTCAACTCTACACAATTTATATGCACACATCAATGCCATGTTTCTCGATGTTGGTTGCGATTTTCCTTTCACTTCATTCCAATAATCTTCCAGCCAATTCTCGCTTAACGGTCCACGCTCTGTTTTACCTATTTTCATCGAAAAAATTAATTTCAATCATATATAAGAGCAAGTTACAAGTGTCAAGAGGTCACAAAAATATCATTACTTGAAATATATAGCTTTGGATCCTCGCTCTCAACGTAATCATTCGGATAAAGTTGCTCTTTTACAATATCAATCAAGTCAACTATTCTATTTCTCAAATCACTGCCATCCAATTCGAATACATTCTCTTGGTATCTATAACAAAGATTCGACCGAAAAATATTGAGACATCAATAATTGTCACGAAAGATCGTGAATTTGATGTTATTTTCAAATTACCCATTATCTGGAAAATAATACGTTTCTATTTCTGAGGAGAATTTTTCAACAAATGGACACGTGTAACGGGTTTTTGTAAATGGATAAGCGTTCCATGCTTCTTCTTGTACAGTCAATGCACTTTTTGGCAAAATTCCTAATGGTCATAATAATGTGAACATATTTGAATAAATTACATTCATTTAGCAACCCAATTGTTTACCTTTTATCCAACCGGGGAGATGTGAACCAATATGGAAGATTTTCCGCGTATATTGCCCCCTACCACCCGGCCCATTTTCGTACGGTTCGTTAATTAAAATTTCAACACCACTTCCAGCACCTTTACTTTCGTCGCGACTTTTTTTCTGCCAAATAAAAAAATTTATAATAGATTTGAATCGTTCTTTTTGCATTGGAATCGATTGGCAGCGAGAACAAAAACTTACTGCTATCATATACAGCTGAGCAATCTGATACTCCTCCACTGTCAATGGCAATGGAATTCTGTACTCTTTAATTAACATCTTCGAAAGTGTTTTGAGGTCAGCCTTTTGGAAGCGCTCAGCACTCAATTGATGACTACTTGTTTACGTCTTCACAAAGGAAAACTAAATCGAAGCGACTCTTTTATTACATGAAATAATGAAGTGATTGAAATTGCACATCACATCAACACATAAATAACCAAGTAAAATGCTAGAATTTATTTAGTACGATTTTTCTATTTCATTTCGATGTGATTATCATTATGATTTATTTGAGATTTGTTTCCCATATGCGCTCGGAATTAATTAAATTTGAACAAATGTTTGTTCTATTCAAAAATCTGTCGGAAAAAAGAAAAAAAATTGTTTAAATTTGAATATCTGTATTTTGAGCAAAGTTATTTGACTTTGAAATCTATATGAGGTTCAAACCCATTGATTTTCTTATTTTTATTTACAAACGAACTTCACAAAAATGTGAAAAAGAAATATATTTTCTTTATTTAGAGCAATCTCCCTAGGGGGTATATTAAAAGAGAAAACTAGAAGTTATTGTTTCGCACACTAGAGTCACATAAATTGTATAACTTATATACGTTTCACTAAGAATATTGAAAATACTAGCGCAAAAAAATCCGTCTCTACCTTCCTAGTACTCGCCATATTTTTGCATGAAAATTCAATCTATCTCAGAAAGCAAGCATTCTTTCTTCAGTGAATTTTATATTTCCATCAATTTATCTGAACATTTAAGATATTTATTTGAAAATTTGTTCGAGCATTACTGCCAACAAATTGTTTATGATAATTTTATTGTCTATACGATGTAAACATAAAACTGTTTGTATAAAAATAGAAATTAGCCGAAGTGAAAAACTCTAGGATGCATTCAATTATATTAAAACAACATTTTTTTATGTTTCATCTATCTAAAAGTTCAGTAATAGTGTGTTTGTTGTTCTAATTTTCCCATGGTGAGAATAATATAAAACATTGTTATCAATTCGCCTGGTTGGTGTACTCGAAAGAGGAAAAAGAAACCACTTAAATTCATTTTCTGCAAACGAAAAAAGGAACGAAGAAGAGAATAAAGTGATAATGAAAAAAAAACTAGAACAATGAATATGGTGAAAGGAAGAACAAAGTCGTCCTCAAATCATATAGCTTGCGGCACGGTTATGTACATTATATGATCCATTTTTTACGATACGATTTCATTTTTACATCACTTACTTATTAGACAAATGAGAATAAAAACTATATAACTCTTATGTCAGCTCTGCCAATGTAGTACGTCATAAATATTTACACTGTTTAGCAAGCAGTGCTTACCTTCATTAACGTAATGGATTATACGCTTAGATTAACAGCACGTTTGTTGTTTGTTTTACTCAAAATATTTGTAGACATTTTTCATAATACTTTTTTTCGATAGTGCTGGTCGAATGCAAACGATTTGATAAAATGAATTTCATTTAACGAAAAACGAACTGCTTGTTTCCACGTATGTTTTAGTTGATTGAAGCGAAGAAATTGTGGATTCTTGTAGATAAATGTGAACATTAATAAGTTCCCAAATGAACGATAAGTGGTTTTCTTAATCATATAGTGTGTCAGCATAAATTTGTATGCACTGCAATGTTTTGTAGTGGTAACAAACAAAATAATATTTTCCAGTTGGAAATAAATTTCGTGCTAAGGCAAACACACACTCACACATACACACACACACCCCTAACCGAGCACAAACGGTTAATCATCATAATATATTTCATTAAATACCATTAGATGTGTATAGTGTATGAGATACACATTCATTATTTACGCTGTCTCACACAGAGCGCTCACATGCCGTTTAAACATATTCAGCAATAGTTATTGTTATATAAGACGCAATCAATTTCAAATTGACCCAAGCCTTAAATCAAAACATTCTAACACGCATACATACAAACAATTTGAGAATATAAACACCTTAACGTGCGTTTGTGAATTCCATCCATCCATCCATTCCCGGAGCTTTTGTATTCACATCGAACGCTTCTCCGTTCACTATCGTAAACGAATACATGCACGCCTAGCTAGAAGCATCATTGAAGCGGCATTGGAAAAAAAGCTCGTACCGCTGCAAACGATGACGTCAATGATAAGCACTCTTCGCTTTCATAACAATCCACATCATTGAGCAGGTTGTGCAGCGAGCACGATTCTCCTTTTTTATGCGAACGTACTGGGCTCTCGCTTTCGCTCTGTACATAGCACATATATATATATATACGTTGTACGGTGCACAGTGTAATAGAGCGCATTATTTACAGTATGCTTTTATGCCGATTTGGCACAAAATCGAATTGAGACGTAAGATAATGGTAGAACAATAAATGTATGGCTTCAAAGTTCGAATTGAGAAAGTCAGAGCAACAAAATCAAATTGAATTCCACTCAACCATGCATATTGTAATATGGATTTTTATGTACTTGCTTCGTGTCGTTTACAGTGAACATGGTTTCGTTATTGTTTTTCATTGTTTTTCTTTTCTCTTTCTCTTTCTCTCTCTCTCTCTCTCTCTCTCTCTCTCTCTTGTTCGGGGTGCATATAAGTTTTTGATGGCACTGGGCGAACACTGTTTTCGAATTTATATCATTATGTGAATGGTAAATAGTATATATGGATTTACACATTTCTTTGTTCTTGCATAGCTTCGTCAAGAGGATGGTTGCCCAGATTGAGGTTTACGACGTCATTGATGATAATCTATTCAAAAGCAATTTTTGTATGTTTTATATGTATAACAAATTTTCGGGTGGATTGCACAAGTTTGAAAGTGATTTTTCTCATTTTGTCAGTGATTTCAAATGACGGTCATTGTGAATTGAAATTATTTGAATGCAATTCTTTTACGTTATAATATGCGTGTTTTTCAGCTCAATTGTAGATAAGCTTTCTACTATGAATGTTCCAGTGTTTCAATTAATTACAACATTCTATTCTTGTGGATTATATTATTATGTGTCACAAAATCATTAATTTGAATCATTCGACATCAAATTTATGGCCAGAATGCTTGAGTTCTACGTTTTTTGTAGCGTTAATAACATTTTAACGGATTTCTTCGGAATTTTATTATGAGATTCACTTTCATCATCTTTTGTGTCCCGTCTCATCTACTATTGAACGCACATTTCTTTTCTATCGCCCGAATCAATAATATTATGGAATTTTATTGGCATCGTTTTTCGAACCAATGAAAATCTAAATAGCCGTTGGGTGACAAACAAAACCGAAAATTCCGACGCATAACCGACATTATTCCATTAACATTGAGCGTATACATCATGAAAATGAATTGCTTATCGATTCCAAATATTTTCATTTCATATTTCAATTCTCAGTGTATAGAAATAAAAAATATTTTTGTGTGTGTGCCAAAGTATAGTTAACGTTCAAAGCGCCAAATGTGAACATTTTGATATATAGTTGAATTTGCGACTTTCATTCACATTGCCTGAAACCATACAAATGAAACACAGCACCAATACACACCATTGAGTGATATGGCCTGGAACCATTTGAAAAGAAGAATAGAATTGTGTGTTTATCTTGCATAACAATGGTGTATTAATTCAAAGGTTAATTTTTGTTAAAATCATCATTAATTTTAAATGACATGTGATTGATTTTAAATATAGAAGAGAATTTCCTCTTTTGATCTTTTTGCTATCTATCAACTTCAATGCAATCACATTTTTCACACTTGAAATGAATTCACACTTTGCATATCAAACACTTAATTTGCATACAGTCACTGTATTTTATTCGTTTCTTACATTTTTACGCATTTTTACAATGAGAAATAAAATTTATTTGCCTCTTACATTTTTGTTGTTGTTGTAAATTCACTGTTTTACGTATATTTGAAAAAAATAAATAAATATTTTTCACTTGTTTCTAAAGAAAAAAAAAACATATATTAAAAAATGAATCGTTTCTTCAGAAACGATGGTCTGATAGCAGGTTGATTGTATTTACTGTGTGATTCTATCAGCCCCCGATGTACGAATGCCAATCCAGAACTGAGATAAAAAGCTCTATCCATCGAACTGTGGACTATCAAACGCACCAACACATAAATACCATCGAGTTATTTTGGTCTGGGAACAACATGTATGTGGATTGTAAGACGGTTCTTTTTCGTTTTTAAACTGAAAAGCGCATGCGCAAAGCATTCGTTTTGTTCGTTTTCGAGAGAGAGAAAAAAATGTTAAAGGTGATGGAAGTGTAATACGAATTTTCTTGTGTTGATTGGATAAGCATCCAGCAGCATCCACATTAAACGGAGCTACCAGAGAGCCGCTTTCATATTATGATAATGTTTTGGGTAACATTCGATGGATATCTTTCAAGTAAAAGCCTTCTGGCAAATTTCTATCCCCAAATAGATAACAATTGGATGAAGTGTGTACTCGACATGTAAAGGTTTATTATACAGAAGTAGAACAATCCAATTTCAGTGGGGGCAACAAAATCATCGAAAGCTACCAATTAATTGTGTATTGTTTTCCAATTTAGTCATGTTTTATGTAATTCTATAGAGATTTTTTTCTTATATCTTCGGATCAAATGACAAAAGGAAAGTGACGCTCTCGGTTCTATTTTTAGTTAAACCACGTCTTTCACTTCGCATATGAATGTTTATTATAATCATCCCATTTCAACGGGCTGATTAGTCAATTGAAACATATCTATTTCCAAATTATACACCGTTTTCTTAATTTATGTTCATTATGCATTGTGGCTGCTCGTCTGGCTGCTCGTTTTAAAAATAAATGAGCTAAATAACATTAATTATAATCACTTAGAATGCTAAACTGGTATTCAATTTCATTGGTGATGTTGAAAAATGACAAAATTCGATTAACCCGATTTGGAACTACATGATTAAGCCATGTTTTGTTCACAAAATGAATATTTAATGTAAACTCCGATTTGAAAGTGTCTAAAATAAAATGGGACACAAATGAATCGCGAAATGGGTCAAAAATAAATTGAAGTTTACATTGATGTATCAATTAAAATTGACTGTTCGCATTGCAGTTCTGTGCATTAATCGATTTATAATCGAACGGTGTCTCAATCTCCATGACAGCCGACATGACTGCCTTTAAAAAACGAGATGGCAATTTTATTTGCAATGAAAATAATATATAAACACATCTTGTACGGTTTCTCTTACGCTCCAATTTTCAAATGATTTGTGACGATTGTCATTTACAATTAAACAAGAAAACATAAACGAAACACAGTATGGGAAAATGATGACGTTATTGTTTGACTATTCACCCACTAAAAATCTTATCCTTGCTATTTGGTCTATATACATGTACAAATATGTGTTATATTGCATGCAATCAACTGCTCATTCGTCCCGATCGTGCATGTGTATGTGTGTGTACCTTTGACGTCATAACATCCTGGCCCAATAACGATTTTCATGGTCTATGGATATGTGTCATTGAATATGTTACATATATAATACAGTGAATGACTTCTTTCTCTCTATTCTATGTACTGTACTATTTTATATCGTGTGATTTAATCAAAATTTCTCCAAAATATTGCCAATAATTGGCACAACAGAGAATATCACAAAGAATATCGCAAATAACGATACATGGAAAAGCCATCCTTCCGTATGCTTTGTATGGATCTATATTGGATTCGAAAATATTCGAAATGTTTTTATGTAGCTCAGTTTTCTGTAGCTTATAATAAAGTCAAATTGAAGGGTTCTATTTTTAGGTTTGAATATATGTATATTTTGAACATGTTCAATCTGTTCGACACGTACATCACAATCACTTCACAAAAATGGGTTACACTTTTCATGCAATCCAACAATGACTCAATCAATCATTTTTCCATTATCTTTAGAGAATGTCACAGACACAACAAATCACGTGAAAGCTTTGTATTGGATTCGTATATGGGAATTCCACTCAAAGACAAAGTCAAAACTTGAAATTATTAACTAACCTGTTGTTGACGTTTCAATAATACATAAAACCAATTCGTGATTTGAATGTTGTTGAACTCGTTGTAATTTCAATTTCTATTCGATTTTTTTTGCCTATTTTTAGAACAAAAAGAACCAAATTTTAACATTCAGTCTTGTTTTTTTTCAAAGAATACAAAAACCAAATTGAACATTTTATATACATGTTAAATCGACTGGAATGATATTATGGTAAATAAATTAAGATGGATATTTATAGAAATACTTGTAGTTTTATTTTAAAATAGATGTCAAACTTGAAGAATTAAAAAACTTTTATGATATGACCATATTATGTGTAATAAACAGTTGTATCCACAATTTTATGTGGTGAGGCATTGAAAACGGACAAAAAAATACATTACAAACGTATTCGTTCTCGTGACAAAACGATTGTCTCGAAATGATAAAATGTGATGGATTTATTAAAACTGAAAAAATGAGAATAAAAGCGAAATTAACTTTGAACATATCAAAGGAAAAAGATAAAACATACATTCAAATTGAAATGAACAAGTGCGTCACTGAAAAAAAAGTAGTCTTAAGAAATGAGTAAAAAAATTTAATTTTTTGTAATAAATTCACTTTGAGGGAGATGAAATTGAAAAAAAAAAAATAAAAAAAAATAATCCAACTTAAAAATCAAAAAATTGGGCTGATCAGTGTAGAAAATCATATTTCTTGTGACCTAAAAGCAGAAATTTCGTTTCAATTTTGTCAATTAGTATATAAACATCACAATGTTTTTTGTTTAAAGTTTCATATCCATTGTCATCGTTTTGATTCTGACTATTGCAAGCACTACGTAATACGTGTTGTTGTAGCTTATCTATACCCCACGACAACAAAAAAAAAACAAGTAAAATTTATAAGATAACTAACTCAAAATATATACATTCTGCCAATTTAATAACGCTACAGAAAACTGAGCAAGAATTGAATGTAAACTGTCACAAGTCAGTATAAGTTCGTATCACAAACGATAAATTAGTGCCTGAAACTTGTTGTGTGATTTTTTTTCATTTTCTTTTAAAAATGAATCAATTTAAAAGTGATTTAACCGAAATGAAGTCATTGATATCGGAAATGAATCGAAAACTTGGCGAAAAATTCGATGCTCATCTGAGTCTAATCGAGCAACAACGAAATCGTTTGGAACGTCAAGAAGATCAGCTTAGTCATCAACGTGTAATTATTGACGAATTAGCGTGGCAAATAAGAGATCTTCGAGACTCTGTGCGAAAGTGTAGCGAACAAATTTCAAATCAAAAGTGTAAAAATTGTAATGATTATGTGGGTATTTATCATGCGAAACTGAAACACATTCCGCAAACGAATAAACAATCGAATCACGTAGCAGGTATAATAATTACGAGCAATCGCATTTAAGCCATAAAATCAAAGACCTAATTGTTTTTTGAATGCCCCATTTTACAACGTCAAAATGGTGTTGCAATTGATGATGATTGATAAATTGAATCAGTTTCATTGTATTAAAATACTTTTTTCAAATGTTTTGATTGTTATTGATTATCCAGCGCGTTCATTTAATGCTTGTGCAATAATGAAATTGATTGGATTTTAACGAATGCTCTAATTTGATTTGCAGAAACATCTGCAATTTATGAATCGATAAACTATGATGAGACCCCCACTGTTGTGAGTCGTTCCAAATTAAATCAGCGCATCAAAACAAATTCACTGCAAAGACAGGATGCAATCAATGGCACCGTACAAAATCGAGATTGCAGACGTGATGTAAGTTCATTCTTGAATAATTTCATTCCGCCACCGCCATCAGAGACGCCACCGCCATCAGAGACGCCACCACAACAAGATGGCACCGACTATGATCTGAATCCGGTACAAATTAGTTCAGAAACGTTTGAACGACTAAATAGTCTATATAATTCGTACGACCTACGACATTCGGTCATTAATGGCAGCGATGATACGGAAGATGTGGTTCATTTGCGAGAATTCAATAATAATCATTCAGCGCGTTCATACCGTGGTAGCAGCAAAGCAATGTGCAGCTATGTATCGGTAATATATATGTCACAATAAATACATATATATAAATGTCACAATATGGTTAGTGTATATATATTAAGCGATTTTCTTCGATCTTTTTTTAGAATGTTGAGGATAGCTATTTACCATGTACAGACGACGAAGATAATGAATCATCACATAAATTTGTTGCAAAATCCGCCAACAGTTTAAGTGACAACGGAGATGTGCAAAGACCGGATAAGAAGAGCTCCAAGGAAAATGACATAGTTTACATCTGATTAAATTCGAAAATCTCAATTAGATACCATTTGGAACAACAACATTAATTATTCAGTAAATAACAGCATGAAGCATACAATACAATGATGATTGGCATTTTTTCCTCTTATTTATCTCTATTTTCAACAGTCATTTGAACTATGTTAAACGACATTACCATAAGCAATTTGAACAAATGGTTTGTCTATTTCGCTTATCAATTCCAATCTCATGTGCCAATATTCCATGTTGGTTTGGGAACAGTTCGCGTTTCGTCATAGATAACAATCAACGCCACGATGGAAAGAAAAACAACAAAACACGATGATAACGCTCTGATTCAATTGATTGGCAAAAGAGAGCACACACACCATACTACTTATTTAATTAGAATGTACTTGCTATAGTCGTCATGGCTTGGGGTGCAACCTTATCGTACATATACATGTTTCAATTTATTTAAGTAATGGGTAAGTATATGGTTATTGTGCACCTCGATGGAATGATAGAAAAGTCATTTTTTCGCCCGTAGGTATCTCATTCCATTTTTTCCACACGGAACAAAAATGATTGGCTGAATTTAATTCGATTATGGCTTCGGTCTCATTTACTCTTTACAAAATGTTTTTTTTTTCTACTTCAAAATTATCACGCGGTGGACAGAAATTGGAAGAACATGCACTCGAAGCGAATTCATTCTTAAACTGTTGTATTTGGAAATGCGATATTTGGACTCGATTAAACCAGACAATATATTGAACTAACTGGTCAGTTGAGCTGACATTACGTTAGCCAGCTAAATGGGCTGAAACAATAGACGTTATTGTTTTAATGATGAATCACTTTTCTTGTTTTACTAGAAGTGATTGTTCATTATAACAATAAATTCTATTGGTTTAGTCCATTTAGCTGGCTAACGTACTGTCAGTTCAAATGAGCAGTTAGTTCAATATATTGTCTGGATTAAACATCGTTCGTTTGGTGGATTTTCATTAAAGAAGCCGCACATATGTTTTTAAATCTGATTTACAAACAGCTTTGTTAACAATTGTAAAGTTTCACTCGTGCTAATGATTGTTTTTTTTTTGTGATGAAGAATTGCTTAAAGAAAATCGTAACGTTGAAAAGTCATCATATAAATATGACATAAAAGCAAAGATTTTAACTGCGTTATGAAAAACAGTAAACGACGAACATCTTTCCATAAAGTTGCGTCCTTGAAACGTACCACAATTTCCCCTTAAAATATATGTACATAATCTTTCATAATAAATGTGAGACTGGACGATGTTATTGTATCACTTCTAGAAAGAAAAATGACGAAAATCACATCTGTAATTCATTTGATGCTACGCTCATTTCCTGCAAAACTATAAATTTATTCTCAACACCCGCAATGTTGTTTACATTAGCATCGATTGAACGGGAATGAAACTGCTAGCACTCATTTTGTTTATACACTGTCAATGTGTTATTACTTGCGTTCTTTTTCGTTTCTTTATTTATCTTTATTATTTTGCTCATCGTTCCAATTGACGGAATTATCTAAATAAACACAATTGAGCGAATCGACAACGAACCAAAGAAAATATACACAAGCAAGAAGATAAATATATACTCATGCGCTCGTAAGATGTTGTTAGCTGCTTGAATAATATTTATTTGTAACTATGGTAATTATATGAGATATGATGAAATATATATGTATATTCTTTTGTTTCGCATAAATGAAGAAATTGAAGTGAAATTCTTGAGAATTGAGCGAGATGCATGACATTTACTGAAATTGTAGAACATTAATTTGTTGACAGTCACCGTGATTTACTATGGCAGCCAGATTTCACTTAATTTTCAAGAAAAAAAAAACACATAAATAAATCAATAAACTTCTTACCAATTCAAGAAGTGTTTCATGAGATATCTGGCATTTCATACATCGATTATTCATTTCACAACAATTATTCATTAATATAATTTGATGCTGTGTATTCTGAGCGTTCACAGAATTTGCCACAATAATTTTTTCTTATTTCGGCAGTGAAAAATTGAATTTGAAACACCACACTAATAACATATGCAAAAAATGGTATTCATTCAAACACTGAAATTGAATTAAAACATGAAAATAACATAACGCACATACACATACACACGAAGACAAATGGAATTTGCAAACACAAAAATTAAGAAAATGAGCCTTCGGTGTAATGAATGGTATTCGAACTGCTGACAGATTACAACTAAACAGTATGGTAATTTGTCCGCCTTGATATTGGCTCAGACAAAAAAAAGTCAATATTGTTCTGCTCAATGTCATGTGTTTTGGGTGAAAACATTCTTATAGCGTCTCTCTCTCTCATTCACACACACTCTCTCTCACTCAATCCTTGTTGGAAAAATGACAGCGAAAGTGACATGCACGCTACGTGACTACGCGTGAATGTGGTGTGTTGAGTTTCCTCTCGCGCTCCATTCAAATTCAACAGAAAAAACTCCTGAAGTTAGACTTGCATAATCCAGCTCTTTATCTTTCTACTTTTCAAATTGGAACGTTTGAATGGATATTACAACAAATATACCGAAAAATTAAGCCAAATAAAGAAAAAAAAATGGTGAACTTTAAAATCCGTGCAAAAATCACTTTGATGCTGTCTATGCATGCCAAATGATGCGATCGCTTGGTTAATATAATAATGAGTTCAATTAATATATTCATGCGAATACAATTAGAGAGTCAATTTTAATGTCACAATCAATTTTGTGATGATAAATTATGGTTTGATGATTGGATGATAATGAACTCAAGGTTGAAATCTGCTTTGTTTATATGTTGAATAGGTTGTTGATTGTCACGATATTCCTTTAAGCACCAAAAATTAGAATGGAGATAGGAACTTGAACCGCTTGGTTGAGGTCATTCAAATTAAGAACTGTGTATACCACCTCGAATTTTATTTGTTGAAAAAAATTATCCACAGTTATTTAGTGACGCGCACCCTTTGTCATAGTGTTGGTTTTGAGCAGCAGCTACCGCCAAATTCTTCACTTGCTGCGTAATATGCAGCGCTTATACTATTGCAAGAAAGTGATCCGTGCGAATATCACATTGACATTGTCAAATTTGTAACATGCACTTAACCTAATAAATCAATCAAATGGCACGCAATATTTACCATTTTTTGACATAACATTAAGGCGTATTTTATAATTGTAGTTTGTTATTTTCATTCAAATTTCAAAAGAGCTCACAAAAATGGATGGTAAGATTAGAATGATTCATTGCACCGGCCATTATTTAAAACTCTACAAAATGTCGGCCAAACATACTCTGCAATTATCAATGTTAATGTATTATAAAAATCTTTATCTTCAGTTGATTTGGGTGCATTTGAAACGACTCGTATATTTATTGGCTGCTATGAAGTGAAACTAAAGGAGAATGTTCGAGTTACTGCCAATACCATTAAAATGGTGTTACAGAATCCAAACAAATCGACCGAAAGCATTGAAAAGACTATTGAAATAGTGCAAATCTACAAGTGTGTTTGTCACCTAGGAGCTAAGTTAACATTAATGTTTTTTCTACGTCCATCGTATCGTTTGTACGAAGAAATCGCATCAGAAAGTGGTAAGGGTCAAAAGCATTTAATAAATGTAAAAAATAATCAAAATTGTTTGTATAGCTTCCAAATCAACTCGCAATGTGATTATTATCGAAACGCAATCACTGGATGATACCATTAGCAATGCCATCAAACAATTATGCCCGATGTGTGACGAAATTTCGCAAGATGACATTGAAAAGATGATGAAGAAATATACACACGTCAAAAACAATCAAAAACTACCATTGGCAAAGAAATCGAGCATTGACGGCGCCGATATTCGTCGCATTTTGACGTATCCACCAACTGGTGTCGGTGCTATTGCAATCACTGTCACAGACTATGAATTTTTGGCTTGCGGAGAATTCTTGAACGATGTCATTATAAATTATTACATTCAGTACTTATATCGCGAAGTGTTGACCGCAGAACAAAGACAAGTCACGCATATGTTCAACACGTTTTTCTATGAAAAGCTAACAGAAACACCGGCGGAATTTAGTCTTGAAGTGGACGAGGCACGTCAGCGGTATATTCGCGTCGAAAGATGGACCAAAAATGTAAATATATTCGAGAAGGATTTTCTTATTGTTCCAATAAATCAATATGCTCATTGGTACCTAGCAATCATATGTTTTCCTGGATTGACAAACATTCACGCTGTTGAAAAACCAGGATTACATATGACTGCGAAGAAATCAACAAACAATGCTGATGAATCGATAAAAGATGTCAAAACCGCACAAACCAAATCCAAATCAATCAATCGTGAAAATGATGACGATGATGAAAACGATGATGATGATGATGATGATGATGATGATGATAAACCACAGCATGTGGTCAAGAAGTATGTTTTGCCAGCAATATTGAACAAAAGTCCTTCGTTTTATTTTGATCGTTTAAAATATATTTTTTTTTTAAACATCATTAATCGTGATTGAAATCTTTTCAGGCCGTGCATTTTGATATTTGACTCACTGTTCACTGAACACCGTCGAACGTTTGCAACGCTTCGCGAATATTTAAACTTTGAATATGAATGCAAAGTAAATAACGATTTTAAATTTGATCCCAAAAATATTCCTGGAGTCAGTGTGAAAGTGCCACACCAAACAAACGCATACGATTGTGGATTATTCTTATTGCAATACATCGAGCAGTTTTTTAAGGTTAGTATAGACTGATTGATTCCCCAAGAAGTCACGTCGTTGTCTGATTTATTCAGTATTGATAAGCTGCCATTGATTTGTGTTCATACGCATTGAGCTGCTGTGATTTCTAATTAGTATCGACACATCATTTTTGTTTTACAATAGTACCAGAAAATGTTCTTTTTTTCACTTATACTTTCTTTACAGACGCCGATCACGAAATTCGAATTTCCAATAAAAAGTTTGCAGAATTGGTTTCACAAATCGGAGGCAAAAGGAAAACGTCGTGTTATTGCCGAACTAATTAAAAAGCAAATGGCCCAAAATAAAGAAAAGGACGTTATTTCGGTCGATGATTTGCCATACATTGAATTGCCTGCATGAATTGATTCATTATTTATGCAGGCAATTTACATTGCTCATTGCCTTCGTCATGAAAAGTGTAAATCAGCGAAATCTCAACATAGAAAAAACCCCGCATAAAATGATGATTGATGTATTGTAATTGATTCTTAAAAGGGCTGAAACGTAAATAGAAAGTAAAACTGAATAAAGAATTCAATGATTCAGTCTCAAAATATGTTGACTTTCATTCGTCACAGTGTCTGATCGCATATTTTCATTCTATCTCATTTTATTTTTTTATTCAAAATTGTCGTGATTGCGGCCAAGGCAATCTGATTCTAATTGATTGCGAGAACAATCAACCAGAAAAATCGACTACAATGCAGTCGAGTGTGAATGCAAAAAAGGCGGCAAATTAAACGTGTACTCATTTGGTCTCCATTCATATTTTTATTTTATTATTGCATAACGCAGCTCGTTAGTATGTTTAAACAAATAATTATGGGCATCAGATACGGGGTTCACAGATAGAAAGAATATCGTGTATGATGCATGATTGTGGTTTTCTCATGAATGATGAAAAAAAAAATGTTACTCGAGTGGAAAGGTGACAACTAATAAGTAAGTAGTCTTAAAAGCGAGCGAATGAGGTGCAAAGACCAAGGCGACGGCACAGCCGGTGTATATTTGTATGAGATTGGAGACTTTTTTTTGCGAATCTCGCTAATGAGCGCCATCTGATTTTAGTGTGAATTAGATGCAAAAACTGAATTTAATTCTGTAGCATTGAAATGAAAAAGTGAAAAAACAACAACAATAGCACGGCCACACAGAGCTGTACATCTATGCGTGCTGATGCATACATACACATATACGCTTTCTTCATTCTTTCATTCCATTGCTATACGTATCTCACTGGTCAACAGATCTATGTAGCCATGTTACTGTTGTTGTTTTTTTCTCTTTTTCGATTCAATTCATTGTAACTAAATTGAGTTCAACTATGGAATACAAGATGGCACAGATGAGGGGAATTCGCATTTTGTCTCTTCATAGGCTTAGCCGGTTGCGACGGCATATAGAAAAAAACACTCTAATGAATCTTTTGAAATCGACAAATGAAAAAAATAAATAAAAGACGGAAAAATGCAATTTATTAGAACCTGCTTACGATGAGTATGTAAATATGAATGTTTTTTTCGGTTTTGTTCCGCATATACTATATAGTTATTTTGAACACGCAATTCAATTGATGTTTTAACACCTTTGGCGTAATTTTTCTATCGTTGTTTCATAAAAAGCAATTGGCGTTGCCGAACAATCATTTACATATCTTGAATTCATAATTCATATTGATTGTCGCTTTATTAAAAAGAAATAATAAACCATAGTCATAATAAATTTTTATTACAGCGTGTGTACTCTGGCGTTAGTGATCGTCAAATGAGTATTGGTATTACGTATTGCAATTCATGTTTTAGTTGCGGTTATGTGTCTATGTAATTCCCAGATATCTTATGTTCGTTTTTTTTTTGTTGTAAACAAAGGTGCAGCAGCTTTGGCATTGAACCATGAAAATATTCAATCCGATCGATAAATGATTTTTATGAGCATTCAAAAGTCACTGTATGATTAATTTGATTTTCCATACAGAAAAGTTTATTGACTCATCTCGTTGTTGATGAGTTTCCGCAATGACTTCAAGTGAAAGAGGTCTTATTCATTAGATATACAATCTTTTACACCATCATCACATTTACAACGACATTATTATCACATCTTAATGGGACACGTGTATTTTTTCAAATAAAAAATATGCAAAGATTAACGAGTTGCCTTGATGGTCTAATTTAATTAGCCATAAATTTATCAAATGTATGGCAATGAACTCATATACAGGACACATTTGAAATCGGAACATCGGTGAGCACAGGGGGATGTAAGCCCGAAATACTCTCCTCGATATCATCCGAAACAGATCTCCCTCCCACTCGTCGATGGAGAAAGATGGGAAAATTGTTGAAGATTTTTGAAAGCAAAGACCTTTTTTGCTCTAAAAAGCATTTGGAGATGAAAATACATTCAAACGATGACGTGGAAACTCGATTCTACAACCGTGCCCATGTATGAATCGGTGCATACAACAGAGTGTACGCTCAGATAAATCTTGTTTTAAATTGACTTAAACTGTAAATTCTGCATTTTTGGTTACGATCGTGTTCTGTCCCTGAAACAATTGACATTAAAAACAAAATTCGCATATCATATGGTTGCGGCAGATAAGATCTGGTAGTATTGCACAAGAATGGTCTGAACGAAAAAAAAAATGTGTTGAATAAAATATTATTCAAATCGTCGGTGCGTGTGAATCGCAGTTGAGAATACCGCTGAATACCAAATAAGTGCAAGTCTTCGACTTATAATGTGTGGTGGGGTACATATAGCGGCACGATAATCATATGTGTCAGATATAGTTGCGTCTTTTACTGGTTTACTATCGTTTTCATTGCAAAGAAAACAACGGCGATCGGTGTAGCAAGCATAAATCGGTTCGATTTGTACTGTATAAAAAGCGCGCCACCGCTGTATGTGTGTTGTTATGTTGAATTATTGCCAACAATACATTTGCGCATCAACTAAATGTATGTGTGTGTATGTGCTTGATTGAGATCCATTCACTTGTGTCGTATAACGAAACATTTAACAAATCGTTTTGCTCGCATATGAATATGCATACACGATGTGGATTGCAAAAGAAACCAATGTCCAAGACCATTCAATCGACGGAATCGCAACTACTAATACTTTTTTTTTTTGTTTTCTGTTGTTTTATTTTCTCAAATCGCAATTCAGTTGGAATCGCGTGCTCAGCGAGCAAAGTTGTACAAAATGCATAAACCAATTTCGATATTTTTCAAACATTTTTTGGACAGTTATTTGATTTAAAACAGACAAACACTGTTTTGTATCTCAAATGATATTGTGTCATTCTTGTGTTGACTTTTAGAAGTTTTCTATACTTTGGTTTCTTTTTTTTTTGATGTGAAATACAATAGAATTACATAATATTGTGCAAATCGACAAATATATTTACATTTTTTCCGTCTTCGTCTTCTTCTATTTTCGATTTTCGTGGTATGTGAATTATTTCAAATTCTCCTTCGCAATCGTTTTACATGTTTATTCAACAACATTAATGCATTTTCCATTTGATTTTTATGCATTTGATGTAACTGCAGAAATAAGAGTATTACGTGATTGGTGTGTGTGTTGATTATTTATAACATTTTAATTTGAATGAGTTTAATCACTCTATTAATGAATCGAATGGCTGAAATGATGAATCAAAAGTTAGCGGTTTAACGTACTCTTCATTTAATTAAATACAAAAGGTGTGTGTTAATGGTGATTTTACTATTCGGCCGACGAATTAAAATTCCAAATGTAAAAATCAACTTTAATAATTGCGCGAAAAAAAAAACTGTTGGCCATAAAACGGATTATCTCGGTCAATTGTAACCCGCGTGTGTTCAGTTAAGAGTGAGCAAGAAATAATTCAATAAAGTATAAAAAAAATGCAGACACGCGATATTTGACACGGATATTAATGATATGTATTGAGATTTTAAACAAAATATATGTGCCAAATAATAGCTACTATTTACGAAGACTGTCACTGAATCTCATGCATATTATCTAATTTTAATGATTTTTTTTCACACACGAATTCTTTGACGGTGATTTTTTCTTCTTCTTCTTTGTTGGTCTTTTTCCTTTACTTAATCACTCGACATAAAAATACATGATAAATATGATAAAATAAATATGTTGGCCATTTAATTGTGTGTGTGTATGTGTGTAAGACTTTACATTCATTTTCAAGTCAAGGTAGTTGCTGCTCATTATGATTATGTTATTGGATTCTGCGCGGCTGACCGATGCTTTCAAGTGTTTTATTCATTGAGTTTTCGTAGTTCCGTTACAAAAAAAAAAACCCGAAGAATATTGTTTACATTTTGTGGCTTTATGCTTACAGTGTGCGCGGTGCGATGGTTGTAAAGCCTATGCATAAAAACAGCCTATGAATTTAATTACCATCATTGGGAATAATATCATATAATTGCTATATATGTTGTAACCGATCTTTTGAATATTCATGTGATAATCTGAAATTATGTCATTATTACAACAACAACAAAATTCCAGAATTCATTGCTTCCAAACTAACGGTGCCATAGTGTTGAAGACAGAATGTTGAGGCAAGCATTAATAGCGATTGTTTTGATGTCGCTGCTAATTGGCAATTCATGGGATGCTGAAGCACACGATCGAACATTACGACAAGAGAAAATTGTCGATTTTCGTCACAGCGAGACAAAAGTTCGCGAAAAACGATTCATCAATCCATTTACCAGTTTATTTAGCGTATGGAATGCTCTTACACACATTTATCAACTTTATACAGAGGTAAGTTGATCACCTCAACCGCCACTGTACGCTGCACGAGACTAATTAATCTCAATTAATTGATCTTGTTTTCAGCAAAAAAATGAAACACAAAGTGCACTGCAACAAACATATGATATCATTGCCGATGGTTTCAACGATACGTATCAAGCAACTAAACGGCCAACCGTAAGTTTACTCAAATCATTTATGGGGTTTGGACCATTGAAAATATGATAAATAGAGTATATAAACCTTCTATGTTAAATCGGTGTTAAATTAATAATCATTCAAGTCCTCCACCAAAACCGGATCAATCGGTTGTTTTGCCGATGTGTATAATTTTTTATGGCATAAAATTCAATCGAATAGTTATAATAAGAAGAAAGACTTATAAAGAGAATCAAAATATGGCCTACATCAGCATTTTAAGTTACAATGTCATCGCGGTAATAGAAACATTCCAAAGATATGCGAATATTAAGTCATTATTTGCATATAGATTGTTGTTGACGTTTTTCTTTCGCTTGTGCGTTTAAATATCAAGGTTGATTTTTTGAAGTCCAGTCACCGAGAGTAATTTTTGGTGAACTTAAGACTTTTTTTGTCTTGAATCCTACACGTTTTCAAGTGACCAAAGCAGAAAAAGCGAATCGGTGACCTTTTATCACTATCACATTTTTGCCTTTTATCAAACCGAATAGTGACCATGTACCATTTTATTGATGTACTTTCTAAAAATTCTCTACATTATACTTTTTTTTATACAGACGACATCAACGTCATCTCCAGATTCAGAACCGACAACATCCACACAACGGTACCGTATTTCACGAAAGGAGTTCGGTTACATTTTGGGACGAAATTATCGTGGACTTAAAAAACTCTACAACATTGAAATTAACGATGCACTAAATGTGAGTAGTTTCTGATACCATTTGGGTGTGAACTTTCGAATCGACATTTTCAACATACGCAATTCTTTTTACTTTTTTTGATTCGTTTGATTGCAGCAATCGAAATACAATATCCAAGAGTACAAAAGTGAAAAGGCATGGGCGCTTGCACCGTATACGATTAAGAAATTTCCACCGTCAAAAGGGAGCAATAAAACATCAAACAATTAAAAACGTTATTCTATCGAATGAAATACATTCGTTAACACATTCCGCATTGTTGCCTGATTATTATTAGTTTTTTTTTTGTTAATTTTAATTTGGATACATGTAATTTTATACCACCTTACTTATTGAAAAGAATGTTTTTACTGTGATATAGTTTGTAGCATTTTTGAAGAGTCGCAAAAATTGCTATTTTTAATATGATAATAATTCAAATAAAAAATTAAATTGTAACATATTACTTTCAAGTTTGTTTTGTGGACCCGACGCAGTATTTTTACTGCTAAGTGATATGATTGTTCCCACTTTCTTCACCAAAAAGTCTATTGTTTTTCCCAGCCACTAGATGAAACCACAAAAAAATAATGAAATGACAATTACAAAAAAGCGGTTTATAAATTATAATCAATACCCTCCGCTATCTATTTAAATCTATTTAAATTATCTGTAATGGATACGCATTTTTTTAAACTTTCCGTATCAAACTTTTTACGGCAGCTGTAAATATAGATAAATAATTTTGATTACGATATACAGGTAACCACGACAAAAGGACTAATTACATCTTAAGATAGCAGAAAAAAGGCTGTTCCATGCAGATATTACGTGTTACTAAAACCAACACGAGGTCCCATTTTCCTAATAATCAATTCAAATGAGAAAAATAATAATATTACAGAATATTCATAAACATAACATTTTCATAATTGGCAATTACTGATTTCAAGCATGATATAACGGTGCCAGCGATTAGACTAACTTCGGTATATAGTTGAATTTGGATTAGACTTATTCTTTTTCATTTATTCCCAGATTATTTGTGGAACAAATTCCCCATAATATTTTGTTAATCCATGTAATCAACGATAGCATTTGGAATTTGTTGAATGATTACGTTCGTAAAACTATAAATGATTCTTGTTTGACATTTGGATGATTTTTCTGATTCACTGTGATTCATAGTTTTATAATTCTGGTCTACCCCCTAGATTCCTGTTTTAAAAAATAAACACCAATTGATTGCTATCTTTCCAATTACAATCTAGAAGTAGTTATTACTTTCTATGTCATTCTTTATGGCATCTATAAAATACTTCATAACAAATAATGTTGTGCGCGGAAAAATAGTTAACAGAAATTGGAAACTATAGTTTCGAGCATTTTGGGGTGAACCACGTCAGTTAAAATCGAGCGTCCAAATTAACAGGACACGTTTAACTATTTTTGTTCAATTTACTGAGAATTTCAAACTACCATCCAAATATTAAAGAATATTCTGAAATCGAAATTATCAAATCAACTTCAGAAAAAATTAAAATGATCGTCAAAATTTCCACAATTTGGCATTTTTGATTTGCCATTTGTTCGTCGATGGTCAATTTCAAATTGGCCACATTCTTTACGATTCAAATGTCTTTCAAGACACTCAATTGATCACCGACATTCAATTCACCTGTCCACGTTCCATTCCAATGATTTCAACTGACGCCACTAAAGAGCCACGTCATCTTCCATGGAAACCAGACGAACCTACCGATCAAATTCTTCAATTGATTTTCGTTGACCTTGACCATTGACCCATGAACATCGACGATTTCAAAAAATTGTTCACATTTTATAAAATTTTCGTATTTTCAACACTCGATAATGGTGAATCACAAATAAGTGAAAAATTCAGTTCAGCTCTCGATATCGATTACCTTGCTTTGTTTTTCAATCGAGTAACTGGATTGATCAATGTTTATTTGATTACAAATGAATATAATGTCAGTGAAGAAAGTGCTAATGTTGAACGCATACTTCAACAAACTGATATTTCCCGAATCAGAAATGAAAATAATTTTGAATTGATATTTGAAAAATATCAACAAAATTGGACGATTTTGATAAATTACTTTTATCCAATGAATTGTGCTCATGATGATAAAACGCGAGAAACGTACAACACATGGAATGGATATCCATACATTTTGAATTATTTCTACTCACAATTAAAAGCTTCATATATCTACCATTTAAATGTATTGTGTAATCCGATGAGTTTTGCATTTGAGAATATTCGTCAGAAATCACAAAATGTTTACAAAGAGCTTTCAATGGAATACGAACGAGTCGATGATGAGAAAACGTAATATCAATGTATGTTGACTTATAATTTGATGAAAAATACATTTTTTGGTATGATTTCAGAACGGAAATGCAACGAGGCCGGACAAAAAGTTTGAATATTGAAATAGTTCCATCTATGTTTATTTACGAAGAAAGTGAACGAAAGCCTCTGTATCAATATACTTCCATTGAGTTGGTGGTCATTTTCGTTTATGGTGATGATTTCAAGCGTGAAGAGTACCGCGTCTTCAATTAATCGGAAGCCACGATGGGTAATGCAATTTTTGCATTTTTCCATTTTTGTGTGCTGCGGCCATTTTTGTGTGCTGCGGCCATTTTTGTGTGCTGCTTCGATGGGTATATTGCATCATTCATTGATGTCATTATCTCTTTCTTTGGCGGAGGAAACGTACATGCTAATCATAAACTCGAACGATGGATACTCGGAATTTTACTGATTGGCTGTTTTTTCTAAACAACGTTTTGGTTTGAAGTCATATTGTTTCCATCGTTTCTTGTACGTAAACAAAGTATAGAAACGTTTGCTGACTTGGCCGAACTGAATCCACCCGTATATCTGGCTCCCTATTTTGGTTCAAAGGAGGAAATCATCAAAGAAATACTAAGGTTCAATTCATCTCATTCAAATCGAAATGATGAATTATTTCAATGATTTTTTTTATTTTCAGAAATAAACTTGAACGAAATTTTGTTCACAAGGGCAATAAAATTTTCGGAACTATACTTGAAGAAACCAATAATTCATTTGCTCTGGTGGCTGCTACGCTTAATTTGCCCTATCATATTGCTGGTGCGAAAAACTTGAGAGATATCGATGTGCTGAAAGAAAAGCTTGGTATGTCGATTTTGTCGATAAAGTATTTTACGATTAATTAACAACACTATCACCTTCAGGCTCATTAAATTATGGACTTCATTTCGTATCGGATCAATATGTTCCCAAAAGTATGAGACATGTTCTTGATAAGTCAGCCAGTTCAATGGCGGAAAATGGTATGTTATTATTTTACCGAAAGTTTTCTGCATTTTTATCGGATTTCCGCATGGAACAAATCTTCAATGTTGATTTTGACGACGAACATGCGGTGTCAATGGAAGGATTAAAGTTTCCATTGATAATCTATCTGATACTTACGGGCCTCGCAAGTATCGTATTTATCATTGAAGTGATAGTTTTTAATGTGAAGAAAGCACATCAGAGAAAGTAACAGCAATATCCGTTCATCAAATGATATCAACTGAATAAGACAATGTTTGTTACTTTCTTGCACAGTCTGTTTGAATTTGTATAACATAACCTTTGATTTTAAAACTTCGTGCACGAGTTTAATAGAATAGGTGTAGATTATCTGTTTTAATATTTATGTCTATTATTATGATATTTTAAATAAAAATGAAATATTTTCGTCTTTTTTTTCAACTTTAAACCGACACAATATCTTTGAAGTAAAAATTGTTCTCACTTTTGTTTTTCTCCAGCCATGGCTAGATATGAAACCACAAAAAAATGATTAAATGATCGACTGACTATTTTAAATTAAGCGGTTAATAATCATCACAAACGAACACTTCATTTATCTAAACAGATATTTCTTCAAAACATAAATATGTTTTATCAATTCTTTTGAGTGAAAACCATATCATGACGTGACCGCAACATTATCAAATCAGATCTTTGAATATTAATAAGACATACTTGATCGCAAACAGATTCAGTTCTTAAAAAAATCTCGAACAAATAGCAGGAAAATTTTATCGTTAAAATTTAAAGAAACGAGACTAAACTTATTCAACGACGAAGCGTAGGGAATTGGTACTGGTAATTGAAGTGTGACACAAGTGAAACATTTTTGATAAAAGAAGAAAATGATTGAATCGACAGACATTGTTCCAATTCCAACAACCCATGAAAATGACTCGGCTACAGCTGAGTCCAAATCAGGTATGTTGACGAAAAACGTAGCTATGCTTTGAATTGAATGCGTAAATTTACAGTTGAGATACCTCTTGATGTCATGAATGCCCCTGAAAATAAATCAACCAGCTTGGATACCACAGATCAAGGATGTGTTAAATGCAAAGTAACGGACATATCCTTGTCGTTGTCGTCTGAAGAAGATGATACAGAACATGGAATTCCACTAGATATGGATAAAAAGTCGAATAGACAGTATAAAGGCAACTCCAAATTGTATATCAATAATAGCCAAGTCAATTTCTAATTGAATTTTTATTTGTTTTAGGCATGATGGATATTGCATTGCTCACCGCAAATGCGAATCAATTACGATTTTTGATAACTTACAATTCAAAAGAAAAGACATTCATCTTCAGTGCTACGTTGATAATTCTATCGTTAATCATTCAAGTTGCTGTTGGAATAGGAACAATTTATAAGGTTTGTATGGTGATGGTACAGATTTTGAACTATGTTTTGATTTTTTGGAGTTTTTTTTTTTTTAATTTTTAGCGTTACGTGAAGAAAAAAGGCAAAAAATGTAAAGCAGAAAAAGTGAACAGTCTAGTGATTTGTGGGGTATTCTGTTTGGCATTTTTAAATGTTCTCATTGTATCGTTTACAGCTTAATAAAACTCAAATACAAAAACCATACTACGAATTTCAATTAAATATACATTAAGTAGTTTTTATTTGAATACAACGACATACATGAAGATAAAGTGTGGTTTTGTTGTGGATTGAGCTCGAGAATCTGAGATAATTCGTTTTAAGTTGAAGGCTGTAACCTTGTTTGAGTTATGTGTGGTATAAACAAACAAACCGAAAACGATTTTAAGGCTTGATTATTTTTTATTCATTCACCGTTTAATACATCCGCATGACGCAATACTAAAAACGAAATTGCCAAAAAACGAACATTTGAATGGGATATTTTTGAATTATTTATTGAAAACATATTCGACAATTGTTTAAAAATGCAAAGTGAAATATTTCAAAATTCATTATATCATTCTAAGCCATGCGATTAGCATTTTTTAATTTATTTTTTTAATACAGAAAATTTAAGAACTATTTTAAGATAAATAAAACATTGAGAGTAATGAAATACTTCAGCTATAAATTTCAGCAACATCAACTATGTATCGACGTACAATATGTATAGTTCACTTTTAGCGACTTTCACACTTTCAAAGATTGTGACAAAATTGCAATGTATTTAAGATGCAACAAAGGTAGTTTAGTCTACTTAATTAAACCTCTTTTAAAAGGACAATCCCAAACTGTTAAATAAAGTTAAATATTTTCACCGAGTAAAAGGACTTTTTAAATTCCAACATGAATGAGCTGATGAAGAAATTTCAGTTTTGAATATATCCACGTTTCAGCTAGGAAGTACCGCTTATCTAAATTGCCGAATTCGTTTGCTTCACGTTAAAACCGTAAGTGCAATGAAATATTTAATGAATTATTCGTTCAAATAAATGATATATGAACGTATCGTGATTTAACAAAAACTGTTGTGGTATGTCAATTTTCCGAGGCGGCGATTACAATCGTGTACGATTTCAAATCGTTGGCCAAAATCGTTAACGATTGAGATCAATGGTTTTTTTGACGCCAAAATCGTGAACGATTTATTATTTGTGGTTTTTTGACGCCCGATTTGAAAAGAAAATCGTGGACGATTGCAATCGTCGCCTTGGAAAATACACCTTTAAGATTAGATTAGAATTTCAACATTATTATCAAAAAACTATTGCATTTTATTCATGAATAGTCGCTGACGTTTGTAAATATATGCATTAGATTCTGGAATGAGTTGTTTGAGATTATTATATGTAGATGCGGGTCAGGCGATTGATTTTTCATTTTTCAAGTCTTTCTTTTTGATTAAAACTGTTAACAATAACAATGAGTTATCACACTACACTGTATATCAATAGTGTGGTTCTAATCACTAATTTTTAAAAACACAAACATATTTGTTTCAGTTGTCAACATTCAAATCGAATCAATATTCCATTGTTTTTTCATTCATTTTGTTGTAAATTGTCATTTGCAATGTTAAAATCAATTTTGAATGTAACCTCACTGAAGAAGATAGCATTGCTATCGAACAAACAATGCAAATGAATCAAAGGTCCGATCTGTTGGCCAAATTATTATCAAGCTTATCATTACCATTCGATTTGAAGTGAGTTATATATATAAAGATTCCCTCAATGTTCAGCTTGGGAACAATTACATTTTAGCAGTCGATGCACTTTGAAAAAGTTTCAGAAGAATTATATTTTCGATCGAAGTTAAAATCTTCTATTAACGTTTTGAGGTTAAATATTGTCATTTGCCAAGTGAAAAAAAAGAAGAAGAAATAATGGAAATTGAAATGAATATCGGTAAAACTATTGCAAAGAGTTATGTTAGCGGAAGTGGCAAACAGTGTAATATAATCACCGATGTTGAACGGCGTACATTTGGACTTGGCGATGATCAAATTAAGGATGCACTTGCTGGTATTAAAGGAAAACGACCGTGTGATGTTTTTGTTCGCAGTCCTACACCATGGAATGACCTATATGCACGTTATGGTTGGGATCAGGTTCAACGAATCACAACGATTTCTGATGCTAAAGTTTTGGATATTAGTGTCGTTCCTGTACTTGTAAACGAATCAATTTTGGAGAATAACAGTTCCTATCGGGGAGATTTTGGCACTGATTTATCAACAACTCTGAGAAATTCGGTTTCATCAAATTGGAATAAAAGTCATGGTATTTCGGTTGAACAAAAAATCACATATGGAATCTCATTTATGGTGAAAGGAGAGGGACAAACATCATTTAGCTATTCTCACAATTGGGGACATGGTGGAAGTGAATCGAAAACATGTTCATTAGGTACGAGTGGTAATGTAAAAGTTTCTCTTGGACCAGGCGAGAAAGTTATAGCACAGCTAGTTGCAAGCCGTGGACGTGCCAAAGTAGAGGTTGATTATCATTCGTATTTAACGGGTGGTGTTGCATTAAACTATAGTAGAGGACATCACGGTCATCACTTCTGGTGGGAGCCAATCGATTCAATTATGGAGCAGCTTGATCGAGAAAATTTCCACACATCAAGAGAAATAATTAATATTGAAATGTATTCCAATCTCAGAGTGAATCTTAAAAAATAAGACAATTCAGCAAATCTGTTTTTATTCCCAAAATAATTAATGAACACAATTGCACAGAATAATTAAATATAGTAGATACACAATCAACATTCAAAAGTTAACACAGATATATGTATTATATTTTGAGAAAAATTACATCTTCCCTTTAAATATGTTTATAACAATATTCAATTATTATTATATCGTTTTTAATCGATGTTTTTACAATATTCTATAACAAGAAATCTATACAAAAACATGAAATGTTGTTAAATTATTAATTATCAGTTCAAATTGAGCGAAAAATAAGATCGATTTAATTTAAAATCTTGGCATAGACCATATTTATAATAAAAATGTCTCATTCAAAATTCGTTGTATTATTCCAAGCCATAATAAGAAATTTTAATTAATTTTTGTTAACAGAACGCTAATAAATTCAAGAATTCTTTTATGAAAATAAAATCCCGTATCAAAATAACTGGGACTGATTGGTTGATTTTCGGAATTTGAAATCTAAAAATTTTCAATCAACTTTGACTTGAACACGTTTTGACATGGAACAAAAATGAAAAATCTAGTCCCGTTAAGTCGTTTTAATTCGAAAAATTTCAAATTAATTTAAATCGACTTAAAATAACTGGATTCCACTGGATTTTTTTATTTTTGTTCCATTTCCAATCGACTCAAATCGACTAAAGTAAAAAAAATCAAATCGACGTATTTCGGAAATTTTTTGACACGGGATATTGAGAGTAAAAGTCATGAAAAGAAATGCTACAACGATGTTACCTATATTACATATAAATAGCTTAAAAGAAACAATGATTAAAATGAACTTAACAGTCATTGGTGACAAACTGAAAGAAATATAACCCTCTTCCTGAATTTTTGTTACAATATCAACAAGTATGTTTCAAACTCAGTTTTTTATGTTTTTATTTTTTTTGCGATGAAATTTGAATTCTTCGTTTGATTTTTTCAACCATTTTAATTTTATAGCAAATTTGGTCATGCTATGTTATTTTTTTACCGATAGGGTTGCTTGTCTTTCACCGAACCGTATAGCTCTTTCAATACTATGGCATTTGTTTACGAATTGAAATGTGAAATAATACAATGTATATTGAAGTTGGCGTTTACGGTCGTGTGTATGAAATGTTGATATTTATCCGCCATTAAAGTGATTTGATTTTTTAGGAGCTAAAGTGTTTCAACAGTGAATGCAATAACGATTCATTGAATTAAAACAAACATCACATTTGAAAATAAATTAAAAAAGAAATAAAAAAATTTACAAAAATTTCGAAATTACTTTTTTATCGAAATCTATAAATAATTGATACTTGGTGTTAGTGTAAGAAAATCGGTGAAAAAAAAAACATGTCGCGATCAGTACGTGCTGAGACCAGAAGCCGAGCCAAAGATGATATTAAAAGAGTTATGCAAGCTGTCGATAAAGTGAGACATTGGTAAGTGTGCATCAGTTGTATGGATTTTTGTTGTTGGAATGTTTGGATTATTTGAAGCGATGATTCGATGGCGATAATTTCAATGGAATTTTTGTTTTGTTCGTATTTTTACAGGGAGAAAAAGTGGGTAACAATCGGTGATACCACGATGAAAATCTACAAATGGGTGCCAATATCGAGTAGCGAGCAAAAGAAAAAACATTTAAAAAACACTGCAACCATCCTAACGAATGACAACAAAGAGAATAGCAGCAAAACATCACCTGCATTGGAACTAAACGGTGGCGGAGTTGGAGGTGGCAGTGCGAATGCAACACAAAATTTTGGCCTATCGGCCGAAGACTCAAATACATGTTTCTCAATTGTGAGTGATTCACAGGGCGGTACGGAGTTTGTATCGTCTGGCCCACCATTTTCAGAGGATTCAAATTCACAGGACGATGGACCAACACCGTCCAAACGACTGCTCACCAAATAAAATTCACCATAACAACAGCATCATCATCGGATTCACATTTATTTATTTCCTATTTGTACATTTACAAGTAGCCATTTTTTGGGCGCTTGGCGTTTATTTTTTTAACGCCATAGATTGATGGACAATTCGGACAATTTTCGTGAAAATACCATTTACATTTCAACTCTCTATAAAAAATGCGAAAACAACACAACAAAATCAACAACAACTACTACAATACTACTACCCTTAATTTATAGTTATTATTTTTTTTCGTTTCTCAATCGTAAGCAAGAAATGTATATACTGTAAGAGATTTTACGAGTAAAGATTTTTTTTAAATTTAGTTTATTTCTTTTGTGTAAGAAAAGCAATCACTTTTTTTTAGAGACGAGACAAAATTCTGATTTCATGAAAAAAAGAATTCATTAAATAAAAAAAAAGGTTTTTTTTTTCTGGCTAAAAATCATCTCTCAATCGATCGCCTTCATGTTTTCAATCGAACATGCTGAACATCTATTCAACTATTTCAGGAATGCTAAATATGGACGAAACAATACTCGTAATGGAAACGAAGCACTACCAACACTTTTGACAGTTTGAAACTTCATATATGCGAAATGACAGATGAAAGAAAAATTCTCGCATATAAACAGAAGACATTTTTTTTTCTTCTTTCTTTCCATCGAGTGAATAAGTTTTTTTCATCAATTTCCAATTAATTCCGCCGAGTAATGGGTGATAAACAACCACTGCCCTACGATAATGTAGAGTTTGATTGGATTCAGCTTAGCGCTGACATCGACAACGAACCAGTAGAGACATTCTATGAGAAAACTAAGCGAAAATTTTCAGAGAATCCTTTTGTTCCAATTGGTGAGTGTATAATTTGCGACGTAGAAAAAAAAAATTCTGATTCAAACAAAAATCAACTCGAGTGCATCGTGTGAATGAATTACATAATGATTTTTTGAAGAATAATTTTTAAATTCAATTTAAATAGGTGCATTTGGTGCTGTTGGCGCTTTAACCTATGGTCTGGTGTCCATGACCAGAAATGATCAAAGAGCTTCTCAAATTGCGGTAATTGAAACCGAAGAAAATACATGAGAATGTTGCATCAAATTTCATATTTTAATTTACCTTTTAGATGAGAGCTCGTGTTGGTTTCCAAGGCTTTGCATTGGCTGCATTGATAGTTGGATATATGTACGGACCACCGCCACCCAAACGAAATGTCAAATAGCCATTTTACCCGTAGATTTTAAATTGTTTATATTCTCTCTGAATAGAAATGATAATATAGTGTAAATTTAGGCATTTTAAAATTTCTAATTGACTGATGTGCATATTTAAGGTTCATATTAAAGAAGTCATATTGGATTTTTTTTTAGATTAATGCCTTTTGTTTATTTCAGATCAATCTTTTTTTTTCGTTTCATTATGTAATCTTTATGGTGTGAATATACCAATAAAAATGCATTTTTTGAAAATATTTTCATTGAAAAAAAAATTGAATTGTCAATTTATTCTATTGTACAATGCTTGAATTGTCATCAACTTCAGACGATTCAAGAAAAACACCGACTTCAATGCAAGAGAATTGACAACGCGTGACCGACTTCATGTCGTTCTGTCCCTATTGATGAGCTGAAAGGCCGAAAGAGAGAAAAAGAGACTTTTACAGCGAGTGCCTATAACATTGAGAAATACTGTCAATGAAAGAGATGAAAATCATATTATGGTGAACTCGAAACCACGCATTGCATACAGTGTCTAGTAATATTTAATAAATTTATTTTCCCTGTCAAGGTAAATAGTCGAAATAAATGTGAAATTTTGTTTATTTCTGATAATTGACGGTGATGAATGCAAAGAAAATAAAAAATGTCCGTCCAGCGACCGAATAAAGTGTGAATTTTCAAAAATTTCGATCGCATCGCAGTAGCCATAGAGGAAAAGCAATACAAAAAAAATGTATATACATATATATATGTGCGAAGAATCAAGTTTGAATAAATTACACATTTGATTTGTTCAATTGTTCACAGTGAAAGCATGCCAAAAATAAATGTTCGTCTAAAAATAGTTGGTGCATTGGAAAAATCCACCGTGATTTATTTCTGATTAATTTCGGTTGAATGTATTTCGTGAAATGTTGAAATCGGTTAACGATAGTCCCGATTGTGTCCGTGTCGGAAATCCCAAGTGCGCACACCGAAAAAATGCATTCGATCGATCTTATAGCATCTTTGTATTATCGGTGAAATTTTTCAATTTAATTAATAAAATTAGAAACATGACCGTGAGTTCATTGAAATTAGTTGGAATCGAAGTGTAGAAAAAGGGGGTAGCGTAGCGTGAGAACGGATAGCTCACACAAAGAGCCTGTATGCACAGGCTCATATTCATCATTACAAACAATGTATGCACACATCGGTGTATCGAGGCTGCCAAAGAAGAAGAAGACGAACAAAAAAAAAACATCTGACTCCAAAGAAATTCTCACATAGATCAAAAGAAAAGCAACAAAACCAAAATGGAAAATATATAGCATAACGAACACGACCATAAAAGAAAACTAAGAAGAAATAGCAACAAAGAACAGAATAATATGGGTGACGACGGTGTTTTAATGTTCACATTCGTGAGTTCAACCGATAGGCTGCGAGTTTGGCTCCGTGCGCTCGTCTTTCTCGCTCTTTGCTCATGCATGTGTGTGTGTGCTCTTGTGTTCATGTATGCGTGTATATGCATTGGGATATTGGGACTTTTGTACTCAAAATTATATTATTCTATATTGAAAATTGCATAAATAGAGAACGGTGAGCCAGTGAGAGAGCAAATGAGTAACTGTGACTGTGTTTTTTATTGTTATATACTGTGTTTGTATATGAAGAATCTACCACACAAAGTGCAAACAGGCTATAATGATTTTAGTTACACTTATTCTTTCAAAGAGAGAAGAAAAAATTATTGGTGTTCCTCAACTTCTTTGGCGCATTTTTCTATCCTTCGCTTGTGATGCGTGCATTTATTCAATGTTTGTTCTATGTGTGGGTCTTTCGAATGAACGAAAAAAAAAAACATAACCAAACCGTTCAATTCTACTTATTGAATACACAATGACTTCATTGTTTTTTTTATTTGCGACTTCAGCAGAATGGTCGATCATCGTCCATTTGGTCGATCAATGCAAATATAGCAGCAAAACGAAGTGAACACACAAAAAAACATTCGTTTTCAATATTCACATTTCAATGTTTCGTCATTTAATTTCGTCTCTCTTTCTCCCTACATTTTATATTTCTCTCTTGAGCCTGTTGAATCTTGATGAAACACACGAAAAAAAAAATGAAATGAAATTACTCATAAAATAAGCTCAAATTATGTGCTGATTTTTTGTTGTTGTATTTTTGCTTTATTTATTGCTGACAAATGCGACTGCATACGAGCTAATTTCCGATCCATGATGACTTGATGCATTAGCATAAATATAGTAAGTCAAATGCAATTGTGTAATGTTCGCGCTCGTGTGCGCCACTGAAAGTTCGCGCATTTGTCCACACACACACACACAGTCAGTGGATGTTGTTGTTTTTTTTTTTTCGTTTCAAATTCATCAGTCAGTGCTATTACGTTGTATCGCGGCCAAGATGATTAACTTTATGTAAATTCACATTCGGAAACGGCATGAGTACGTCCGCCTCTCTTTCTCTCGAGCTGAAATTTGAGTATTCGTTTCACACGAATTAAAATCAAAATAACAGACAAAAAAAGCCACACAACAAAAAAGTCCTAAAACTATCGTCATTTCGCTGTGCTGTGCTGTCGGTGTTGCTGTTTTTCTTTTCACTTAAATTCCGCCTCTGAATTTGTTTCGCTTCTATTCGCTTTCGGAAGCGCGCTTGCTAACAATCTGCTGATCTCGCACACATTCTCAGCATTATTGTAACGGCTCTGTTCTATTGTTGTTGTTGCATTCAGTTGCTGTTTTTTTATGTGTTAATTCTTTTATCTGTTGCTGACTTTTTTTTAGTCGTGTGTCGTCAATTCGCTGCTCGCTTCCCATTTCTGTATGAGTGAATGTATCGTCGATAGATGAGCGCAAATCACACACCAAAAAAAAGATTTGAACGTGACAATTTTCATTTTTTTGCCGTTTCTTTTGGGCTCTTTCTAACTTACCATCAATCTATAGACGCATTCGACCGATAAATATAAATTTATATCAAAATATTGTGCGCTGAATATTCATTTTGCCTCAACAGGCAGACATCAGCAGCATCAATCGTAAATTGTTTGTGTGACAGTGCCGTTTTACAGCTGCCGTACCAAATACCAGCGTGCATATTCATTCGTCGAGCCGATTGAGTGCGTGTTTGACATATTTCACACACCACATTTAAAAAAATGTGCTAATATTGTCTATTCCGAAACATAAAAAAATATTAGGCAGTAACTTAGGCGGTTGTTCGTAAACGAGACGACACACGTTCGTTGTCAATCGACTGCGATTCCATTTCGACTATTCATGGTGTGTATTTGTACGGATTTCTCACACATATTTTTCCATTCGTTCGTTCGTTCGTTCGATGCTGCTATTGCTGTTGTGCTGTTATTTCTTCTCATTCGTCATCGTTTTCGACGTTTGTGCTGCATCGTGACATACACTTGTTAACTACGTTAATGGTCAACGAAGGCCTTGTGTGACAATGGAACTCATGCCCAATTTGATCATAATCGAGAAATTTAAAAATAGTAATCGATGCGCATATTTATTCAAATGAAATCCATCTCTTGCTTGTTCGCACACACACACACACACACGTTCGCATCGTCGCTCTGTTACTGTTCGATACGCTAACGGCGAGGCTGCATTGCAAAATTAGTCATTCATAAAATATTTATTAAAATTTATATTTTTGATTATTTTGGCCTATTTGAAGGTAAATCTCTCTCGTTTCGTCTGTCCAAATTGAATGTCTCGCCATTTAGAATTTGAACCACACCCGATCGATTCATGCAATTAAACAAAATTTCAATGATGATTTTTTTGTTGCAAGGTTTAATTTAATTGCTGCCGGTAATCGATTTTATGGAAACGAGAGAGACAGAGAGAAAATTGGGTCTGAGTTTATTTAAACCACATTTTTAAAAAAATGTTCGTGTCGTCATCAAACCTACATTAAACATATAAAAATCTAAAAATAAAATAAAAACTCATAATTTTGTTTTGTTTGCTGCTAATGTGTGTTGTTTCCATCGTGCATGTTTTGATTTGTTTGAATGGTCATCGCGCACCATGTTTATTTGATTTTCACTTGTCATACACACAAACACACACATACCAACATTGCGAAGGGAATTGTGAAATATAGCTTATGTATGAAAAAAGTAACAGCACCTAAAGTACGAACGCATCACCTTTTAATATAGTACATGTCGCGCTGGTGTATTGATTACAATTTTCATTTGTTATCCATCACAATTATCAAAGCTGTATGTGAGCTGGCTAGATTTTGGGAGTGAATTTGATGCGCCTGTTCAAAATTGATTCAACGCATACATGAGAATAGCAAAAAAAAGATATGAGGAAAGAAGAGAAAAAAACAATAGAAATGTGTAAAACGTAATCAGGTCGTCGAAAACGCATGTATATTGGAAAATTGGCTGAGTTTGTCATACATATATCTTTTCACGAACTACCATGTTAACTATTCCGACGACGATTTCAATAGTTTGCATGACGTGTCACCACATTCGTTTAAATATTTCAAAAAGGATACGTGTTTCTCTAGATTGACCCACTTTTCGTTTAAAACTGTTTGATAAAACTTATCGTCAAGTAACTCACAACGGATACGCATTTACACTCTGGAAATTTGGTTCATCAAATGATGGCGTTTATCTATTAAATACAAAAATTATTTTATAATTTAAAAAAATAATAATTTTTGAATGATTTTTTTCTCATTGCAGACGATTTTAATATTGGTGAGAGATTCATAAACGAACCACAACAGAAAAGTGCTTTGATTTCCGAGAAATTGCCTGTGTGTGCGTGTATGCCGGTTTGCTTGGAAAACAATAACAATCCAGCAAGCAAATTCAATTATAAATTGAAATTGCTGAGAAACAAGGAACGAAACCAAATGCGACATTGCATCTGCAGTAAAAAGCACACGGGCAATTAAGAATTGGAACAAATGATACGTGAATCAACGGCATATACTCCCGCACTCGTTTCGGTTGAACTGATTTTTGGCTTGAAAAGTGAAATTCGTGTGTGCGTCAAACGTGAAGAAAGTGATAGTTTTTTTTTAAATAAATAAATATTATATGTATAAAGTTTAAAACGAATAGAAAAAAAAGTATTGTGATCTCGTTGTGCACGGTTAATTGTTACACCAGAATATTTTTTTCATAGATAAAAGAAGAAGAAACAAAGCAAAGCAAAAGCAAAAAAAAAAAGAATTATTAACAAACACAAAGATAGTAATCAATATATATACATAGAGATATAATTCAAATTATACGCCTAGAAGTCGTAAAATTGCCGATAGTTTAATGAATATTTCACAACAAACGAACGGAGCACACGTTGCTGCGACAAATATGACAACACTGTTGCAAAAAAATTGCATAAAAACGTTGTCAGTGAATAATGGAGTTGTTGTCATGGGGACGGCACCAATTGGTAATGCACCAATGATAAATGCCAATGTCGTACCGATCACAACAAATGTGACCGCCACTAATTTGCAAACACACACAATGATCGCAAATGCATCACACATCCAACCGATCCAGGCAATTCAATATCAACAATTGCAAGCAGTTACACAGGCCCAACCACAGTACATCATTTATAATCCGAGCGATGGTAAGTGCCGGGTGACGTAAAAACAACAACATTTGTCATTTCTTGTGTCACGTTCAACTATTTTCATATGCTTAACATCGCTTTATTATTTTTCTTTACCTTTGTCACAGGTTCAATGTTCCGGCCAGTCGTCACCACAACTGCGCCAGTCAATGCAATTGTCACCAGTTCTCTCTATCAGCCTCAACAACAGACTTTTGTCACCGCACAAAACCATTTACCAAAGATAGGTGCAATCAAAGCCACGACTCTGTGCTCAGGTGGACAGCAAAAAGTACTGAATATCGTTGCACCACAAAAACAACAAAAATTTATAGCAACCACAACGGCGCCGGCTACCATCCAAAATACAAACACAATTCAGCATATCAAAACCGAACATAGTGTGACACATCCAATCATTCAGAATGGTAGCACCGTCACCACCAGCACCACACACAATATCATTAATACGACGCCAGTCGCCAGCCAAATTATTAGCAGTAGAAATCAATCACCCGCAATTCTAACTGAATCAATCAAGTCTGAAGCTCTAGTTACATCATCATTTGTTTCAAAGGCTGCCACCAGTAATACCAATGTCCAAATACCAAACATTGCTACAACAAACACCGTCACTACATCGAACGCTGCTGTTGTTGCCGCTACTGCTGCTGCTTCAAATGCCGTTACTGGCAATGCTCAGCAAAATAATAGAACAAACACAATGTTAGATACAAATAAAACGGTCCCGAAAACGGAGACAATTGAACAACCTGCCGTTACAACTGTAGCACCTGTAGAACAACCAACAAATGAAAATAACGATGATGAAAATGAGCCTGAACCCGAAATTGACATTGTCATCAATAATGTGGTGTGTTCGTTTAGTGTACGGTGTCATTTGAATCTACGTGAAATTGCGTTGAACGGACGAAATGTTGAATTTCGAAGAGAAAACGGTATGGTGACGATGAAATTACGACGACCGTATACAACAGCATCGATATGGTCATCGGGTCGCATTACATGCACCGGTGCTACATCAGAAGATCAGGTATCCATTTACACATATATATAAATATCGATTTAATTTACACGTTCGATTCAATCCGATCGCATGAAATGTAATCAACAAATAAACTTAACATTGATCTTGATCTTAAATTACAAACGTTTATATATACTAATATCAATTGTTTTATTCTTGGCAATTCGTTTGTAGGCAAAAGTTGGTGCTCGTCGTTATGCACGGTGTTTGCAAGGTTTAGGATTTCCGGTGCGTTTTAACAATTTTCGTGTGGTAAATGTGTTGGGCACGTGCAGCATGCCGTGGGCAATAAAAATCGTAAATTTTTCGGAAAAATACAAAAAGGACGCTAGCTACGAACCAGAATTGCATCCCGGTGTCACGTACAAACTAAAAACACCAAAGGCAACACTAAAAATATTCTCAACGGGTTCTATTACAGTGACAGGTGTGTATTATAAAACTAAATTCTATTTATATCAGTCCATGCCATATCAATATTTTTTCCCGAATTTTAAATCGCAGCCGGCAGTGTAGCTGATGTACAAGCAGCCATCGAACATATTTTCCCATTAGTTTATGAGTTCCGTAAGAAGCGTACGCCCGTTGAGCCGGTACCAGCACCGGTTGAAGTGTTTGATCCGGACAATGAAGATGGGCTTAACGAAATAATGGGCGATGAATCACGCAATGGCAACAATAAAATCATCAAAAATAAAGCAATCAAACGAAAATATCCGTTCGGTATGTCTGAAAATGATCCACATATTGACAATATGATTGTGTCCGATGGTTCCGATGACGATATGAACGACCTCGAAGATGATGATGATCTTTAAAATTACTGTTGCTTATACAACATCAGCAACAGAAGCAGCACTTAAATTCAATGCTACATTGTTTCAGCGAAGATTTGAATACATTCATAAAGAAGAAGAAGAAAAACATGATTTTTTTAAATGTAAAATCAATTGCGCGATTAGAAAAGATTAATAAGAAGAACACGTTGTATAAAAAGAAACACGAAGAAAATAAGTAATATACTCACCGAACGAAAATGAAAACTGTTGACAATTTGTACGCCATTTGTCAAGTTGCTATCACAATAATTGTGTTTTCGCTAATCCAAACCAAAAACAAACATGAAAAATTGTAACAAAAAAAAATGGTTAAACAAAAAAAAAAAAAACAAAGAGGAAAAGAGATTCTTTGCGAACAAAATGAAAAGAAAACCAACATACACGAAAGAGAAACCATGGTCCAAATAAGTTTTATCACATACACATTTTGTTGAACGAGTTATTAAAAAAAAAATCCAATAAAAAAATTATTTAGAAAAAAAAAATTATGTGAATATTCACACAAGCAGGAAGAAAGCCACCAATTTTAATTGAAATAAAATGATATTCTGTGTGGAGAACGAGTGCTCACGAATGGAATGAGACATTCGCCTGAGGAAGAGAGTGCCCAATAGTTCTCTATGACTGAGAAAAAAGCCGATGCAACAAAACAAACACATAACCCGCATCCATACATACATATTATAATAAATGTTTCATCACATGAATCCGAAGAGAACACATGAATACGGAACATCGAGCGCGTGTGTGTGTTTGACAAAAAGTTAACTAATTATTATAATCAAAAGGTTAACTACTCATAATAAATTAATTTTGCGATCAGTTTTCTTTAATTTAAGCTTTATTTCCAAATCATCCTTCCCGCGAGAGTTATATGTTTAGCTTTTTTAAATTTTCGGTTTGAATAATTTTCGTTTCTTCTTTCCTTGACAAGGGACCATTGTTTTCTTTTTTATTTTAATTATTTTATCTTCGTTTGAAATACAAGGTTAGGATTTGTTTCTTTGCTTTGCCCAACTAATTAAAAAATGATTTGATTTTTCACGTTTCTTTTCGTTCTTTATTGTTTAAACATTGAATTGAATGCTTTCCCTGCAGAAAATGTAGTGATGATTATTATTAAAGTTACTTATTTACGGTGATGAAATGAAATGAGAATATGAGGCGAAGAAAAAAAAAACACAATCTATAGAACAAACATAGGCTAAAGAAATAGAAAAGCATTAACAATATGAAATAACTCAAATAAATCACCAAATATTTATTTCACTCATAAGCAGATTTATTCAACAGCAACAAAATACTACGAGCGATCCACGCGGCTCATAAAACGGTTCAAATAATCCAAATGCATACGGAATACACTGTTTCTCTTTTTTCTTTCAATATATTTTCAAATGGGCAAAGAGACCGAAAATTCCAGCGGATTTTTAACGTTGAGAATTTCTCGTCTATTTATTTTTGCTAGTACAAAAAAAAACCTAATTTTAATTAATATTTGTCATCAATATATCGCTCTACATATTTTATATAGCTATTAATTTATTATTATTATAATAAAATCAAAACAAAATTCACACACAAACACATAAACACACACACAGAGATAAACACAATTTTCGATAGACAACAAAACATATGCAAACTATATCCAAGGAATTTAAACTCGCAAAACAATAATTATAGATGTATGCAGTCAATGAAATTATAGATTACCATTGAGATCATCCCATTTTGTGACCATGATACAAACACATAGATTGGATCAAATGCGCGTTAAAGCGCAGCGAATATCAATTTGTGAAGAAGAAGAAGAAGAAGAAAAAAAACTGTGAATCGCAAAGCAAAAGCGAGATGAAATATAGAGAAATGAAATTGAAAGCGGATAAACGAAATGATAAATGATGATTAAAAATAAAAGAATTATCTGCATTGCCTTAAATCTTTCATTTTTTGTTTTGTCGAACCGAAAACATTTTATGTTTTCCAACACTTTTTTATACGATAGCGAGAGATGATGAAAAAAAACGTTTTGAAGAGGAGACAAAATTTTATAAAATAAGAAGATTAAATTCAATAAACTGGTTAAATTTACTAATTCAATGATAATTGAAGACAAACATATACGTATGATTTTTTTTTTCATTTTGCGTTCACATTTGCATTATTCACATTCAAGTGATTTTGCTTTCAAACGGTGAATGTCACATTTGTGTGCCAGCCGTTCGTTTCTGTCTTATGAATTTGATATCCTTGTTTCAGATCATTCGAATAATTTCGAAATTACATGCAAATAAAAACAAACCAAACAGAGTATGAAATGTATTTTAGTTCAGCCGACAAAGTATGTGTGCACATTAAGCAGCAAACCGGAATTGAGAATTGCATCAATTGATCATGTCACATTATTTTGACAAGCATTAATTACAAACACCTATTCAATTAAATGTAATATTTTAAATAGAAATTCGAGAAAAAAAGAAAAACAAATTATTATGTACGAAAAAAGAACGTGTAAAGCAAATAAAACGAAAATAATTTTTGTATCAAGTCCAATGAATTAATATTATGTTTTCGAACAATTGCATCGATTACATTTTTAGCGAAAATAAATTGAATTTCGAACATTTATCCACATAGGAAAAAGCAGAAATTAAAACAAATAAAATAAACTGTTCGACACATGCATTTCGTAGCGAGAGAATAAACTCTGAACGATTGTCGTGACACAATAGAAAAAATGAAACACTAAAACTATATAACAGATTTGAAACTAGTAGTAAATTTGAATAAGAACCAATCCAAAATGGTGGAGACTAAACAACAATCGAAATTAACAATAAAAAAATCGATTTATTTATTTAAGTTTAAAACTTGTGCTTGTTTTTTTTTTATTTTCACTCTATTTTTTACAACATTTTCAGGGTGGTTTAAAATCTTCGTCGAAGATTATTCCAAAAATAGACTAGCGCCAACAGTCCATCACGTTTTGCTAAACGATCGCTGTACAATTGAAAATTTGCCAATTGTAGTCGGGTTAAAAATCGATCAACCGCCACAGCGGGTAGGAAGATATTTTTTGCAACCGAAGGAATTTTACTACTTAAGCTTCGTGCCTTATCCAAATGCACTTTCGCAGTGCCCGCAACATCGAATACACAATTTTGAACGGCAATATCTTCAGGTCTTTGACGAAGTACCTTTTCATAGCTGCAACCATGTTTCAATAGAATCTCTTGTGGAATCGGTGGGAGTACAGACAGACCCCGTGATTGTCTCACTGTTGCAGCGCCCAATGCTCTCAGACTATTCGCAATTCCCTGGGCTTTGCCCAAATGGGATGCAGCATGATCCACATTCAAATCTTCCACGCCGGCTATTTTCAACAGTAAATAATATATGGATGATGTGGATATTTCGGTGTGCTGTTCTAACTCTTCAACTGTTGAAAACATCATATTTGCCGAACGCTGCCGTGCTGTAATCAACCGTTGGAAATATAGTTTTGGTAATTTATATTCACCCACTGCCTAGAATTAAGGAGAATTTTTCTTGGAAAATCTATAAAAAATCGCATTTTGTATGTCTTACATTATTCACTTCGTATATGACTGGGTGATCGGGTAACTTTTTGTTTACATCTTTGTCGTAAATTTTATTGAGTGCATCATACCAAAATTTGAGACGCATTTGTCCAATTTTCTCATCGGAAACCTGAAAATTTGAGAATTGGAGTCAATATTGAACGAACTTCATTTGCAAATGAGAAATAATGGAAAATAATGTACCGATCCAGCCACTTTTGCTATCTCCACATTGAATGCTCGCACCGCAAACGCACCACGTCTCTCTGATTGACCTTTGATGAGAAGTGTGGCCAAAAAATTCTCATAGTCATGGTGTCTGGTTTGATGCAAAAAGAATGACATTTTTATTAGAAATTTGAAAAGATAAAAAAAAAGATAAAAGATGTGGGTCCTGTAGGGACAGTGATTACCTAACCAAATCTAGACAGTATTTGTTTGGTGAAAAACTAGTTTTATCGGCCTTACTACTAAAATAAATGACACCACGTCGAATTTGTAATGTAGTCCTTTTCAGAATATTCATTTTAAATCAGAAAAACTAAAATATAATGAAACGTTGCATGACACAAACGATTCCGTCTTCTCGAAATATATTGAGCACTTGTAACTGAATCCAAAGTTCAGTTTGAATAATGGTATAACGAATTTTTTTTAATGACTAAAAGAAAACATTTCACCGTTTCGAATTTTCACTCAAAATTTCGAATTTGAAATTAAAATGAATAAGTCACTTTAAAAAATGCACGTTTTGAAAAGAGAATAATAAAATAAAATAATGTGTGTATTCGGTATGCGAGCATTTGTGTTTTGACATTTGTCATCTGTCAAACTGTGTGATGGCTGCGTACTTTTCGATTTCGCCACTGTGCGTCCATCAGTGCAGCTTTGCTTTTTAAATTTTTGTTTGGTGTCAAACGGTTTTCGATTTCCTTGCATCGTCATTCGTGTTGTACGCCTTGCAAGTGATAGAATATAACAGCACGCCATTTAATAAGACGATACAAATGATTTAGTTTTTTTTGCTTTCGGTTTATTAATATTTTTTTTATATTACTATCGTACTATTTTTTTTGTCTTTGGTATTTTTAAGTTAATTTATTTTACACAATCAAAGTATTACATGAAAAAGTGATCTAAAAGGAAAACAAAAATATGGAATATAATTTATGGAAATCGGTGCTGTTGGATTGGGTATGTGCACTTTAAATACATGAATGTTGTTTGTGCATTGCACCACTGCCGTTGTTCGATTGAAATAGGATCTCTTAAGCATGTGAAATAATTGTTTTATTGTGATTTTTTAGGTTAATTCAACTGGTTTTTTGGTGCAAAACTATCAAAATTTGGGCGATACAAATATCGACACATTTTTCACAGCATTTAAAAAACAAATAAAATCAACTCAAATACGATCCGAAAATGTGGTTAGTTTCGTAAGAGGTGCGTATATACATATATCTGTGTGTGCAAATGAACGGTATGCTTTAAATACGTTTTGTTCACTCTCTCTCTATCTCTTCCATCAATTCCAGAGTACTATAAAGACTTTTATTTGAAATTGGATACAAAAAATAAAGTACCAGTCAGCGAATATGTGTACTTTTATTCAATGTGTCTACATTTTGCATGTGTTTCACATGCGGACGAAGGTGTACAACAAATATGCAACAATATGGTGCGTAAAAATCAAGAGATGATCGAAAAATTTCTTGACTATCTATTCAAAGTCGGCAAATGTGAACGAGCTATTATACAAACTGCCATCGAAGAAGCAGGTAATACATATTCTCCTTGCGACTATTACTCGGTTGTTGTAATGGTGAAAAGAAACTAATTTGTGTGAATGTTATCCCTTTTTAATCCTGTAGAATGTTGTGAACTACCAATTGCTCATGTCAGTCCCATAACACGGAATTTGCAGTCAATTCTATCATCGAGTACATCTCCACAAACGCCGAAAACGAAACTGTTGAATACATGGAACTTGGAGAATCGAAATTTAAAGGTGAGTTTTTTTATGCAAGAAAGAAAGACAGACCATGTTTTTTTTACAGTCTTTTCACGTTGTGTTTGTTTAGTCACAATTGGAAACCGAACGTTTTGAGCGTGGCTACTTGGAGATGCAATTGAATCAATGTGAGAAAAAGCTAACAAAACTCGATGACGACTACAAAGTTGCGTTGGCAGAAAATAATCTCCTAAAAAAGCAGATCAATCAGCTTGACGAAGATGATCAATTATCCCAAAATTTAGAAATCGATTCAGCCATCAAGCAATTGCGTCGTGAAATAAATCTAAAAGAAGATGAACTCTTTAGATTAACCTCAACGTGCAATGCGGCGAACGATGATATCGAGCTATTAAAGGAGAAATTACAGCATGCCGAAGCTCAAGTGAAATCTCTAAATGTGAAATTACTCGAGTCATTCGGTGAGGCGGAAACGTTTAAAAACCAACTGGTTGAACGAGAGAAAATGATCGACTATCTAAATAACAGCAATAAAGAGCTAAGTGACATGCTCAAAGAGCTTCAATCCAATTCGAAAAAGCATGATTTTGACTCATCATCATCGTACGAATTGTTAAATTCAACGGCCAACGATTTAAACATGTCAAGTAAGTTTTAACGTTCAATTTTTGCATATTTTAATTTGAATGTCAAACCAGTTTTTGTGTATAATGAATGTTTATATCTCATTCAATCAGGTTTTTGCGTAAATGAAGAAAATTTGGCCAGCGCCATCGTTGATGTTCGATTGATTGATCAGCAAAAGCAAAATATTGCACTTAGTGAAACGATTAATCAACTTAAAAAAGAATTAGCCATTGTACAAGATGAAGCATCGAAATTGTACGAAGTAATGACTGAAACAGACCAAAAAACCATTGATTTCTCATCAACAAATGTGATCTTTACCGAAATGAATCGAACATTCGTTGATATGGTTGAAAAGAAAAAAGAATTATCGCAGGAAATTGAAAGTCATTCTTCCGAAATTGTTTCGTTGAAAGAACAGACGAGCGCATTGCAAAGCACCATCGATGCATTAAATAAAAAATTGCAGCTAGAAGGGGAAAAGAATGAAACTCTTCACAGTCAAAATCAAAATATCGTCGTTAAACTTGATCAGCTCAAAACCACTCTGGCTACATGTGAAACTGAAAAATCGGAACTTAATGCATCTTTATTGGATGTCACTGCTCAAGTTGAGCAAATACAATCGGAAAAACGCGAATTGATGGCTCAACATTTCGATGAAATGCGCCAAATTCGAACGGAACTGGAAGAAAAGATAGCTGCTATGAATGTTAATCTGGAAGAGCAAATTAAAGAGAAAAATAATGTACATTTGAAATTGGAGAACCTGCAACGTGAATTAAGTGAAACAATGGATTTGCTGGCAAAACATAAGCTTGAAATTGATCAAATTAGTAACGAATTGAAAGTAGAAAAATTGAAACACGAGGAAGTTCAAAAGGATCGTACTTTTATTGAAACAAAATATACGGAAATTAGCCAGAAATATGAACAGAGTCAAAATGACTTGAGCGGCGCACGGACAAAGAATGAGAAAATCAGTTCGGAACTCAACGAAAGAAATGATCGCATTTCGAAGCTGATGGATGATTTGAGCCAATCAAATACGAAAGTCGTCGACTTACAAAATGTAAGTATTTTCTTATTAACATTTGGGCGTGTTGTCACTTTTGTTGATATATCTTACATTTTTTAACGTTCATATCTTTTCAGACCGTGACATCAAATATAGAGAGCGCTCAGTCAGAGAAACGTGAATTGAATGCTCAACATTTTGAAGAAGTTCGTCGCATTCGAACGGAGTTTGAAGAAAAGATAAACGCACTGAATGTCAATCTAGAGACACAAACCACTGAGAAAAACAATATCCAAATAAAATTGGAACAAGTGCAACAAGAATTAGACGAAACAATGGACTCATTGGCAAAACATAAACTCGAACTCGACGAAATTTCCAGTCAGCTAAGTGATGAGACATCAACACGGAATAGAGTTCAAAACGAATACACTGAAGTTCAAGCAAAATGCACTGAAATCAGTCAGAAGCTTCAAGACACCCAACAAGCATTGACCGAAACCATCGCAAAGAAAGACGAGATTAGTGCAGAATTGACTGTTAAAAATAATCAAGTGTCCAAGTTGATGGAGGAATTGAATGAATCGCAAAAGAAAATTGTTGACATGGGAAATGTAAGTACTTTTTGACATCGACCACTTCTAAAACTCTAATCACTGTATTTCCCCAGTATTTTTTTTGTAATTTTTTCGCATTTTTCTTTATTGATTCGATTTTATTGTTTTGTTTTCATTAAACATTTTCAGACGATCTCTTCCAATATCGAGAAAGAGCAGTCAGCAAAAGAGGAACTCATCGCCAAACATTTGGAGGAAGTTCGTCTCATTCGAACGGAGTGTGAAGAGAATATCAATGCCATGAGTGTCAATCTAGAGACACAAACCACAGAGAAAATCAGTATTCAGACCAAATTAGAACATGTTCAACATGAATTAGATGAAACAATGGATTTGCTGGCAAAACATAAGCTCGAACTCGCCGAAATTACAAGTCAATTAAACGAAGAGACATCAACACGGAACAGAATTCAAAAGGAATACGCCGATGTTCAGGCAAAATGTACCGAAGTCAATCAGAAGCTTCAAGATACTCAAAAAACATTAACCGAAATTCTCGCGAAGAATGATGAGATCAGTGCTGAGTTGACTGGGAAGAATGAGCAAGTGTTCAAGTTGAACGAAGAATTGAAACAATTGACAGCAATTCGCGATGGAATTCAAGAGGAGTATGATGAAATTCAGGCTAAAAACACTGAAATGAATCAGAAGCTTTCTGAAATGGAGCTAGAATTGTCCACCATTCACTCGAAGAATGGTGAAATTGGCTCAGAACTCATCGAGAAAAATGGTCAAATTTTGAAGTTGAAGGACGAACTAAACCAAGTCAATACAACTCGAGACAGCATTCAGAAAGAATATATTGATGCCCAAGAAAAATTGGTCGAAGTCAATCAGAAACTAAAAGATACACAACAAACATTGACCGAAACTCTCGCAAAGAAAGATGAGATAAGTGCGGAGGTGACTGATAAAAATGATCAAATTGTTAAGTTAAACGATGACTTGAAAGAATTGATTGCAATTCGGGATGGTATTCAAAAGGATCACGACGACATTCAAGTCAAAAACTTGGAAATCAATCGGAAATTGGGCGAGATGGAACAAGAATTGTCCATCACGCGCACGAAGAATGATGAAATTAGTTCAGAACTCATCGAGAAAAATGATCAAATTTCGAAGTTGAAAGACGAACTAAGTCAAGTTAATACAACTCGAGACAGCCTTCAGAAAGATTATAATGATGTCCAAGAAAAATTGGTCGAAGTCAATCAGAAACTCCAAAATACACAACAAACATTGACTGAAACTCTCACAAATAAAGATAAGATAAGTGCGGAGGTGAGTGATAAAAATGATCAAATTGTAAAGTTAAACGATGACTTAAAAGAATTGATTGCAATTCGGGATGGCATTCAGAAGGATTATGATGACATTCAAGTCAAAAACTCGGAAATCAATCAGAAACTTGGTGAGATGGAACAAGAATTGTCCACCACGCGCACGAAGAATGATGAAATATGTTCAGAACTCACCGAGAAAAATGATCAAATTTCAAAGTTGAAGGACGAACTAAGTCAAATCAATACAACTCGAGACAGCATTCAGAAAGACTATACTGATGTCCAAGAAAAATTGGCCGAAGTCAATCAGAAACTCCAAAATACACAACAAACATTGACCGAAACTCTCGCAAAGAAAGATGAGATTAGTGCGGAACTAACTGAGAAGAGTGATCAAATGTCCAAGTTGAAGGATGAATTGAATGAATCACAGAAGAAAATTCTAGATATGGAAAATGTAAGCACCAAACCTTTTTACCTCGATTAATTTATATATTTTCTGTATTTAAACTGTTCGTTCTTCCGAATATGTACATTTTTGTTAATTTTGCACCTTTTCCTTTGGTCACTTCAGTGATTCGATTTTAATTTATCAAATTTAATTTATTTTTTGCAGATAATCACTTCCAATGTCGAGAAAGAGCAGTCAGCAAATGATGAACTCGTCGCCAAACATTTGGATGAAGTTCGTCTCATTCGAACGGAGTTTGAAGAGAAGATAAACGCCATGAGTGTCAATCTAGAGACACAAACCACAGAGAAAAACAGTATTCAAACCAAATTGGAACAAGTGCAACAAGAATTAGATGAATCAATGGATTTGCTGGCAAAACATAAGCTCGAACTCGCCGAAATTACAAGTGAACTAAGTGATGAGAAATCAACTCACGATAAAGTCCGAAAAGAGTACACTGATGTTCAAGAAAAACTCAGTGAAACTAGCCAAAAACTTCAAAAAACGGAAGAAGACCTCACCGCTACTCAAGCGAAGAATCAAGAGATCGATTCGGAATTGAGCGAGAAAAATGAACAAATTTCGAAGTTAAAAGATGAACTTGGTCAATTGGAAATAAAAATGACAGAATTGAAAAATGTAAGTGCTATTCCAAGAATATTTTCACCTTCTTTTACGCATGTAAAATTGAATTTCGCCATTTAATTCTTTCTTTCCAAAACAAAGGAACACACTTTGTCCACAGAAACGTTTACCACGAAAATCGACCAATATACCAAAGACATTGAAGAATTGCAAGAGTCTACAGCAAAATTGCGAAGCGAAAATAAAATATTGCTAGAGTCAGCCACAAACAAAGAGCAATTGATAACGCTCAACGAACAGTTTGTTCAAATGGAAAAGATACAGAACGAAAAGGTCGAACTATGGAAAAAAGAGAAGGAAAGTCTAATTCAAGACGTCAAAATCTATCGCGCCAAATTAATGAAAGAACGCGAAACGGTCGATCAAAAGGACAAAGAATTCAAAATAATGCGAAACAGCTACGAAGAGAAGCTGGAAAAAATGAAAGAAAAAATGGTAAGTTTATTTCGAATATTTGTGCTCTTCCTGTCACACTCCATTGCATCCATTTGTGTAAGCTTATTTTGGTGTCTTGTTCTAAGACTGCATGTTTGTTCATCGTTCGATGTTGTTTCTAATCGCTATCATCTCATATCTAATTCGAAATGTTCTGCATTTATCGTAATCACATTGCATAAACCAATGATTAAATAACAATTGTAAAATAAAATAGCGAAAATTTGCGATTCAAACGCTTCGATTTTTGTATATTTTTTAAGCATTCAAATTCAATCGAAAGCAACCTCGTTGAATCGACACAGTTGAAATTTTTGTACGATGCCATCCGAAATGAACGAGACTTTTCAATCGACAGACCTTGGATGAAACACATATGCAGTTTGTTTAAATGGCCAATGACATTTTTATTTTGTGCAATTATTACCATTGCGGTAATTCGGCGATTCGCCGTTAAAAATCAAACGGATGTATTTTAAATATATCGGACCATTATAAACGGATTGAGTTTATATTTTCTTTTTTAAAAAAAACAGGAAATAAAGTATTTTTTATTATTTAATTACATCGAAACAATGACTATTTTTCTCAAAAAAACGTGTCACACAATTTGAACTATGTCTGTGGATATTCATTTGAATTTTAAATTTTTGCAGAAAACTCTGTACAAAGAAGAAATGGCCAAAGTTCAAGAGAAACATGAAAAGCAATTGGCTGAAATGGGCACTGAAAATCGACGGTATGCCGACAAATTGATCTTTTACGATGAGAAAACGAAGGAATTTTCATCACAAATTCATGCGCTCAACGAGGAGAAATTAATGCTATTGAAGGAACATGAAATTATGAAGTCCAAATTACGAACATATGAAATTGGCAGCACATTGAATGGAGGCAATGGCACCACCAACGCATCGAAATTTTTAGATAAAATGAGAGGTTTGTTGAAATTAATCGCTTTAAGCCGAATGACAACCATTCTTTAATCATGCCATTTTCATTTGCAGGAGGTACATTCCGAATGGAAGACGAAGAGGGTGAACTTTTTGATAACACATATTTGGATGACTTGAAGGGAGGAGGTACATTCGGTCGTGAATCGTTGTCTTATGACGAGATTCAACGACGAAATTCAATGGTCCCACCTCATCTTCGCTCATCGTACATGCCACAATTTGCTGACAATAGTTCAAAGGTAATTTTTAACTTTACCATGTTACATCAAGTCCAAAAGTACTAAATCAATGTCTTTCATATCATTTCTTTAGCAAAATGAAAACTTCCGATCATGTTTGGATGATAGCTTGTTTAGTACTCAAAGCGAAACACGCCGTCAAACAACATATAAGCGACCAGGCCCCCCAACACCGAGCAAGAGTGGAGGTCGATTATCGTTGGGCAGTGAATTACCTCGGGGCGATATACTTCGCGAACAAAATGGTTTTGAGCGTCCATCGCTTGGTGGAAACACATCCAAGGCATCAAAGAAAAGTACACCTGGTAAATTTACGCGTATATTTTCTTCATCGAAAATTAAGGATGAGGTACGAAATAAGCTATTAATTTAAATTTCCATTTCAATTCAAACATAAATAATTTAAGGTTGATTAAGGCAATCTTTTAACATAAAAAGTACGTGTGTGTCAGAGTTTGGGACTGGCATCCCATGTAATATTTGTTCATATGTAAATTTGCTGATCGTACTTCACTACAGTCCTCTTAAACAAACGGGCAAAGCACTCTTTCAATGTGTGTATGTCAAATTTGTGCCACACTTGCTCTCTGTAACCACGTTCGTTAAATCTGAATATCGATATTTCTTTTTCGGATTCTTTCTTCCAGACATTATAGTGAGTCAATTGCCAATCGATCGGCAAATAAATTTTGCATTCACGTGTGCTCGTTTTATGATAAACTACTTCACCAAATCGAATGAAGCACCAAATCAATCCAAGTGACTCAATCCACACCAAAACCATTCCCAATCAAAATAAACACAATATTCCGCTCTGAAAACAAACAAGTTCAAAAGGTTGCAATCACATTCCTGATCACACGCCGCGTCGTACGATTCAATTTATTCATTAGCCGCAAGCAGGAGAGAGAGAGAGAGAGAGAGAGAGAGAGAGGAAAATAAGACGCAAATTATTTTTTTTGTTTTATTTTCAAAATGATCACAGCAATTTTTGATTTCATTTACATTTTATACCTAATTTACATTCTAAAAGATAATTTGATATTGGCCGTTATTCACATGCGGATATATGTATTATTTTAATTTAATTTCTAGTTATGCTAAGTAAAATAAAAATCGATTTTGTAAATTTTTTAGTCAGTTATAAGAAAATATTTGGAAGATTAAATAGCTGGATTTTATAGTAATCAATATGTATATGGTTATGTTGTATGTGTTTCAACAACTCAATAAAGAATAAGATAGAAAATGATCGTGTTGTATCAAATCATTGTAATTTTATTCGGAATCATTTAAATCGAGCTACAGGTCTGGCGTTGACACCTTTTGAACTTCTTTGTCAGTAAGTGGCCCCACCGCAAAAAAAAATGCATTCATTTTGAATTGAAACCAAAATTGGTATGTTTTTTTTGTTTATTCATTGAATAGGATAAGGAGAACGATCATCATCAATCTCGTGGATCGATGGGTCGAAGTACATTGCAAAATTTGCAAAAGTTATTTTTCAGTACGTCAACACCGCATCGGAACGGAAGACGATCGTCAACATTGGCCAAATTCGAACGAACTTCATTTGGTTTTATCAATCATTCTGTGTCAACGATCGAATCAAAATTGACATCGGATCCAATACGATTGGGTGCCTTATCGCGCAATTTACTTGAGCAAACGAAAAAAGTTTCGCAAAAATTCCTGTGCGCCACACCGGCCGCTGGTTACGAATCAACACCCGAATACGATAAATTGCATCGTGATCCAACCAAATTGGCAACATCACGAAAATCGTTCATCAAAAAGCGTACATCATTGCTCAAAAAGAGACTTGCACAAAATAAAAGAACTCAAAAAGAAAAACGACATTCAGCGTACAACAGAGGTCGTCGCATATCAAAAACCGATCATGGCATTGTCAATGAAACGTTTTCAATTGGCAGTGTGAATCATTTTTCGGGTGCAACATTTGATGTGGAAAGAAGTGATTCACCGTCTTACGATTCGGATGTTAAAAATTTCCAAGCCGAAGTGAATGAATTTCAAGGTCCGATTCAAATATTCAACGAAACTTGCGATGATGAAATCGATTTTGAAAAACTTTGCAACGTTAAAGAATCAGTTAGCCCATTTGACAAGAATGGAACAATGGTAAATTTGACGGTGTCACCAAAAATGGACAAAAAATCTTCACCAGAATCGAAAACTGAAAATGGCGAAGATGACATTTCGTCCGATCTTAGCAAAAAATCGGTTGAATCAAATCGTTCGTCGACCTCACCGACACGAATGAGCAACCATTGTGCTCGCATCTGTTGGAATCAACAGAAAATCCCAAAGATAACCACATACAAAGCAGAAAAGAAAAGTTTGGAAAATGATAGTCAAAATTCAACACGTAGTCATCATAATACACAAACACTCATCACCACTGTCCGATCGATTCACTCAAATGTTACTGTCGGATGGTTTGATATACCACAATTTATTCGATATTATATTGTATCTGTTACCATTTGTTTCTTAGCTTTACTTCGTTATCAATTCAGTTAATTTAAGAACAAAACACATCACATTTTTCACATCACAATTGTATGTATTTTCGTTTATATATCTTTTTTTTTTAAATACTCATTTATTATTAGCATTTATTCACAAACAAAATTGTTATTGTACAGATCGAAGTTGAACAAATTCATTTAATTGCATCAAAAACATTTTACAACAACGAAATAAAACAACATTAGTTTATGGCGGTATGCATCACAGCTCTTTCAATAAAAGAAATTCTTGCGATATGGTACAAATAATTTGCATGTCGTTCGGAAACATTGAATTGGCAAATAAAATTTACCAGTATAAAATTTACAGGTATATCTGTGCAAACGGAATTTTGTCTTGATATTCCGAGAGATTCTCAATACCATTCTTCTTTCACAAATAACATGAGAAACCTTTACATAATTCATAAGTGTCGAAGAAAGCCTGAAAAAGGCTAAAATTATAATGATATGCTCCTTTAAACTTACCTTGTAACCAAAGAAAAAAACTGGGAAGAAATTAATGCTTTAAATTTCGGGAAATCATTCATAAAAATAAGACTGTTAGTCTCGCCAAAATCGGCTATAATCGTGATTGTATCAGTATTAAAAATACTAAATTGCTTTTCAATTCAATAATATAATGTATTTAATCATTGCACGTGTAAATTTTACACAGATTAATACACCGTATACTAATAAATAAATAAATAAATAAAAAAGGACGATTTTGTTGTTTGGCGTTTAAAAAGAAATACTCATTTATTATCATCTTTTTTATGAAAACTGTTATAAACAAAAAGGTAAACCATATTTCGCATGATATTAACTCACCATAAGTCGCCATAAGTAAATAAACCGATATTAATTCATGCCGTTGCACCCCACCATCTACCAGTTCAAGTGTTCAATTAAATTCGGATTGAATGTATTCTTGTAGTGTCGATTGCAGAAGTCAGCGATACGAATGCATGATTCCCAAATTAAATGTTCCGGAACGGTTAAAACAATGCGCATGTAGTTTGGATAATTGAAGCATTGACCGGGCAAACAAAAAACGCTTTGCTCCTTGACTAATGCCTGCACAAACTCAAGTTCATTTTGATATTCAGGAAAATTGTCGATATCGATTCCAATCATCATATACATGGCTCCATCGGGCATAATGGGTTTAAGTCCAACAGCATCACACAAAATATCATAGGCAAGTTTGGCGTGTTTCTGTTTTTAAAAATAAATTCAAGTTACACGGGAAGACGGTAAGCGATAGAAAACACTTACATAAAGTGTTTCCACGATGCTATCAAAGAAAGTTGTTGGTGTTTTCTCCAAGATTTCCGGTAGTGCGCCTTGAATAAGAGTGTTGCTACCCAATATTCTTGTGCTTAAATTGGCTAAACCCTAATTGATTTGAAAATGATATGGTTTCAAAAACGAGTTTCCTTTTGTTTCAAATTAAAAAAAAATTCAATCAATATACTTTGCGTAACTCCTTGAAAATATCGTGACGATCGTGAATTACAATCCACCCCATGCGCCATCCTGGCACCAAAAAGCGTTTCGTCAAACCCCCGCATGATAGAACGGGTACATTTTTCGAAAGAGAACTGACCGAATGATACTCGACTCCGGGGAACACAAAGTGTTCATAGATTTCATCGGCAATGATTGGAATGCAATACTTTTCGCACAACGCAATTATGTCCAATAAATGATTTTTTCGAAAAACGCTTCCACATGGATTGCTAGGATTTGTAAGCACAATAGCTGCTGTATGTTCGTCCATTAATTCTTCCAATTGTTCTAAATCGACTTCCCATTGTTTATCGGGCAGTAAATTGTACGACCGAACTTCAATGCCATAGCTAATTGCAAGAGTTCGATAAATCGAGAAACCGGGCGTTGGTATCAATAAATTTTTACCCGAATCCGCAATAGCTCCAATGCATAAGTCAAGGGATGACGAGCATCCGCTGCATAAAATCACATCGTTGGGTTCCACCGAACCTTGATGCGGTGCTACATATTTACAAACAGCTTCACGGGCTAATATGCTTCCAGCTGAATGAGCGTAACCATTGTGCTTGCCTTCATCGATCGCATTTCGTACTGCTTGAATTGTTTCATCAGCCGCTTTTAAATTGCCAAACACAGTAGGATCACCTGGGCGGAAAAATAAATTTAAAATTTTTATGTCGATTTTGGAATTTAAATTAGTACATTGCTTATGGGAACGTCACGAAAATTCCACATTTAAATTATCGAATTAAAATGATTTCATTTTGTTCGCAACTTATAGAAACATATGCGTTGTAGTTGTTATTCTTTAGTTACAACAACAACAAAAATCTGACTATTTATTCAGCAGATCTCATCTAACGAGGAGAAAGATCGCATTTGTGGCGCGTATGAATATGAATATTAATCAGTGAACAACTTTTAATATCAATAAAAAATAACTTATGAACTTGTTTTGATTTTGAATATATTGATAGCGCGTCGTTGGTATTTGGAATACCATGAAAATGTCATCATTATTGATATTGATATTCGTTGTAGCAACAATATTATGTGTACCGTTGTTGCGTAGTATTTTTCCTTAATTCGACCTTTTTACATAGCGCACAGTTGCAGCCACTTTTATACAACTTGTTGTGATTCACATGTATTCTGCCTATTTTTTTTTTTTTTTTTTTTTTTGAAGTTTGACCAGTGCTTTATCATTCTATAATATGATGGACAGGAAGGAATATTTTTGAGTATTTTTAGATTGATGAATAAGCATGTTTTAAAGCATGGCGAATACATTGCACCTGATACTAATTTTTAAGCAAGCATGAGACAAATCTTTGGATAAAACTACTATTGGTGTATAATTATACAGACACGGGCGTCTTGCAATGGGGTTGAAACCTGAGCAACGAAGAACTATGTCTATTCAATATAACTAGTACACTCCCCGTTTAAGTCCAAAAATCCAAGCATAAATTCACATTATTATAGAAATTATTATTACAATTTATATTTCAATGAATTTTAATTTTGCTGCTTATCACCAATTTTTACACTCTTTAAAAAAACAGAGCTATCATTGGCACCAAAAAATTGCAGGCATTGCCTAGTGCCTAATTGTTTATATAATTAATTATATAATTCAAGTGATATACCTGATTGCGAGGAAGAGGAACACTTATATCAAAAGTACCAGTAACTCTGTTCAAATCGTACCTCTTATTTGCGAAACGTTTTTTAAACTATGAAATTCTGCTTATTTAATTAATAAATACAAGAAATGTTTGAAGTTGGTTGCATCTTATAAAAATAACTGACCATGAGACAATAATAGGAGATTTTTTTCATTTCGAATATCGACATTTTAAAATGAATCGTTTGCTTCAATAAAATTCTTTTAAAATTCATAAAATGAACTTTGTCTCATCATATTTTTTGTAATTTAATCAAAATTAGAAAAAAAAAACGTTAGATTTTCAACGACACAATTTTTATATTTAAAAAAAAGTGAATTGTTTGAAATTTTCAAAGACAAAAAACTTGAAAATCAACTCACCCGCAGAGAGGAAAAAAACCATACTTTTACGAGAAAAAAAATCGTTTTTTATGTTTATTTTACTTACCAACAGAGAGTGGAATAAAAGCCTTATTTGGATTTGGTTGCACGTTCAAATGTTCGACGATGGCTCTGATTGGGTTTGTAGTTAAATTCGCAAATTCGGATGATTTAACATTCCATTCACGTTTTTTAATAAAATGATCGTCGATTGGTTCGTCCCCGGGTTGTTTTTTAACGTCCAAATGGAGATTATTAAAAGTTTCGGTGCTCAATTCATTGACTTGTCCTTTTATCATTGTCACACAAGATCAAATTTTGTTCAATCCACTTGTTGCAACAACTAAAATAATGCAAGTTTTTACCCAACAAAAAAATCCTTATGAATTATAAAAATAATCGGAATATTGAAGTGACAAAATGGTGTACAATGTTTGATTCGCTTATATCACGCGATCAAGATAGTTCGAAATTTTCCTCGGTTTGCCAATGGCACTATTCATTAAAAACTCTTTTTAACCAATTTTTTGTAAGATATTCTCCCTTTTTTGTCAAACACTTGCGTTCAGCGAAAAATAATGGCGTTGTTGGGTAATATTTTAAGTATAATAAGATTGGCGGTGTGTACAGAACGACTATCGGCAGTCATGTCTAATATTGAACTAGCTGATAGCTGGACGCGCTCAAGCCAATTTATATCTATTGTGGGCAGTGTGACGACCAAAAAGTGACGCGTAGATACGAACTGAAATCTCGATATAAAAATATGACAAGAAAAATATAAGCGACAAAACACCTGAACCTCTCTCAATCGATAAACAGCTACATAAATCTCGTGATAATTTTTCTCTCAACAGATGGAGACAAAGCGTTGGCTGGAAAAAGACAAAAGTAAACGCATGGAATTGATTCAAGTCATTTCAACATCTTTCGTCGCTATGTGACGTCACGATCGCATATATTAAATGATACCCCCAGCAGCTCGGCATAATCATTATCATCATCGATTTATAGATTTTTTTTGCTTCTCATTCAACGGCAAATTTATACATATTTTCAAGCAAAATAACCACATCGCAGAGAGTTGTTTGAATCGCGGGCATTGACAACGAAGGTTGACTTTTTTTATATTGCAAATATACGTATATGCGTTGTTTGTTCGGCCATTTAGACGTGCCTTCTTTTTTACTGCCGTTTTGAAATGCTGGTTGGTTTTTGGCCACATGTTTTGAGTTTGTAAATAAGCAATTCTAAGAAATAAATGGAAATGATGATGCATAAAGTAAACACTTTATTTTGTTATCGATTTGTTTTGCTCCGATCATATCATACGGAATGAAAACAAATAATATGTAAAAATTGTTGTTTGTTTTTTGTAATTGGAATTTTTATGTCCTGTTTTTGTGTGAAGCTATCATCAACCCCCTCCGCTAGACCCTTCGATTGAAATCTATAATAATTCTGTTATTTTGCTATCCTAGTTAAGAATGTATCCATCAAACGATTTAAAAATTGAATCTGTATCAAAAACTTACCAAACTGCCTCGTTTACTTTTTTGAAAGTTGTCTCTTAAGTTTTCAAAATATTCAAAAAATTTGAATATAAAGAATAGGTGTGGAAGCGTCGATTTTTTTTCTGGAATTCATTTAAGTTTCATGTTTACTATGTCTTTTATTTTTTTTCGGTTTGCTTAATAACCTTCAAATCAGCATGGGATTTATAATGTCGATTATCATTTATACAAAAGAAAACTATAACGATAGGATACGAAGTGATTATTTCATATATGTGTTCTTGTTGCTGTTTTAATTTTGTTAATATGAAATTGTTCTCTGATCTTAAATGTGGCAAAGTTTTCAACGTTTATATTATTCAGCATGAATGATGCCAATTTGTTATAGCAGCTCATTTTCGGCACTCACGTAGAAGCGCGTAGAAGAGTACATCTTGGCAAGTTGAAATGTGGTCAAGATAGAATTTATTCTTTTGATACTGAGACAATTCAATTGGAAACTAAACGGTTCGTTTCGTCTTTTTCAGCTCTACCTTCAATATTATTTCCTATTTCCTAAACATTAACAAAAATTGTTCAATCAAACTTCGAAACACAACATTTCTAATATTATTTCTGTAAAATACTCAATATACATTTGTACATTTGGAATGTTGCTTCATTGTGTCAGTATGAACTGACAATAAAAAGGGAGGAATTTCTCAGACATTATAATGAGATATTTTCAGCCAGATGAATCAGCTCAGCCAGATATCGTCAGGAGCTGAAATTGAGTGAAAACAATAGAATTGATTGTTATGGTTATAATTACACTTACATTGCTACAATCACTATAACAATCACTTTTATCGTTTTCACTCCATTTCAGCTCCTGACGATATCTGGCTGAGCTGATTCATCTGGCTGAAAATATCTCTTTATAATGTCTGGAATTTCTGCAACGTTTTGAACGTTAAATTTACATCAGTATTGTCGAAACGAATAACTTTCACCAAATTATGTACTCAATACACTCCAAAAAGACAAAGTATGCATCGAATTTTGCCGTTTGAAATATGGAGGATATTTTTGTAATCAAATTTTCAAGAATATTAAAGTTAATTGATTAAATATTGATTATATTTCAACATATTCGTGTTCTAAATTAAAAATGTGGATATTTATTTGGTGTTAAAATGAAAAATAAAATAATTTAGCAAAATAAATGTTTATTAAATCGACATAATATAAAAAGCGCTTAAATGTTAGCTTCAAAATTCAGTCGAATAACTACCTTTTGTTTCCTAAAATGTACTACAACAGAGGAAATATTATTGAATTTCTTGACAAGAAAAATATAATTTTAACAACTTCTATCATTACATTGATCCAATGATTCTCCATCGCATACTTCACTCAAACGCATTTCAAGTTGTTTTCCTCGCATATAAACCGTATTCGTTATTCGAACAACCATATTAGTGATTTTGGTGACCAATTTCTCTTTTCCATCAGCTATCAATTTTTCACGCTCATCAATAGCCTAGATATGAATTGAATGATACATTAACAAAATCTTAGAAAAACTTCAACGAACATTTTGGGGTTTCAAAAAATTAGAGTATTTACCTTTATTTCGCTGTTCAGCAGATCACGTTTATATGTGAGTTCATTCAATAATAATTTTAGAGTGGCACGTGTTTCGTTGGCGTCTTTATATTTATGGTATCTGTGGTCGACTAACTGGCAATCGCGGCACGTTGATATGTCACAAGTTTCACAGAAAAGTGACAATTTTTCCTGAAAAAGAGAAACAACAATGAAATTAAATTTTGTAGATGAAAACAAAAATCATCAATGTTTACCTGTGGATGAACGTGACACATGAGCATTTTTTCATCATTCGTTGTAGTTTTATCATCAATTAATGCTTCCTCTTTCGTGTTAATTGTGTGGTTCCTTGTAAATTTCAAGCGTTGATGTGCCTGAACACAACTTTCGCAAATGTACTCAGCACATTCGACACACGATGATGTAGCCGGTGCATCGTCGGTGCAATTAGTACATTTTATTGTCTATAATTGTAAATTCATGAAGAGTTTTGAATATTAAACTGCGAAATTTGAAAAAAAAAAAAGTTTTTTAGTTTACCTTTGCATCGACATCGGAAGATGCTTGTGTTTCCTTGGCTTCTGATAATTCAATTAAAAATTGATCCATTATAACACTGTCTTGGGTTGTACATTCATGAAAAGGATTATTTAATATTTTAGAAAAAATTGTCATAAATGTTTCAATAAATAATAATTGAACCACTATAGCTGTCAGCCAATATTTTTTTAATATTTCTTGACCATTCACACAAAAGAAAAATCAGAACTTTTTATACAATGTAGAGATATTTTTTCGATTTTACAATTCAAAATGAAAAATGCACGTTTCCGACATACAATTTTCATAAATTCATTTACCATTATTTCTATGCTAATAAAATGATTCAAAAAAGTGTTCTGTTTATTCGGAACAATCAAACTCAACTGAACCTGGCTTGATGCTTAATTTCAATTGATATGCTCCGCTTATCTGTTTATTACGAGCTGTTTTAAGTCTGAAAAGCTAAGATAACACTTTGACCCAATAATTCATTCCACGAAGTTATTATCACATTTCGGCAGAATCATATTTTATACTAGGGTGGTCCAAAAAATTCGAACGTTAAAATGACACTTTTAGCATAGGTGACAACGCTCGACTTTGAATAGGCGCTTTACTTCGACTAATATGCATTATTGAGCCTCAAAATTAAATGTTTCCGTGTATTTCATGATTTGGCAGCGAACAGAAGCCATATGCTTTGATTAGGATCATTTATACCTTTTTTTGTGAATTTTCAAAGTGCTTAACATTTTTCATATTCGATTTTTTTTAAATTCCCGGGTCTGACGCAAAAAGGAAACGCATTTTTTCAAAACCGTTGTCATAGTCGTATTTCTATGACCATCCTACAGAGGTTATGGGAATACGATTTTTGATTCTCACAAAAATGTCAAAATCGAACCACTCTACTGTTCAAACCAAACATGAATTGATTATCATCATTGATTCAATTGAATTGACTTCAATTTTTGTTCTGATAGTCAAATTGTGAGGTCTAATTTTGGGCAAATGTATTAAGATTATGAAGCTATGATCCTCAGGCCAAAATTATGCAGAAATGATGCTTGAAATGGTGTCTTTCATGTCAGTTAGATTTGTAGTGACGCACAATGTTCTATTATTATAATTTTTTTTACACATGAACCCCCCTTGTCGGCAGTCGAAAATTCTTTGGATTTGCTAGGGATTTTCGCAAAAAAAGTGAAGACCTTTTTTTTCGATTTGCTAGGAATTTTCGTCAAAAAAGTATTTTCCTTTTTTTGTTCTTCAAGTTTTTGAAGTGTGGAGAGAAAGGTTTAAATTTGCTGGGGTTTTTCGCGACAAAAAATGACTTGATTTTCTAGGGTTTTTTGAGTGACCGCTTGAATGGAAAATTTTAAATGTGACAGTAGAAACTTTGAAACTTTAAGAATAAAAAAGTAGGCTGAAAGAATGTAATCAGCAAGAAAAAAAATGTGTTTCGTGTGGCTTTACAACGATTTGTGTGCATAGTTACCGAGTATCACTTGCGTTGTATATTGACAATGTATTTGAACGCGACTCGATTTAAGAAGCGCCATCTCTTTCACGCCAGGTTCTCATATATTTTTTTCTTGCAAATAAAATTGCAAAATTGTATAAATTGAATAAGTTTTGCAATAATAATAACGAAAATAATTAATAGAATTTATAATAAATAAAAAAAATTGAAAAAAACACACAAATATTTTATATTATATGATAGGTGGCTTTGCCTTGTAGACCATGTAGAGATGGTTACGTGGAGAAAATATGTATTTGTCAAACATTGATATCTGTCAAAAGAAACAACGTAAACAACACGAAGTGAAGCTATTCTGGTGAATCATATAATATAAAATATTTGTGTGTTTTTTCAATTTTTTTATTTATTATAAATTCTATTAATTATTTTCGTTAATATTATTGCAAAACTTATTCAATTTATACAATTTTGCAAGAAAAAAATATTTGCAAGAAAAAAATATATGAGAACCTGGCGTGAAAGAGATGGCGCTTCTTAAATCGAGTCGCGTTGAAAGCCGACTGTAAGTGATACTCGATAGTTACCGTAATATGACCATAGTATAGTGGATTAGTGTATGCGCTAAGAGGCGTATGGTCTTGAGATCGGCTCCGTCCAATTTTTTTATCATCTTACAGTTATTATGCACACGAATCGTTGTAATGCCACACGAAACACATTTTTTTCTTGCTGTTTACATTCTTTCAGCTTTTTTTTTATTCTTAAAGTTTCAAAGTTTCTACTGTCACATTTCAAATTTTCCATTGATATTGTCGTAAATAATGGTTTCATTGTATTCAAACATATTTTCAATGCGGTACACATTTGAACATAAAAGCCCCTAGAGAGTCTAGGTGCCACAGTAACCGTATGAAAAAACAGCTATTTCTTTTTTTTATAATAATAATTATACCATTACCTACTTACCTTATCTACTTTAGAATATTCTCTTTGGCATTTTTGAATATGGTATTGTATCGTACACAGCATTAAAAGCTGTCCGTCGGGTTAGCCCAACTGTATAAAATTCAAAAATAAAAACCAAGTTACGAATTAATTTAATTAACATCATTTATTTGTCTATATTACCATCATTAGTTTTAATTTTCTAATTTTTAGATGCAAATAAAACAATATAAATAAAGATAATATGTGGTTTTTTTGGTGTAAAATAATCGTGCAAGGTTCGATTTCGGAGTCAAGTTCAGTGTTGTATTTTCATAATGAAGAAATGGTGGATAGGTTCAGAGTAATCGATAAACCAATTTTAATTTACACACAATTAAGTTTACACTTCCATTTGTTCTATTGCATGAAAATCACTTAACCTCTTGCACTCTTTTTTTCTAATCGATGAGTATTTTCAAATGAAAACGAAAATTGTCTCAAGGCTGATTTGATTGGCTTTGTAAAATTTTGATTGATTTGTATTGCATCAAAATGATTTCAAGAGAATACAGTTCTTTTTCTTACCTAACGTAACATAATGAATGAATAAAATAACATATGAAATTAAATACCAAAAATTATCACACCAAATTTGACCACAAATTGGAAAGGTATTCAAAGAAAATGACATTTGAGAAAAAAATAAATTATTTATCCACAAATTAAAAAAAAAAAAACAAATCCAATACTAAAAACAAAAACTCAGCTGGGATTTTGTTTGCCAAAGAAATCCGAAAAGTAACAATAAATCTTTCGAGTAACTGTCAATACTGTATTGAACAGCCTCAATTCAGCTCCTTATCGAATTCGATTAATCTTTGGCAAATGATTGCTTTGAATGACGTTGAAACGTGCTTAAACAGTATATCAAAATCAAGCTGTGAATCATTTTCGTTTTGATCAGTTTGATTTGATGGTTCGCCTGTGGTAGCCGAGTCCTCTTCATCTGCCGTACTTATGCTTCCATCGTACAGATTCCGTGGATTTTCCTCGGTTATACAATCACCGAATAAATGGCTGTATTTTTGTTGAAGTTGTCGCTCCAATTCAGTGTTATTGTTGGTAAAAAAGAGCACATATGCCAAACCGAACAAATAATGGTCGATGTTATTTAAAAAGTACTCTTCCAACGGTTTTAGGGACAACGAATTTTCAATGAAATACATGAACACGCCATGAATCAAATATTTCAAATCGGTACGGTGGATGGGCACAATGTTTGCGTCTTTTGTAAAATATTCGAACAATTTTATCACGTAACTGGTTAACATCATGTTGTCTAACTCAAAATCGTCTTGACTTTGATGCATCGCAATGGTATCTTTGGCGGCCGCCAAGCACAATGAAAATGCCTCCTTTACATAGTAGTTCAACATCAGGATGCGTACCTTGAACTCGTTCAATGCGGTGAAACCGAGAATTTTATGCGCATCGTAGATTCCATGCAGAATGAAGAGACAATAGTGTATGAATTCACTATTTACTTCGTGATGACGTGCAGTTGATGTCGATGGTTTTGCATTGGTCGATGGGGAGATTTTCATCGATGAAATTTGCTGAGTCAATGGGTTGACCGAGTTTTCACCTTCAGACGATATACTGTTGTAATCGAAATTCTCGCTCGATGGGCTGGTGTCAAGAAAGCCTGGCTTACGAAATATCTCACGTGATATGTACTCGGGTCGATATTTCGGAATACTTTTCAGGTAACGCACTGCATCGTAATTCATGCGGATTTTGGGTCGCGGCAACGGAACCTCAATAGGTTGATCGATGCATTGGCTTGTATCAGGAAGTCGCACTATCCGCTTAGACACACGCAATCGCACCAATTTGCCGGTATAACCATTTCGATCGGGATGATTCATTTCACGACCACACTGGAAATCAATTATTGCGTTGATTAGTGTTTTTTGAATATTATTTTTTAGCATAGATTATACATACTTGTCCGACATTGTTGTTTCCAAAAGCCTTGACGGTGAAATTATCAGTCAATATTAGTGTAAAATCGGCTCCACAATCAATACAAATAATATTGTCATTTATTTCTAAAAGTGTTGGCTTTGTTAAATCACATCTCGTATTCTCTCGTCCAAGCTGCTTCTCCAAGTTTCGACCCCAAGTATACAGACTCTGTGATGCGTTTGTCAATAAAACATTGTGGTATAGGCCGCTTGAAACCTATGTCAAAGTGATGAGTGTTAGTTTTTCAATTGAAGACTCAAACAAAATGGTAATAAATCGATCGAAATTACCTGAATAATATCTCCAATAACATCAGATGTGTCAACTTGTTGCGGAAGAAAATGGTCCGTATACTCATCGTCCAAATAGTATTCACTGTTTATTTTTGATTCAGCATCAATTTCACCACTCTTTTCTGTTGTCTGTTTGCTTTCTGAACGTAAAAAATTTCTAATTCTATCTTGTAAATTGCTTGGATTTAATTTACTCGCTATCGATTTTGGCACATTGTCATTTGTTTCATTTTGTTCGAATGATTCAACATTTCCCATATGATTTGTGCTATTCGTATCAATATTGATTGTCTCCTGATTTAATGGTTCCTCATTTTGTACTTGATCTTTTAAGCCGTTTTCTTCAAGACCGTTCGTTTCTGCTGGATCCGTTGATTTCTCTGTATTTTCGTTTGACATTGCATTTTTCGTATCCTCAAACTTTTGAGCCATTCTCGCTCGTTTTCGTGATTGATTCATTAAGCGTATCAATTGCGGTGATGCTCCCCAGGTATAAACACGATTGCTTTTTGTAGTGACAAACTAAAGTCAAAGAGATGATTATGATAAATGAATGGGTCACATTGAAAATGAGAATTGAGTCGAACTTACATTTGCGAAAAATTTTGTATGAATTTGTGTGATAATCTCGTTGAATAAATCAATTCTAACGGGTGTTGAGCTCTTTAAACACTTTTGTGTGGGATTTTCTCTTTGATATTGTCCGGTTCCCAACTGACCAAATAGATTACAACCAAATACGTATACAGCTCTTTCCGATCCATTACCACACAGAACTAACGTATGTGCATGGCCCAAAGCTATTTGTTTCACCAGTTTTCCACTGAAGAATCGAACCATTTTTGGTCGATCCAATGCGAAAATATCACCATGACCCAGTTGGCCATAAATGCCCCAGCCCCAAGTGTATAGTTCACCATCGGCATAAACAGCATTGTGATATTGACCTGCTTCAATCAATGTGATATCCTTTCCATCGAATTCGGGCACAAGCATAGGCTGGAGTGCTTGCACATGTTGTTGTCCGATACCTAACTGCATATGCAAATTCGAACCCATCGCATATAGCTAAAAGAAAAACCAAATAATTTTAGTCTACGATTTTGCCAAATGTTTCACTTGTACTCACGCCATTATTTGTTAATATCAACGTATGTGCCTTGCCGCATTTTACAGCATGTACTTCTAATCCCATGTTCGAGATGAATTCCAAGCATCTTGGTGATGTTTCCGAAATCGAATCAGCAACTGAATTTGGTGCAGCCAGATTTAAGGCACAATTTACTCCATTCGAACCCCATAAGTAGCAAGAACCATCAATAATTGCCGCACAATGCGCAAATCCAGCCGATATATTTAGACCGTTATCAACTTTTATAGCAAACTGCAAAAGGCAAAAAAGGGGCATTATGAACAAATGACATTAAATAAATGAAAAAAAAAACATACCTGATTCTGTTCATGACGAACGCAAATAGCATTTAGACCATTTGTTGTTTCGTCTTTAGTGCACTTGAGTGTATACAGTTTTATGATTACAATCAAAAATGTTTCAATTAGATGCTTACAAAACTCGACCAACTTCTGAAAAGCCAAAGAAATGGACGGATTTAGAAAAGGATTACTTGAAATAATAGCGAAATTGGTTTCCCACCTTATTTATATCATTCGAATCGCTTTCGATGAAATTTGATGATAGCTGTGAAACTACCGGCCGGAAGACGGCTGTAAATGGATCCAATTGGTATCGAAGTCGCTCCAAAACTTGTTGATTGATTCGATCACATTTTGATTGAATACAATCAAAATAGTCCATTGCAATTGCTTGCAAGTAAATAATACATTCCATAAATATTGGGTCAGAGAGTTGATAAATAATTTCATTGATTTCAGTGTACCATCCTGAAATGAAAAATCGAGCATTTCAAACAATGATCAGAAGCTATGAACGGAGTTAAGGATTCAGATTCTTACCAAACTCTTGATTTGTTACACCAACTAAAGCACAAAATGCATCCATGTGTGCGCCCCGATTAAGTGCCAGAATTATTGTCGACGAATACAGTCCACTTTGAGCTAGAACTATGCTGCTCATATTTGTGTGATATCGCTTATTAACCACCAGAAAATTCCTAATCAAATCGAATTAAAAAAGCAATTTTTAACATAAGAGTTCATTTTTTTGCGAAAATATATCTCAAAACATACCACAACGACATCAGTTGTTTATCCCTGATGGCTTTTTCGGTGAGTGTCAATAGCAATAGATTTGATAAATGAAATTGTGATGAATTGGACATTTGTAAATCGGCCGGCGTTTCATCTTTTTCATACGAAAAATCGCTGCACAAAATACCACAATTTAATTCGTCTTTATGTTTTTTCGAATTTTTCGATCGGCCCGAATCCTTCCGTTCGCACTCGACATTCTTCGCCACATATTTGATGGTGTGATTTTTCGGATTGGCACTTTTCAAAACGTACACAATTTTCAAGGCCATGGCACAGAGATGCATCAGTGCACTGTTTTGTCCGAACATTGCTAGCTTCAACGCAGTTTTAACCGCTGGAATTTTCGATATGTTGTAAGTCAGCAGAGCTTGTGTCGTCTTGCCTTTTCTAAGTAAAACGTCACCGCTGTATTCAATGCATTGATTATAATCCAAATTGAAAACTTTGCAAAATTCTTCACACGCTTTCCATTGATTGGTTTTGACTAAATTCAAGAAGACGACATGTGGCATATTATTGAATTCAATCATATACAATGAACGATCGGTGACAACTAAACATTGATCCAGTTCGATTGTGGGAAAAATATGTTCCAGCACTGATTTATCATCGATGTCATAGAAGTCATTTTCCATCGTCACCGAGTCCTTGTGTTGCTTATCTTTGCTATAGTTTTCGGCGTAATTTTGTGTGGTGATTCTTGGTTGTTGGATGATTGGTCGTTCACCAATGTTTGTTGTGCCGATCGGCACTGGATGTTGACTATTTTCCGATGTCACTTCAATAAATGGTATGTGGGACGATGGCTGACTGCATGGAATTCTATGAATATCAATAATCTGCTCATCAGGAAATGGAAACACTCCCAGCATGGAAGACGAATTGAACTCCTATTTTAAATGAGGCACTTAATTAGTTAAGGAAAGAAAGGTTGAGAAAGTACGAATAATTACCGAATCCTCTCCAATGCGAAGAACTGACGACGTACAACCGATGACACCGATTGCATTCACAAATGAATCGCATGTTTTGATTGGCGATGGAACTTCTTTGTTTTCATATTCTTCCTCAGGTTGGTCTGTGTTATTTTCACTTTCATCGCCGGTCACTTCGTCAAAATTTTTTCGAATTTTTTGTGTTGTATACATGATGTTTGGTGTTAATAAAACATTCGAACAGTCTTTCGGTATTTTATACAAATACAGTGGAATCAAACTGATATCCATGCTGTGCACCGACAATGTGTCCGAATATGAATGAAGTGCGCTTAATAAGTGCGTATTTCTTAAAAATTGTGCAATGAAAAATGGTCCAGTTTTTGTGGTTAAAATCTCTGGAACAAAGGTTGGCATGTGCATTGTTGCTAAGTGTGTTGCATTGTGACGACTTCGGTCTAAGAAAGAAAAGAACATTTAATCAAGTGTTGGAGATGTTTGAAAATGACGTTTGTACCTCGTTCATTTGATTTGATCTTATTTTCAATCAATTTCAGTTTGAGTGCGCCAATTTTTTTCGCTCCCAAATCTCGTAGCGATGCTAATCGAGCTCGTGCGGCTGGAAATATTCCACTAGCTTGTATCATATCGGAACCTGATCCGGTTGCCATTAAAGCTTCTTCAGCGCTGCTTACATGTGTAAAACCATCCTTTGTACCATCCAAGTCAGTCATTTCGCTATCAGTTGCTTCCTCGATTTGATTCGGAGACATCGGAACCGGTATCACGAATTGCCAATCTTGATCCGATGATTTGGATTTCATCGTCGAACTGTCCGGCGTATGAATACTATTACTTTGATAATCTGATGACGTTTTTTGAATCTCATCCGGAAAGGTGTAACCAATTGAATTTTGTTCCAGCAATAATTTCCATTGTTCATTTGACGTCGCCGTAATCTAAAATTTCGAGTACAAACAAAGAGTTTAAAATGTGATAGAACTATAAAGATAGAATGAAACACCTACCAACAATGATACACTCTTAACGATTGTGTCTCGGCAAATGGTCATTTGTGCAATGCCGCCGCTTTTGATTTCGATTGATGTGTTCGCTATGAAAGGGCAATTTGGCGCCAGTCCAACAACGCAAATTGAACCGTCCGAATAACCGATAATAGCTCTATGTTGATGCTTTTGTTCGTCATGCCGTGATGTGCTCCACCATACAACCGATAGAGGAAACGGACAAACATTATCCGATTTTGATTCAGCGTTCATTTGATTGTCAATAATTTCGTGAACATGTTTCTCACAACCATCGGGACTTTTTTCAGCAATACTTATCGCTTCGCTATTCTGTTCGCCGCTCGACTGCATGTTGTCTGTATAGCTTGATCCGCTGATTCGCTTAAGATCGCTGACAGGCATATAAAATGATTGATACACATTGTTGGATAAAACCAGCTCATTGATTTGTTCGGGTGAGTATTTATCCTCTGCATCGATATCGGTCGAATCATTTTGATTGGTTGCTCTTTGACCATTTGCATTTTTATTTAAATTATTTGGACATGTTTTCGAATTTGAGCATTCATGCGGCCCAGAAAATGGTACAATAAACGATGTAATTTCATCGGATCGAAATGGCCAGTAAAAATTCTCCAGCTCCTGAGATGTCGTTGTCTTCAAACCAAATTCTGGATTTATTATCCATAGAATCGGTACAATGTGAAGTGTATTGTCATAGCACACAACCAACAAATGACGGCCACTTGGATCAAAACAAATGTCCTGTATCGTTCGGTTTGTTTTTTGAAACCATACGATTAATTTCCAACTGGCTGCATTGCTAAAACTATCGAAATCCCGACTAAACGGCAACGGTTGAGCATCAATTGCAGGCAATTCGTCATCGTCACCGTATCGTTTATTCAAGAATTTGGATAAATTATGTTCGCCATAGTAACGAAATCGTACCAAAATCTCATTTGTTTCACCAACCAAACACAAAATTTGCACGAAATTACGATGATTGTCGACAAAGGCGGATTTTTTTGACTGAAAATTTGTTAAAATTTGTCGCAAATGAAAAATCTTTGCCTCACTCAGTGACATGTTTTCATAACCATTAACAACCCAATGTTGTATAATTCTTTTTGTCTAATATCCCTTAATCGATTTGCACGTTTTGACACATTTATTTGTTTTTCGTTTTGTTTTCAAACCAAAATACCAATTTCTACGATGCGAACGTAGACACTGTTGAACTTGAACAATTATAATTGCAATGAACGAAATTCAATTCGTATTTCGGTGTCACGAAAATATGAATACATAAGCTGAAATTCACGTTCTAAATAGCGTTTTTGGTGCAGTTAAGCGAAGAAAATTTGCTCTAATTTTGTTTGAACGTTCATCAGATAAATGCAATGACATTGTAAATAAACCACATGTGGAACAAACACTTTTTCACTTGGTTTCATTATTGTCGTAGAAAATTTTCTCAGGAAATCTATTTTTATCGCTATGTTTTTGCACGAAGAATGAAAAGAGTTTGCGATTTTTCCATGTGTGTGTACATATTGTTTAAGATTTCACAAAGAGTCTAGCAGAGCTGTCACTTCACCAACTGTCATTGTCAATTGGTAGAATGTAACTTGGCTACCAAACACAACTGTCACATTTCGATTGGGAGGGCCAGTTTGAATGTATTTTTGTTTTAAATTTAAAATCAATCTTCATGGTTTTATTTTTGAAAATATTTTGAAAATTTATTGAAAATACCATTTAGTTCTTTGTTGAGAATTCATTTTTCTAATAATTTCCATTTTAAAAAACATTTTTGATTGTTTCGCAGAGGAGGGGAAATCCTCAAAAAGCACTCAACTACGTACATTTGTGAACGATGAAAACTACGCGCCATTTCCCCTCCAAACGATTCCACTGAGTCGTTGACTGAAAATGTTTGAAAAATATTATTTTGCTTCACAGAAAACATGCCGTTGAAGTAGGAAAGTTGGAAAAATATGCACGAATAATTTTGCCCACATAAAATCAGAGATATCTGATACATTACATTCGAATTAGACTTTTTTGTAAACACCACATTGTCTTTCGGGTAAAAGATGCTTGCGATCAGGAGTTCCTTTTTTTGAATGTGTGATTGTCTCATGGTATCGTACCGGAGATGAAGATTTTTGATAATTTCCGGAAGAAGCCGTTCGGATAAACATCATCAATTTTGCGTGCGTAGTAAATTTATCGATTTTCACGCCAGCAGAAAAACGAGTGAGTTCGTTCAAACGTCAGTTTTCAACACCTCCTCAACAACCTTTGGAAAAAGCGTGCAACCAATGCAATCCACTTCATTTTCAAATACGAATATTATTGAATTTTGAGTTGCTGGACCAAAATCGATGAAATAATGAACAGAAAGTATCAGTCGAAGTAAAAAATAGACTGAACACAAATCATAACCGCAAAAGAAAACACGAAAACAAATGATAAACATCTTAATGGGAGGTTTATAATGAGGTGATGGGTCTTATCGCTTGTTCTGTCTTGTTTGTACAACGAAAAAACTCATAATGTTATGATTCTTGTGTGCGCCGTCTTACCTCTCTATGTAACTGTTGAGCAGATCATTCAATCGTTCGCACTTGTTTTGAAGGTAAGACTGAGCACATTGAGTTTTGTTCAGAAATTACATAAAATCTAGAAAATTACACTCATAAATTCGATTTTTGTCCGCTTTTTTCGCTTCACATTCTATTTCTTTGCCAAGAGGAATGACAACAATAACAAAAAACATGAATTATAAAACTTTTCCCATTTTCCTGAAACTTTTTTTTTATTTTTCAATTTCATTCGTTCCACTTATATTTTTTTCTCTTTTAAAACGACCGAAAAACCATAAGTACAAGTGCCTTATATTTTGTGAGTGCGGCTAATTAAATGAAACAAGGAAATGAGCAAAAATCTAACATAACGACAATAAATGCCATTTTCAAGCGTATGGAAATTAAAAGCGTAGGGTCTGTTTTTGGCATTTTCACACATTCCATCATTTCTGTTTTCATTAAATGCAATTTCATTTGAATATTTATTCGATTTTTCACTTTGGCTCTTCAGTAAAAAGACATTTCAAGCTGTAATTTGAACCGTAATTCAATGAGGTAGAGATTTAATGATAAATTCAGAACATTCAACCATTTGATGATCAACTTTTGAATGAAAATTGAGTATGCATATAGTAAAAAATTGATTGATACAAATGCTCAACGAGCATTCACTTTAACCAATTAGTACATGTATGAAAATTACCGAAAAAAATATTTTCATATTTTTATTTTTTGTTCAGTTCAATTTGTTTCAATAATACAATTAACATAAATTTATTTATTTAATCGATGCGATAGCAAATGTTGGTGATACGCTTCATCCAAATTATCTACTTTTGATCTCATGAATAAATATTGAACTCATATTATGAATATAAATTGATATTCTCTGTAGGTCTTTTAGCCACTTAAGTGCTGAAGTTCCGATCGACGGTAATGTACGGTAATGTAGACGGTAGTTTGAACGCCAAACCTCATTAGTAGTGTATTCACAAATTGATAAAACATCACACAAGGAGATTCGTTTGTTGTCATAGATTTTAATTTTTTTACACCATAGATTTTACATTGACAGACAGAAGCACGTGACACTTTTGCGCCTTCTGCGGAAACCCAATCAGATTCACAATCATCTATCACAGCATCATCAAGTGTTCACGTGTGCGGCAAACAAAATTGTAATTTGATATTTTCAAGGGTCGTTGCATTACTTTCGACGTTTATTCACCGCCTTGATTGTATAATCATAGTTTTTGTAAAGATATCTTCCACATCAAACAGTGTGTGTGTATTTGAGTCGACAATTAGTAATCATGTGTGGTCTTTTTATTCGTTTGCTGATCAATTTAGTTTGTGAGATAAATAAATAATCATGAAAAAATTTAATAAACAATTTTGTAAAATCGTCAAAAGTCATTATTAAATTGTTTTTCAAATGAAACGTCAAGTTTTCAGCATATAATATCATCGAAATGGTCAGGATCGTCAATAAAAATGTTCCATGAGAACTAATAAAATCGAATATCGGTGAGAAAACAACATGAATGTCATACGAATGAAAAGACAAAAATTCACACATAAATTTTAATCAATGAAATGCAATACATATTCAAAAATATATCTATTCGATTTGATGTGAAAACCTATTTGCTCTATGTGAATGAGAAAAAAACTCGAATCTTTTGTTCTTCGTATAAATGCTTTCGGTGTGCATGCGAAGGCGAAAATAAAATTGGAAATTTAATGAGAATGAAAAAGCAGCAAGTATTTGGTCAAAGGACGAAGAGAACAGATTAAAGTCAGAACAAGAAACAAAAAAGATGAGTACTTTATTCATTGGCTCGTCAATTTTCGCTTCAAGATTATCTTAATGTTGTGTTAGTTCAAATATGAAAACTTAATAAACTGTAATGAAACTGCATCGAGACAAGAAGAAAAAAAACGAGCAACTCCTGATTGGAATTCATAACATGATAAGAAAAAATGAAGAGGATGAAGAGATGCGAGTGATTGGATGCGATCCGTACTGAGTTGATTGGCAAATGCATAGCCTAACGGCGATTCACGGGTTACATGTAATGTAAGCAGAAAATTCTTCACAATTTTTTGTGTGTGTGCGCGATCTTTATTAGCATTTTCGTGAGAGAATATAACTTTTTATTTTTGGTCAACTGGCAAAATATCGAAGCGTATGCAAAAGTTTGGCCGATACAATTTGTTTCAATTTAAATGTGTCTTATCTGCAGCAGTATTTGTGTAAGACGCTTGTTTCGATTTTATCGAAATGAGTTAAAAGTCGTTATTTTTTGACAAGGCATATGCATCCAATCTTCAAACGGATTTCATATCTCTCTCGGAACATTAAACGTTGGTCGACATTGTCGAATACTTTTTTTTAAATACATGAATTTAATTACACGGTTTCAAACAAAGGCCAAATTGAATGGCGACTGATGCATTCTATGCTGAGAAGCGAAATTGAAGTTTTTTAAGCACTTTTGATCGATAGAATGATGCCAATTTTCACCTTGTTTAATCAATCAACAAGCGTTTCATCTTTTCTTTAGTTTAAGGATATATCTAGAGTTGTATCTCTTAGAGAGTCGATGGTTTTATCCCTCAATTCCTCGATTTATATTTGGAAAAGGTGCAAAACGCGATATGAACATATTTTGGGCGCAATGTGCACTTTAATGGACAAGAGTAGTGAATAAAAATGAAGCTGATTACAAATTGGTATGGCTTTGGCTCTATCAATGCATTCAACAATTTGATTCGTTTTTTTCTCTCTCTCTTGGTGTTGTGTAGTTGTTTTAATATTTTGTAAACTCGTGATAAAATGCATATATAATTTAAATGTGTTTCATACACGAGAAAATCATTTTGCATTCGGGTTTCTGTGGTGTGTTCATAATTTCAAATGCGCTAACGATTCACTTCAGGCTAGAGGGCGTGTGCAAAACATTATGGCCACAAAAGAGCAATATGAATTTATACAACAAAAAAAATGAGAAAATGAAGAAAGAAAGGAAAAAAACCTCATAATAATAATAATAACGATTTCAGTATGGGAAAAACAGCCTGCGACCGCAAACGAATAACCTGTACATGCTCAACAGAAAAGGAAAATCAAACCAAAAGAACGTTACAAATAATCAAATCGACGATAGGCTGATACTTATGCGATACACCAACAACGACATAGCTCAAAGTATTTTCTCTTTTTTTTCCACAATTATTGCGATACGAGTTTTCTCCTCTCAAAATCGAAACAACAAACAACGAACAGAAAGACACAGAGGGAGGAGAGAGAGAGAACGTCAACGAAGTGCACATACATTTGAACGGAATGCATTTTAATGCGAGAAGTATTATAAACTTTGGAAAATTTAATCGATATTTGAGCGAACAGCCATCAAATTTGTACACATTTATTTATACTATATGTATATACTTAAGCGGCACAATTTATACAATGGGTTAAGGCAAGTAGTGAACACACGGCACATTTTGTTGGGCCATACACATTTTAATATATATGTATATTTTCATACAAAATCCAGTATCGACACAAAAACCAATGTAATGTTATAGGTTGTTGTTTTTTTTTGTTTCTGCATATGTGCAAGTCTTTTAATACCCTGCACCGCAAATGGCTAGGAACGTATCGATAAAATTATACGTTTTGAACTGTTGGTATGGGCGATCGCAATATTTTGATTTGTGTGTATTGCTGGAGCTACGCCACACGACAGTCGGGGTGATAGAATGAAATATGCGAAATTTTTTACTAGTTTCAAGTCACCGGCACATATAATTGTATTGTAAAAAATAGATTTCAACCATATTGAAGCGCAAAACGAACACAACAATGGAAAAATAAGCAACGCTATTGTTGTTTAACATTTTTCTATCATATTTTTGCGCCGACTGAAAGAGTGAGAAAGA